TTTATATTGAGTGAATATGCAGATGTATTGAAAAGATTGGAATTAAATGTGGCTGATATTTTGAAAGAATTCAGAAGTTCATCAATTCTGCTTCCTCACTTATTGACTATGCTGAATGTGTTGCTGAAAAAGGATATGCATAGTCTAGTTTGGGAGAGGTTATTAGAAGATTACAGCGAATATCCATTCATAACTCCTGTTGAAGTAACTCAAGGAGACTTTGAAGCAGCCATTGAAATGTTGTTTGAAAAAGATTGGTATGACACGTATTGGAAGTCAATTGAAAATAAAGTGAAAGAACGATCTGAGGCATGTGCTGAGCTAAAAAGGAAATTGGTACGTAATTATTACTCCACTGATCAGCCAAAAGAGATTGTATTGAGAGTTCCATTGATTTTGGAGGCAGTTGATAATCTGAATGGATTAAACAAATACAGCTATTTAGAAGTATCTCAAGTTGAAGTTTGGTGGAAATGTGATCTTCCTTCTCGTGTTGAACCAGGAACTACTATTTCAAGTGAAATACTAATAATGGAACAAATACTTCGCCATCCAAATGATTATTTACATAGTTCTCTGTTGAAAGAAATGTGGACACCCGAATGTCAAATGAAAATCCATGATAAACTGGCTATAATTTGTCCACGCAAACGAACACTCTTAGGAAATGTTGTATTAGACATATTGAAAGTAGATATTTTGCGACGATCTCTGGAGAAAGTGATAAGACAAGTACAAGATATTGATGATCTTGTATCAAAAGTAATAGCCACTGCTCAAGCGGAATGCAAAGTGGAATTAGATGAGCTTCAAAAAGCATGGGAAGAATCAAATGCCAAAATGAAGGAATGTGAAGCAAAATATCAACAAAAATATGAAGAAGTTGTCCAGAAGAGACAAGAATTGATTGACAAATATACAAAAATGGCAGAAGAAAGAACTAGAAAGAGTGGATTTGAAAAGGATTATGAAACAAAGAACAGGAACACAATTGGAATGTTCACTTATATGCATGCCGTTAATAATCTTAAGGATTATAGTATTATAAATTATATTGGTTACAATCAAAAACAGAAGCATATTATTGAATATAAACCAAGCTATGAGTATCATCCATTTGATTTCCAAATGATATTCATACCGGAGCATTCACTATTTTTGAGAGAACATAAAACTGCAACAATATGCTTATATGCTCCAGAGGGGATTGATACATATCTCGTGTCGGATACCTTCCAAATATCTGATGAGGTTAAAGACTATGGTGTGTCTTTGTCAACTGGATATTTGTTAGTTTTGCCTTTAGCACCATTCAAATGGACTGTAGAAATTCAAATTGATGGAAAAGCAGTGACTTTAAAGAATAATGATATTTGTGTGGTGTATTATTCTAATTCTCAAGGTGTATTAAGAGATTATCATGAATATAAAACGGGTACAGGGTATTCGCGTGATGTTTCTAAATATAATTGGGATATGTATTTATTGCTCTTTATGTTAAAATCGATGATTCAAATAAGAGATAAGTATAATTTGAGGTATTGCATTCCTGTTAATCAAGATCAGCTATTGACTTTTAACAAATATAATGGCTCTAGTGGCAGTACTTATAACTCATCATGTGTATTTATTCCTAGTGGACAATATTTTAATTCATTTTGTCTATATAAGCCAGAATATTCGTCTTATTCGTCATATATTTTTAAATGTAATGAGATATGTTCAGCAAATGATATACTTCCACTTGATAAACTCTCCTTTTATAATAAAAAAAACAATGGCATTATGATGATTACATTCATATAGGTATTAATATTGGCCATATTAGTTGCATTGATTATTTAGCAGAGACTGATGTAAATGAGTATAATGCCCTGTATGACAACATGATGGGGTATGAACGACAACGCAATTTGTTAGTAATAACAGAAAGTGAAGACAATGCAAGATATAAAGCCAAACTAAAATCAACAGAATCTTTAATCTATCATTTCTTCCCTGGTATTTCTCATGAAACATCTTCATATTCGATTGGTTCTACATTGAATGATGTTATTGTCGTGTTGTATGATGGAAAGAATGCTTCGATTGGTCTTCCTGTCGATAATACATATTATCTTCCAGTGAGTTATGAAGGAGAAGATGGAAACCAAATTGCCCTACCTTACTTATCTACAAGCAATGAAGTCGAATTAACATTGAGTAGTGAACAATGTGATGTATCGAAAGGTTCTAATAGTTTTGTATTATTGATGAAAGACAATACAATTGGACAGAAAAGAGTAGAATTGACTGCAACTGTGTATTTGAAAGAAGGGAGAAATGTATTAGCAACAGAGAAAGTGTATCTGAGTTATGAACGAAAGGCTATGCCTGACCATATTTTCACCACATTAGAATGTTCTTATTATGTCAGTATGTTAGGCAAAATTACTGTGATTCCGACATGTTTCCCTCTGAATGTTTTTGTAGTTGTAAATAAAGTTTCCAATTCATACCATATTAATAAAAACAAACGAACTCGAATTTTGGAAAATCCAACTATTGAAGTATCTCCATATTCTTCAAAATTTGGTTATTCTGATTTGAGTCAATGCTTTATTATAAATAAGAAAGGATTGTCTATATTTAAGCGAGAATTAACTAAGCAGAACAAAATTGAAATAGCATTAAAAATGTTTTCTAATCCATTAATGACCCTTGAGCATTTGAAATCACAGAGTATGAGTCAATTTTTATCTGCTTTCTCTAATCTCTCTATAGTGATCATATCTGCTGACAAGCAAAATAAAGAACAGATAGTCTCGATATTGAATGGTTGTATTAATTCGACAATTCTTCCTTCTATAAGAAATGCTGCTGAATCTGTATTAAAATCTGTTTCATATCAGAAATCATCATTACAATGGTATTCGGTTATTAACACTGTCAAAAATGAGGATCCGAAAATTGAGAGTAATGATGTTCCTGTAGCAGCTGAACAAACGACCAGTGATGTAAAGATTTTGAATAGCGATAAGGATAATGCCAAACTATCAGGAGCAACAACGAAACATGTGAAGTTAAGTAACAAAATTATCGATGATATTCAAAACAGAGCTCAAATATTGGCTCCTAAAAAAGAAGATACTTCCGGTCAAGATGAATTAGAAGAAGATCAAGACAGTAAGGAGAAGAATGATTTTAAGGATGTTGAAGAATATAGAGTCTTTAACTATAAATGTTACTTGGAAGTAATGAACAACATGAGCATGGATGAGATGTTTGAGTCGGTTTACAATCGTCGAACGACAAAGAAGTTTGTTAGACCAGTCTGTACTTCTAATACTATAACACAAGAAAAACTAGAAAACAAAAGAAACGAAATAGATCTTGAAGTTGTTCAAGCCATCATAAGTACATCTGCGACTGTTATTGAATGGATGAAGCAAATGGATTGTATGAACAGAAAACCTAACTCCACAGTCAATATCATAATCGATACGAATTGTAGTTTGAGGAAAAATAAGCTACGAATGCGAACAATCATTTCGTGTATTCTAATAACAATAATGAGAGAACTTGGAATATCCTACAATTTGTATATCTTTTGTGGAAGATATAAAGGTGTTTATATTCCTGTGGAAAATCGATCGATTCGTGAAATCATTTCCTTTTTGTTTGACATGGAAGAAGTGGTGAAAGTGCCTTCAACTCCTTTGGACCTATTGACATTGAAAAATATCTTTGATCAGAAAGATCCAGTGGTTTTAATAAGTGATGGATTTAGTGAGCAATTGATGTCTCAAGATGATGAAGTGAGAAATGTGCTTGGAGTATATTCCAAACTCTTTTTGTTGTGTGTTAAGGGAAAGGATGAAGAAGCATTGAATCCAACAAATCAGTCTTTATTGGAAAATGCACTGGGAGCAAATTTCCATAACAACATGATTATGATTAATCAGATATCCGATTTGGTTAATTCATCAAATAGAATTCTGATTGAGATATTATTTGATAAAATGAGGGAAAAAAGAAACATAACTAGAGATGTATTATCTGTAGCAAACTACACAGCAAATTACTGTGATGATCTCAACATGGAATTCAAAGTGGACAAATCATTGGTTTCTATCAACAAAATATCAAGTACAAGATCAGCAATAATGGTTGAAGTACCAAAGGAAAATCTTTTATTTTATCCAAAGACTATTAGTGACACGACTGTATTGAAAAAACTGAACGGAGTGATCCAAGGTGAGATTCTGTTTGATGCATTGGATTATTCCGTGTTTACTCCTAATATAGTGAAAAGAACAAGAATATCTGGTTTAGATTATTTAACACACAAATTCTCCTGTGTGTTATATCGGAGTTACAATGCAAGTATTGTTGTCGATTGTTCTTCGATCGCATACAGTGAAACAAATCGAGTTCATTCAATGATTACCATATTTACTATTCTTCGAAATCTGAGTAACATGCAACTCCCTTGTATTGATTTGTGGGTGGCTTCTAGAGACATTATTCGTGTGGCAACAGGCATATCATCGATGGATTTATGGGAAAGCAATATTGTGGCTGCACTGTATCAAGCACTATTATCTCCTTATCAAAATACTTGTTTGCCAGATTGTATTCGTTATGCTTGTAGCACTTGTAACGCTCGATCATTTCAATCTGTAATGATGGTGTTAACAAATGGTGTGTTGTGTAATGAATCCAGAGCAGAAATTAAATCGATTGTGAGTGGAATCGAAATGACTTATCTCGGAATTGGAATAGGTTTGTATTTGTGTGGATTTGAAGATTTGTTCCCCACAATGATTTGGAATTCGAATCCAAATCATTTGTCTGAAACGTTGTTGAATTTAACAAACGCATCAATGAATGGAAATCAGAATGCAGTGCCAGAAAAGAATATCGATGGAACGATGATGAATAATACTTTTGGCAAAGCATATGTTGAAACAACGCAAAGAATATGCAATATACCTAGTATTTATGAAGCTACCTTAAGTATGGTTCGATTCTATGATGTTACAAATAATGATGATGTAGTGATTGAGGACTTCGACACAATCAATGAGAGCAAGTATGATTTGGGAGTGGATGGAGCGTTCGGTCATTATTCGATTTTGTTTATTATTCTCTACTTATGTAGGGGAGAAAAAGATGATGATGGCAAAGTGATTGATGAATTTATTACTGAAGAAATATTGAAGTATGGAAAGGAAGTGAATGGAGAAAGGTTCTCACCAATTGCTAAATTGGGAGATAGAATAGTCAACGGAAAACCAATAGGAAAAGGATTTAAAATTCGTTATGCTTATGATTACAAAACTGCAATTGAGGAATTGTCAAGTGGCAGATATCGAATAACATTTATTACTTGTTCTCCTGGAGATGGAATCATGGCAAAAGAGTGTGATAAAGATGTGGACCAATATGCGGATGCTTTTGTGAGTTGTGTACATGAATTCAACATGAGAGGAGGCGGTGTATTCTGGTTCTTGGAGAACTATCCATTCACTTATGAAGCTGATCTGTACTTTAAGAAATTCTATGGATTTGAAGCAGTGGGAGACAAAGACAAAAACATCAAAGGAGGTAAAGTAATGAAACGAGTGAACAGTGAAGCACCAAAAGCAGGTCAGTTCATAACTATAAAAAGAAAAGCAACATATTGTTTCATTTCCACTTTCTTAGATTTTGGAATTGTGAGCATTTTTGAAGGAAGAACGCTGTGTACGTTGAACGAAAAGAAACTAATGCATGAAGGATTCCGTGTATTTGCAAGAGAAAGTGAAGGAAATGCTTCGATTATGGTGAAAGAAAAGAAGGAAGGAAGTGATGAAGGCCGAATGATAATAGATACCGCTGCCTCCAAACTGTTTTTGGAGTTCACCGAAGATGGGACAGCGCGATGGATCAGCAATGCTGCGGTTTGGTTGTGTAATACAGAGCAATTTGAAGAAGATCGATTCTTGGATCCTTTGTTGAAGTCGGGAATTAATATGGACGGAATAAGATTACCTGGACTGAAGCCGATGAAAAAACGAAAGAATAGAAAGCTAACAGGTATTTCCTAAGTGTTTTTAGTTTTGTTTTTGTACATAAATGCAAGTAACCAAGCCAAGTATTTAGTAATATAGGTAAAATAGATCAGAAATCAACCAAACTCAATATTCCTTACATATCAACATGATACCGTCATAGAGCATTGATTTGAATGGTACTCATGATATATATCATAGGTTAAAGTATAAACTCGACTCGTAAGTATGACATTCTTGAAATCATTTTCTTTCGAGTAAATACTATTTCCAATATACTAAAGCAACGAGTTCTTGTTTTCTATCATTCCTGAGGCTCTTGAAATACCTTTCTAGATTCTGTTCACATTACTCTTCCATTTTCCTTTATTCTTTGTTTTGGAATAGCATTTCCTTTGCATCCTATTATTAGAAATCTCTAATTTTTTAATTCACTGGTTTTATGTTGGAAAGAACAACTTGGAGGTTATTGCTCTTTTTTGGCTTTTCGTTTTTTTATTCACTTTTTTTATATGGTTTTGTTATTCTTTTGGCCAATGATCCCATTCCTCCTTATGTTGTCAATAATACGCTCAGTAAGACCGACAGCAAATTGGACCATATTATAAAGCTAAAGAATGTGTGTAGTTCTATTTTCTCAAGGAAAAGAACAAGTCGTAAGAATATCACCTTTCTCGTTAGTTCAATTGATTACAAACCCTATATAACTGGAAATTCTGATACTGGAAAGAAAACGAGATCTTCTTTGAAGATTAACCGACACGTTGGCTCCATCCGCCCAAAACCCACTTCTTTGTATAGCAACGCTAATAGAAATCATTCAGTTACGATTTTTTCTGAGAGATTCACACTACCGACGAAAGCAGGTTCTGTATCCTATAAAAACACTTATCCGCACAAAAGAAGGAGTTCCTTACTCCGTTTCAGTCAAGACCGCACAAGACCAACAACGGCAGTACCATGGGAAGAGGACAAGAGCGATAATGTTACCGCTTCAGATTCGAATTTTACAGAAGATTATAGTATTCTTACCAACCAAGTTCCTACAACTGTATCAACCAATTTACAGGGTTCCTTTGAAATCGGCTCTTCTTTTGTGATTATATCGCGCCTTCTCCCTTATGAAGGCCGTTGGTTTACCAATTTATATCGATATGAACGGGGAGACTGGTTAGTCTGTCTTCAATTGCTAATTCCTAGGGAACAACGATTTTTGCGTTTATTACACGTGATTCAATCAAACTATATCAAATTGTATGACGTTCCCGTAATTCATTACATCCTAGTGAAAACCAAAGAAATGCAAGCAATGCAGCGTTTCGCATGAAAGAATATTCGGATGCATCGATTGGCATGATAGAACGATCGGATAGTCCATTCATGGAGGGGCACAACATCTGTTTCAATTCCAAGCATGAATGGAAGGTATATCAAAAGAAAGGCAGTATTATATCGCAGTATCCTTACAGGCACTGTACGAAATCCATCGACGAATGGAATCATAGCTAGGTTTTCGCTGGACACATTCGATAGTAACCTCACATAGCAAGATTCCAACCAACGCCAATTGGATCGAAGACGGATATTACTATGTTTCCTATCCTTATCGATCTCGTCATATCGGACACTTCGCCGAATCTGTGAACCAGCTATTACTCAAGCTGCGGTATCCTTCTCTCTATCCTCCACTCACTGACTTGTATCTTCCTCGCTTTTCCACTCATGAATACGAATGGTCCTCTACCTATTTGAAATTGCTGTTTCTTCTTTTTCCTTCCGACTTCACTCCCAAGCTCCACATTGCTAGAAATATTACGTTAAATAAGGTTGTTTGTTTCCGCTCGGCGGTAGCTTGTTTGTTTGGCGTTTTAGCGATAGATTTTGCTTGATCGTTGCCGATACAACCTAGATGGAGCGTTATTCGCGGGGATTTTCTCTCAGGATTTGATGAGAGCGTCCGCGTATCGATTGGCAGCCATTCAATCCAAAGAAATCCAAGTGAATCAAATCCCATTTTTGATCATCGATCGAAATGGCAAGCGCGGTCTGGTGAAGCACTCCGAATGGGTTGACATTTTTTCTTCACGCTTTCCTGTTTGATTGGTAGCGTTGCTTCTCACTCTAGGATTTGGATGTGTCGTACACCACAATGGAGAAGTTGTCGTTCGTGAAGCAGGTTCGATTGTTCTACAACACGGATATTTTCTTTTCTCCGCATGGCTCCGCTCTCGTTAATCTCATGTTTGCAAGGCCTCATTCGGTTGTGATCGAATGCAATCCGCCCTATTTTTATGAGATTTGGTATTCGAACACTGCGTTGATTTCGCGTGTGCATCACATTATGCTAGCTACCTACAAAGGGAATTTGACGGGATCTTCGAAGTGGAAAAGAGCGGAGCAAGCTTATTTTGGGGGAATAATGAGTCGAATTCGTCGCCAATATGCGGATGATCATGTCAATCCTCCTGTTTTTGTGGTTAAAGGTGCTGTAGAAGATGCAGTCGCGTATTTAAAGCGATGGCGCTTTGTTTTTGAAGTGTCTGATAAATGGTCTCCATTGTTTTTCTAAGTTACTTGTTTATCGGATTGTTTGAAATAGAAAGTAGATAATATCAAGTTCATTATCCCAGAAATCCACCTGCATGACATAAATCGTTACTATGTTAGGTTAGGGAATAATAGTGGGAACCTTTTATGGGTCACAACTAAGTAGTTCTGTACGTAGAGGTTTATGTTTCAATGACTGTATCTTTATCTTCATAGAAATAGAACTAGAATAGGAAACTATAAAAGTAGGTAAGTAAAGAACATTAAAATAACTATTTTAGATAAAACAACACATGAATAATGCTATTTAAACAATCGTCATTCTGCTTCGGTGATGATAAATTCGTTAGACCAGATCGGCAAGCCTCCAGTTGACATCTATGAATAAGATCTAGTCAGTTCATCAATACTCAAAATTGATTTCGATCGAACACACCCGAATGAACCAGGTAGCTTGACATTTTGAAGATTTGGAATATCTAAATACTATCAATATTCAATATTCAGAAATACTTTCCAATGTCACTACACGAGGATAATAGAAACTATTTCCTTCAGAAGTTATTGATGTTAGATTTGGAAGATCTACAAAACAAATCATTCACAATCAATTCATTATTACTTCGAAGTGTCAATGAACTTGAATCATCATATTTTCCAGCAAGTGCACCTCCACCGAGTTGAATGGATTGTAATGATGGAAGATCTACATCAATCATTTCATTCGAATTCATTCAATACTTTCCATTACTATTGATAAGGAATCATAGAATGCAAGATCACCTAATGTAATGGATTGTAGATTTGGAAGATCTATACATTATTCAAATATTCAATATCATATCTTTACCTCGAATCACAAATGAACTAGAATAGAAATTGTATGAATACCTTCCAATTGTACCAATTTGAATGGATTGTAATTGTGGTAGATTCTTCAATTCAAAGTCTCCAGCAAAATCACTGAAACTATATCGACCAATTTGAATGGATTCCAATGATTCACAATTCAATATGTGGAATGATTTCGATTTGTCATTTCCATTACTATTCTTTTCCTGAGTAAATGAATTGTACCCGATTTTGATAGTTTTCAATCGATTCAATCCATCGATATAAAATGTTTTCACTCTTGAAAAACAATCATCGCCGATTCTTATGGATCTCAGTTGTGACTTCATATTAGGATTAAAAGAGTTAACACTATTACATTGATTCTGTCCTGCATAATAATACCATTGCAATATGTATCCATTGCATGGCATAAAACAGAAGTGATATACTGCAGCAATACAAAAAAGAATCACATAGAAAGTTAATGCAATAGAATATAAGTGGTGAGCCAGTGTTAAGCATCCGCCTTCTTTTTCCCCCCTTTTCTTGTGTGTTGTGTATATTATTTCTCCAAGACAAGCATAATCAATCGAATTTAACCAATTGCCTGTCTGCTTAGCGAAGATTCGCTTCAGAACAATGAAGATTATTAGAATACCCAGAAGGACCATTGCAATGAACACATTAAGCACAAATGCTATAGTGAGAATTAGAATCAACATAATGTAAGTGGTAAAAAACACGCAGGAAGGCATGCCCATAATCCATTTGCCATTATAACTGATTTTCCCTTTTCTGTAAGATATCCCCAAACCATGCCGTTTCCCGTTACAAAAGTGACCTTTGTATATTGCTGACTTTCCATCATTGTCATACAATTTACCTTCTCCTTCATAAGCATAGTCAGATTGGAACGATTTCTTATATTCACCAATATAGTGATTTAACCCTCTTTTTAATTCTGTCATGTAGTCATTCGTAAACTGTTTGCATAGGCAGATTTCCCTCCCTTCTTTCCATTCACTCACGCGACTGATTTCTCCTTCACTGTTATACAGATAACAGATTCCTTTCATTCTTCCATATTCATCTCGTTGGCTAATATTCACCAAATTTCCTTTCTCGTCATATTCTTTCCAATACCCTTTCTTCTCCTTCATTCTTATGATTGGCTTCTTTATTCCATTTTCATAAATACCTTCAAATATCACATTTCCATTCTCGTCATATTCTGTTCCTTTCCCATGTCGATATCCATTTTCAAAACGGCCTCTGAAGAATAATAATCCTGACTTATCAAATAGTGTACATGGACCTGAAGCAATTCCATTGTCAAAATATAGATCTGCCACTATGACTTTTTCATCCGAAATAATGTGAGATTCTCCATTTAGTTTATAGTTTAATAACGTTGTTTGAATCGTGTATCCATCGTGGGGAGCTCCCACCAGAACTTCAAGCTCTCCCTTTTTGCTAGATATTTCTTTCACAGGAAATTGGTTTGCCAAGTTCTGTTTCCAACATTCTCCACGAGCAGTTTTACACTTGTTAGAGTCTTGTATTGCTTGTAATTCTAGATTATCATTGTTCATATTATCCAGATAGTATGTAATTCGTTTCAAAATATATATAATCTACAAATGTAAATTTGTTAAATGGAAGTTTTACCCATTATTATCATATGCTATGCTTCTTCATTGATACGACTTAAAGCTCTGTTTGTAACAAGTGAAGAATATACGATTAGGGATGTACAAGATTTGTTTTGCTCAACTGTATTAATCATATTGTAGTGCGTTTTTCTTTTGTGATATCGTCGTTTACATTTGATTCTGGCTGTTCCATGATGTTCAACAATATTATATCACTCTCTATTGAGGCATGCCTTTCGTTTAGTTTATGTACCTTATTCTTTTTGCACTGTTGTTAGATATCTATACTATGTCAGTATACTTTCAAAATAATCGTTATTTAAGAAAAAAACAGGAGTAAGTCTCCCATTAATAAAAACAACAATGTGAAACTATCAAACATGACATAACCGTTACTCTCTAACAAGTCATTTAAACATTCAATTAAGTCACTATCACTATCTATTTTTCTCCTTTATAGGCACTCACAGATATCGAGTATCACTCAAGAACTAATCATTTGCTTTAATTCTATCCTCCAACCTTGTGTTGTTCTCTCAATCATCTCCAACAACCCTTCGTATCATGTACTTCCACTCAAATCAAAATCGATTTTCAATTGTGTCTACTATTGTATTTTCTATCCTATTTGCTTCCACGTTTCCACGATTCCTAGTTCGTTTTTCTCTCTAATCCTTTTTATTTCACATCTTGTTTTCTCATCATCTAATTAATATCCAATGTTGAGTGGATTTACTTTCCGTCGTCTCTGTTTCCTTCTTCTTTTGGTCATTATCTCTAGTGAGCACCATCAGTCCTAAGACTACCAGAATTGGTTGGATCGGAACGGGTGTCATGGGAAAAGCCATGTGTAGTCATTTGTTGGATGCGGGTTATGCCTGCACTGTTGTAAGTGACCTTTTTGACTGGATTCCTCTTAGTACAACCGCACCTTAAGTAAGTGCGATGACTTGGCGAAGAAGGGAGCCAAAGTCGTGAAGAGCCCGATTGAAGTGGGAAAGGAGTGTGATGTTGTGTTCAGCATCGTTGGGTACAAGTGGACTGAAAGTTTGATAATAGATATCCGAAGGATGTGCGCGAAGTGGTATTGGGTGAGAAGGGAGTTCTGAATGGTCTCAAGAAGGGCGGAATCTTCGTTGATATGACAACCAGCGAGCCCTCTTTGGCCAGCGAGATTTACTCGGTAGGGAAAAGCAAGGGCATTGCTACTCTGGATGCTCCTGGTAATCCAACAATCCAGTGTGTAATCTGTAGTGTCTGGAGGAGATATTGGCGCTCGTGACGGCAAGCTGTCGATCATGGTTGGTGGAGACAAGAACACGTTTGAGGAAGTGATGCCTCTGTTCCAATGTATGGGAACGAACATCAAATACATGGGTGGAAGTGGCTGTGGCCAGCACACAAAGATGGTGAACCAGATATTGATCTCCACGATGATGGTACTGAATTGTTGTGTGTTTGCTTGATGCTCTAGATCGGTGTGTGTGAAGGTCTGATTTATGGATACAAAGCAGGCTTGAATCTGGAAGAAGTGATCGCAGCGGTGGGCGCTGGCGCTGCTGGCTCGTGGAGCATTAACAACCTTGGACCGCGCATGCTGAAGCGCAATTTCGACCCTGGTTTCTTTGTGGATCACTTCATTAAGGACATGGGAATCGCGCTGGACGAAGCTCGTCGAATGAATCTCTCGCTGCCGGGATTGGCGCTGGCGAACCAGCTGTATCTGAGCGTGAAGGCGCAAGGAAACGGAAAGCTGGGAACGCAGGCGCTGCTGCTGGCGTTGGAGTCGATGAACGGCATGAAGGAGGGAATTAGCGTATCGAAGAAGTAGAGAGAGGGGAGGAAAATAGAATGGAAACTGGTATGAGTTGAGAATTTGGGGTGTTTGTGAAGAACAAAACGAGAGGAGTGGGTTGTGTGAGAAATTGCGTTCATTGAATTGTTTATCGGTGAGATTTGGATTGGGATGCCGATTTGGATTCCGATTTGGATTCCGATTTGGATTTGGATTCCAATTTGGATTCCAATTTGGATTCCAATTTGGATTGGAATGAAATGAAAAGGTGTTTGACAAACAAAAGAGTACTTTGAAATGATCATGTGTGAGGTAAAAAACGTAATGAGGCGACGAACGTTCTAATACTCACCCAAAAACGAGCAAAACTATACCACTAAACACTGAAAAAGGAGTTCAGGGGTCATTACCAAATCTTTATACTTTGGATTCTCTTGAACCATGTTCCCCACATCCATATCCATATACAGCTCCTCAACACGACGGCACTATTTGGTAGAAATCCACCAATCCATACATTTCCTTCTAACAGATTCTGCCGAATCAACAGTAACTTGCGAATTACAATATCAGGTACGGACTTGTGGCTTTTCTTCATGTAAAACGACAGCTCGCGTAATGATTTGGCAATGGACGCACTTCGTTTCTTCCATTCACCTCGCTCAGCCTACAATTACCAACTTAAACCAAATGACTACAGCATCTCCTATGGAACTTGCATAATCATCATATTCCACTAAGACTCTGTTAAAAAAATCGATAATCTTGTGCCTAGTTGATGCTGGCTCTTCTTCCAGCTCACGAAGCACTTTCTCATATTTTTCACTCTAACGATAATGTAAAAAAACTCGTTACTCACTGCTGCGGTTGCACGTTTTCTAAAATGACTTTGAAAGTTCTCATTCCTCTCCGTATTTGCCACTTGTTGCTTTGCAGAATCAAGAACGTCACTTACCACATCCATTCCTGTAAAAACGATAGACTGTGTCTTATTCCTGGAACGGAGGTTATTAGGGTCCTGCTTTCTAAATGTCACATCACCAAAACAATCTTCACTTTTTCAGTTTTTGTAGCTCTTTCCTCTTTTTCCTTCGTTCCTTCTCCTTCTCCAGCTTTGATTTTGCAGATTCCATGTATTTCTATCTCAAATTCTAGGCAAAAAGGAATTCCTTGATGATCATAAACACCTGTGCAATATTGACATTTCCGATTCTACACTTCATTTCAAATTGAATTTGTAAATTTTATATGAAGGGAGTTTTATTTGTGTTGCTACTTCTTACAGTCGTGCATTCTGCGCTGAAATCAGAGGATGGTATTTTAATTCTTACAGACAAGAATTTCCATGAGGCTCTGAAGAAATATCCGAAGATGTTCGTTGATTTCTACTCTTCCGTCTCTATTTTACGCCCATTTCTATTTGTAGAGAGATTACAAGTCGATGGAGTTCGAAAGAGTCCTCAAAAACATCGTTACTAAGTTCCAAGAGAAGGGAGAAGAAGTGATCATTGGAAAGGTATCCATTCAGACGACTTTTTCACGAACCAGATTGATCATCCGAACTCTCCCGAGGTGGCTCGTGTCTACCGTATTGGCAGCTATCCAGTATTCTACTTTTTCGAAAAGGGATCTCCCCGATTCTATGATGGTGATTTGATCGAAGAGTTTTGATTTCCTTTCTCTTTTTCATGCTAGCGAAGTTTCCTTCTTCATCGAAAAGAGACTCCACCCCGATCTCATCATGGTAACCACCCAAGCCGAAATCGATGCGCAAGTGGCTCGCGGCATCCCCGTTCTTGTCGGCCATTTCGCGAAGCGAAGCTCAAAGGAGTTCAAGAACTACCGCAAGGCCGCCAACGCGTTCGTCGACTACATCACCCTGGGCGTGATCGGCGATGCGGAGGTGGACACGCCGCTCAACCAAGTCGACGTGTATACCGCGGGAGAAAAGCGTTCCTACGCGGAGAGTGCGTTTGCTGGACGGCTTGAACGGTAGAAATGACGGTGAAACTGCTGAAGAAATGGCTGGCGATCAAGTCCTTGCCGCTGATCATCCCCTTCCAGCATCGCTATCAGCGCGTGATGTTCGCTCGCGACACGGAGGTGCCGCTTCACTTGGTGTTCATCGCGTCTCCGAAGTACTTCGAAGAGCACGCGGAGCAGAAAGAAGTCTTCGAGAAGGTGCGACGTCGACGATTTCTTCAAGACTAGATCGCTACCGACTTCGCCACGCGTCTCTTCGTGATTCATCTCAGCCAGGACAACAAGGCAATGCTCGACTACTTCGGCGTTTCCGTCGACAAAACCCCGACCCTCTTCCTCGTATTCTCTCTCTGCACAATCCTCATCGACAGATCCAAAACGGCGAAGAGAACCGCAAATACGCCTTCGACGGCGAGCTCACCGACGCCTCCATCCGCGACTTCCTCGAGCGATACTACCGAAACGAGCTGACTCCCTACATCAAATCGGAGAAGCCCTTCGACAAACGCGACGGACACGTCCGGCTTTTGGTGGGCTCCGACTTCGAGAAGGTGGCTTTTGACCCCAACGTGAACGTCATGGTGGAGTTCGTCGTGCCGGTAGGACGCGGAGGGCGCGGTGGACCGTAGCGGTGCCGGCTGTGCGACCGGCTGCGCGAGGATTACGACGTGTTTGCGGGGTATTTCGAGGACGTTCCGGATGTGGAAGTGGCGCGGATTGATATCTCGAAGAACGACGTGCCGGGCTTGGAGATGAAGAGCTATCCTATGTTCGTGTTGTACAAGGCAGGAGAAGATGGAAGACAGATGGTGACGTTTGAGGGAAGTCCGAAGATTAGCGTAGGAGCGTGATGAGGGGGTGAGGCGTAGAACTGGGTTGATTTCTTGAAGGAACATCGGGTTTATGTCAGTCCCCAGGAAGCCATGGAGAAGATGATGGAGATGGAAGTGGAGACTGAGTTGTGCATTGTTTGTTTCACACATGCAGAAGCAGGGTAGAATCTTTCTTTAAAAAAATCGAGGATAGGGAGATTTGCGTTCTTCGATAAGGAAAGTCACACACTGCGCTTTGGAACCGATTACCATCCGAAACCTTCGGATGACGAAGTTCTCCTTCGCGTTCTGACCTGCGGCATTTGCAGGACAGGTAGCGAAACGGAAAATGTGTGAACTAGATCTACACGTTTTAGATGGGGATCTTCCAGATTCCATCGAACATGTTATTCCAGGTTTGATTGGATTGTCGTACTTAATTGAAAGGACACCAGATCGTGGGTGTTGCAGAAGAGATTGGCAAGAATGTTAAGTCGGTGAAAGTGGGAGATCAGATCGGTGTCCCATGGCTCGGAGGCTGCTGTGGAGATTGTATTTACTGTAAGGAAGGAAAGGAAAACTTGTGCGACAAGGCGATGTGTGTTTTTTGGATTGCATTCTTGACGATTCTAGATATACGGGCTACCAAAAGAATGGCGGATTTGCTGATTACTGTGTTGCAAATGCTTCTTTCTGTTTCCCTATTCCTTCTCATTACTCTCCTCTCCAGGCAGCTCCCCTACTTTGTGCCGGATTGATCGGTTATCGTTCGCTTCGCAAAACTGGATCGCCAAAAACGTTGGGACTCTATGGCTTTGGCTCCTCTGCTCACATCATCATCCAGCTGGCCAACGATTTAGGAATCGAATGCTACGTGTTCACACGCGACAATGACACAAAGAAGCAAGCGTTTGCAAAGAATTTGGGAGCTACCTGGGTTGGAGGGAGTTCTCAGTTACCTCCGATTCCGCTCGATGCCTGCATTATCTTCGCCAGCGAGGGTCAACTCGTGGTCTCCGCCCTCAACGCCATTCGAAAGGGAGGAATCGTTGTGTGTGCTGGGATCCACATGACAGACATTCCCTCCTTCCCCTATGAGGCAATGTGGAACGAAAAGCGCATCGAATCCGTAGCGAACCTCACAGTGCAAGATGGGAAGGAATTCTTTGAGCTCGTCTCGAAAAACCCTCTGAACGTGAAGGTGAATCTCTACCGGCTAGAGCAAGCGAACGAAGCGATTGACGACCTTCGCCATGGTAGATTGACAGGTTCCGCTGTGTTGGTGCTCGATGAGTCGTTACTTTCTCAATTCCGTGTTTCCAACAAACACACAACCTTCCTATGTTCCTTACAGCCTCCATCGTCTCCTCGGCCTTTTTAGCCTCATTAACACTTGCAGGACTTGCAGCACTTGCCCCGTTTGCAGGACTTGCAGCACTTGCAGCACTTGCAGCACTTACCTTGTCTGCAGCATCGGAAGGGACACAACAGATAGAGCACGACACACACCACGACGATCACCATGCGAACGACCATCGTGAGAACGGCCACCATAATCGCATACGCCACGACATCCGTAAAAGAACCCACCGCGGACGCCTCCATCGCCCTGTAGACCTTCTCATACCCCCGCACGGCGGCCGTGAACGCTACAAATGACCGCGTTTTGCCTATTCTCACCCATTTCTCCGTACTTCACGCTCGCTTCCTTCGCCTTGGCCGCGTACACCGGCGTCGCCGCCACGGCCTGCGTGTAGTAGGAACGAACAACCGGCTCCACACGCTCCCTGATGCTCTCCGCGTACGGAGTGATCGCGTCTTTCATCGTTACAGCGTACGGAGTGATCGCGTCCTTCGCCTTCAGCACTACACACATCAGAACAACGCGACAAAAGTACCGTAGGGATGAAGCTTCGACTCATACAGCGCAGCGGTCTGGGAATGAGCTCGCAAGAAGCGCCTACCTGCTGCTTCGCTTGCTGCACTGTCGGGTTGCGCGTCCAGAAATCGACCAAAAACGACCAGCCGCGCAGCACCAGCGATTTCCCGTACACCCAGCTGACCGTGAGGGAGAAAACAAGAGCAAACGTTTCCACGATCTTTTCGTAGACGGCGATTCCCGCGGGGATGATGTAGCGCTCCGTACAGTCGACGAGAGCGTCCAGAATGTTGATTTGGGACTGTTCGGTACTGAAACGCTTCTGGAGAGCCGCCTTTTCTTCCTTCAGAGACTTGATTTTGCTCTCTTTTTCCTTCAGATTCTGTATTACACAGGAACACTAGCAACGTACCATGGCGTACGACTCCTCTTCCTGCTTCTTCTTCTCCAGGAGAGCCCGGTAGTTCTCAATGTTCTTCTTCAACTCTTTCTCCGCTTCAAACTTCTTCTCCGCCAGAACTTTGTTTTCAGAACGAAGCTCCTCCTAGATGTAAGGATTGCGAAGGGAAGAGGAAACGATCCGTTTCTTCAACAAAATGATCTGAGATTGGAAATCCACGGATTCAGAGTTCTATTCCTCAAGCCTTAACGGTGAAACGAACCACAATATTAGTGTTATCAACAGAAACTTCGATGGTCTCCTCACAAGAAGCGATTGCGAGGGATACTGCCAAAACGATAAAAGCACATGACCCTAGGGAATTATGTACTCTTTCTTCAGTATCTACGGAAAACAGCCTTCATTGCTCTTTGTGTGGATAGATTTTTGAGATTGAATACTGCATCCAAATACCCGTTTCAATGTCTTCGCTTTTCTCACAAACAGATTCAATTTTTATATTCACTCGTCATTCTTTTTTAACTCAAGCCTTGCTCGTTTCTCTAATGGCAGCTCCACTTTATTTGCATCTTCCTCGAGAGGTTCTTCTTCTTCCTTTCCTTTCTCTTTTCCCTTGTCTGTATCGTACGCTTTCTTTAGACTCGGTTCTCTCAAATCTCTCAAAGCTCTTTCCACATCCATAAACACGCTTCCTTCCAATTCTTGCGGTAACATTGATTCTCCCCACCGATACAATTCATTCCCACTCGTTTTTGATTCTCCCAAATTCACTTCCTTCTTCTCATCCCCATTCTTCTCTTCCATTTCCTGTTTCTCCGCATTTTTCTTCTTTTCTTCTTTTTCTTCTTCTTTCAACATCTCCGACTTCTGGATACTTTGCGGAATGGGGAGCATCCCAGTGTCATGAACCACATCAACGGCCTTCCCATACGCTAGATATAGCTCGTTCGATTTCGCTGTGAGCGCCAAATATGACACGCACTGCGCGAGGATCGTGAAGCAGAGCGGTCTTCCGAGCCACTCGCATTCCTGGTAGCATCGCACAGCGAGCGACAACGCTTGCAGATCGGCGAGTCCCACGTCCTCCGTAGCAAAGCGAATGAGGCGACGAGCGACGTAGAGCGGATCCTCGCCGCCCTCCAGCATGCGAGAAAGCCAGTAGAGCGCAGCGTGGACATCGGAGCCTCTCTGGATGAGTGGAAAGAGTGGATGGGACCATGGATTTGTGGAGGGCGGAGATGCAGTTGAAATGCTCCTCGCCGTGACGGTCGTAACGGATTGGTTGTTTGTCTTCGCATAGAACAGAGCGAAGCAGAGAAGGAGAAGCGTGTCTGAAAACAAAAAAAGGAGGAAAGGAAACTTGGAGGGGGAGTGGGAAGCGAAGAGAACGCAGGATTCCAACGAATTGAGCGCGCGACGAGCATCGCCGTCGCTCCGAAGACTAATTTCGCGAAGCAACGCGTCATCGACAGACACCTGCATTCAATGAGTGGAAAGAAATCGACTTGAAGCTCGCGAAGAATGGAATCTGTGGCTAAAGCGTGCTCCAAAACGTGGAGCAAAGCATCGCTCGACAGAAGCTGGAGTGGAAAAACGCGGCAACGCGAGAGAAGCGCCTATTTCAAAAGACGGAGACACAATCGAACAGGAATAATGGAAAAGGAAGGGTTCTCTGTGGTCGCGCCGATCAGAACGAGCTTGCCCGACTCCACGTACGGTAGAAAAACGTCCTGCTGGTTCTTGCTGAACCGGTGGATTTCGTCGAGAAAGAGAATTGTGGGGGTTTTGGTGCTGAAAAACACCTTGTCACATTCGTCTAACACGGAGCGGACCTCTTTGAGGTCGCTCGTGCAGCAGGAGAGTGATTTAAAGGGGCAGGTTGTTTGTTTTGAGATTATATATGCTACAGTGGTTTTGCCACAGCCAGAAGGGCCGCAAAGGATAAACGAGGGAGGTGGATCTTTCTCCAGAAGTGTCCGAACGACAGAGCCTTCCGCAAATAACTCCTCGTTGCCCTACGACTCACCACGCAAGTTGATGGTCACTTGAAGTTCGGCGAAGGATGTCGGTCGCATGCGATCTGCTAGAGGCTGACGAGTATCTCGTTGAGCTTGATCATTCCCCGGTTTTGATAAAGTACATTTTGCCTCCAAATTCTCAGAGGGTTCTTTTGTATTCGGTTCTTGAGTTGGACTCGTTTCTTCGTTGATTGGCTGTGTTGCTTCCTTCGACTTTAGACAAAATTCCACATGCCACTCGATATTGGACCGTTTCACCTAGACGTGAGAACAGTGGTCCTCCAGTGCAGTACACTGCAACCACAAATTGGGCATTCGATGAACATGTTCAACTCCTGACTTGGTCCCTTGTTGTTAATTCTTTCTGGACGCTTCCTCTTTTTAGAAGGCGATCCGAACAACTTGGGCATGAGTACAAATAGTTTTCTGAGAAAGCGAGTTGTTGACGCTGCGAAGGAAGAAATAGTTCATTGAAATGATTGCAAGTAGGTAAATTGGCGTAATATTCAATTTTCTCATATTGGCAGCTCTTTTCTACGAGCTTAGGACTGATTCACATCATGATTTCTTATTCATTACGCCTAGCTAGAAGTGTAAATCTCTAGAAGATGTGTTTCTTTGAGAAAAAATAGATAAAATCTGAGAAATCATCATCCAAAGCAATGTTTGATTTCTGCAATTTCGAATTTCTCCGTTTTTATCAATAATGTGCTGTGTCCTTCATACAGATATCTCCCATATTCATACAACCCTCCAAACGCTACATTAACCTGCCTCCTATGAAAACTCTGCCCATCTCTCTAATCCCCAAATCATCCTCCTATGGCCCAAATGAAACCTCCGAATCATTATAGAATCATGCGAATTAAAATAGGGCTCACATAAAATTGGGGCAGATCGGAGCAGCGCTGTCCCTATTTCATAAATCTGATTGTTCACCTTTTTCGTAGTAAATATCACACATCTGAGATTAATATGGCTGCGATTGCTGCTATGAAGAGCGTTATGCTCAAGCCCTCCTTCTGTCGTTTGGCTAGCACCGTGAATTCTGCCGTTTTCCAGAAGTATGGCTGTCCTACTAGTGTGTTAAAGTTTTATCGTGAATCTATGTGTCTGATCGTTTAGGGTGCAAAAGACTCAACTGAAGGAAGTTGGTAAGAAAGATCTCCAAGTCCGCATGATTGCTTCTCCGATTACAGGCTTTGACTTGAGCACGGTGCGGGGAGCCAATTGAATTCGTTAGGTTTAGATTGCAGGAAAGAACCCCATGGGTGTCTCCTTCCCGTCCGTGGCTGGAAGTGAGGGAGTGGGAATCATCCAGAAGATCGGAGAAGACGTGACCGCCTTCAAGGAGCTCGACACCGTGATGTTGGCCAGACCTGTTCAGGGTATCGATTTTTGTCTCTGGCTCACTGGAAGGCACCTGGAGCGAGCAGATCGTCGTGTCCGAGGACCAAGTGCTCCGTGCCCCCGAAGGCATTCCCTCTGAGATCTCTGCATCTCTGCTCAAGAGCGCAGGACTCGCCTACAGACTCCTCGCCGACTTCGCTCCCCTGAAGAGCGGCGACTTCATCATGCAGAACGATGCGTCGTCTGCGGTGGGCCTCGCGGTGCTGCAGCTGTGCAAATCGCGTGGCATCAAAACGATCAACGTGGTTCCCGACTGCGGCGAGTACTCGCAGCTGTTCCGCCTGGTGGAGTCGATGGGCGGCGATGTGATCGTTCGCGAATCGCAGCTCCACGGCGTGGTACGATCCTGCAAACCCGTCCACTGTAGGACTTCAAGCGCATCATGGAGGACCTCCCGACGCCGAAGCTGGCGCTGAACGGCCGTGGCGGCGCGACGATGACGAATACGTGCCGCTTATTGAAGTAGGAGCGAGCGAGGGGCGTGAAGAAAAGGGATTGCACGGTGGTGACGTATAATGAGAGCTCGCGCGAGCCGTTCGCGGTGACGGCGTCGTATTTGACGCAGAACCATCTGTGCTTGAAGGGATTCAATATGGATCGATGGCTGCAGAGCGCGGAGATGGAGCAGATTCGAAGCATGGTGGAGGAGTTGGCGGAGATGGTGAGAAAGGACGAGCTGCGGCTGTATTTGAAGAGAGATAAGTTCTCGCAGGTGGTCGATGCGGTGGCGGATGCGGCGAAGCCCGCGACGGACCGAACGCCCGTGCTGCTGATGGACCAGTAGAAGATTTCGTTTAATGCAATTTGATGGGGTGTTTGTTGGAACAATGGATGTGTGGAGCAATGTAGGTATGACTCTGTAGATTTGTAAAGCAATAAGTGAAAAAATGAATCTTGGAATGTGATGAAAAACTAACCAACCAATTACCCAAATTACCAACACATTTCACCTTCTCACATCCACTCATCCCTCTTCCCATATCTAATTCTCTTTCACACACACACAACAACAACACCATACTCAACCCTTTCTAACAAACACAGCATTGATATCAATCGCATGAATATTCAAATCCAATATATCGAGTGTCCAATTCAATACTCGGCGTTCGAGTTCGCTTATGATTCCGCGGATTCTCCATCGCCGGCCGCTCCTGTTCGTGCCGAATCCGAAGCTGCAACTCCATCTCAGACGGAGGATTCTGCGGAGAACAAACCGATTCCACAATCATTGACTGCATTTCAGTCCAATCCCCACACCCCTTACTCCAGGAATCATTCGATCAAAGTACTTGTAATCAAGCGGGCCGTCCACATGGGGAATGAACGGGACATTGACCTGCTTATGAAGCACTGCATTCCAGTCGAGACACGCAAAAAACGGATGACTTTTAATCCCCTCTCTTTCATGATTCACGCATCCAAATCACTCACACGCCCAATTCATTGGAGCCGAGACGCCGTGAAGGATCTCGCTCTAAAAGACGAAGAATCAGCGACCGAGCATCCATTGAAACGCCGCGAATTCGAGGCGTTGCTGCAGCATTCATGATGTTATTCAGCGTTTGCTTCCCATTATCATTTCAAAACACTCAAACGTGATGAGAATGGCCTTGGAATGGATGGGTTCCAGTCAGACATTCGCATAACAGAATGCCTAACGACCACCAATCAATCGCTTCGGTGTGAGGTCGTCGCAGCAGCATTTCCGGCTATCAATCAACGATTCTATCTTTAGAATACAGCCATGTATTGCTCAGTTCCGCAGTAACTGTAAGAACGCAATTCGTTGATTGGGATTTTCAAATCTTCCTTGAAGTTGTAGTAACGAGAAAGGCCGAAATCCGCGAGTTTGATGTGGCCATCCGTGCCGAGAAGCACATTCTCCGGTTTCAGATCTCTCTGTGTGTGAGAAGTAAAACGCGAATTCGAACGTAAATAATCCCCATCGAATGCAGATGATCCAACGCGAGAACGATTTCAGCCACGTACAAGCGAGTTCGTTCCTCAGAAAACAGTCCGAAGTGAGACAAATGCGTGAACAAATCTCCGCATTGCATGTAGTCCATCACCATATAGAGACGGTACGGAGTTTGATACGCGTAATACAATCGAGTAATGAACGGGAAATTGGCTTTCTCCAGAATGGTCCGCTCGATTTTGGTGCGACTCACTTGCCTTCTTCGCACGATTTCGTCCTTCTTCAAAACTTTCATCGCGTAATACTTGCCCGTTTTGACGTTGAGCACGTGCAGAACCTTTCCATACCCACTACAGTCAACCCGGTTCTCCGCTTCTACCCTCTTCCCAAAATCGCTTGCACCTGGAAGTCCTCCAATGTCACATGGACATGCGGATGCTTCTCCTCCACCACTTCCTCCACTTGAAGGGGCGCGGAAATCTGCTCCGGAATCACAGACTCGATGGTCTCGGAAGTGGTGCTCGGAGTATCGGCGCTTGCAGGCCGTTCTCCCAATGGGATGTGCTGCTAGTGAACAAGCGAAATCGCGTACTCGAATGCCCGTGACATCGCAAGTGATTAATGGCTTGGTTTTCAACAACATCAACAGCAAGGATTGGTAATCGTTGTACTGGCAAAACATGCTGAATCGGCATTTCTACGTCAAAAACATGCGCAATCTCAAACATCTCTTCCAGTAGGAATCAACATATACGCGCACAAGAGCACTTCAGCTCGAACATACGTGTTTTTCGATGCCGTGGTTGCGGTCGTCGGGATTTCTCCATTCACGCTGACTTCATAAATCACATAGCAGCCATCCTCGGTGCGATAGTGATCTTGGAGAAGCAGCAAATCACGAGCCGAAGCAAAACCGCTCCCACTCTTCATGAATCGGTGAATGACCCGAACGCCTTGCGGAATTCCATCGTCTATTTCTCACAAGCAACGATCGATTCAACAAGTGCGGCCTCCTCGATACACTCCACCTAACTTCTTCCATTCCTTCAAAATCACCGAGTTATCTTCCGCGGGATTGCTTCGATTCTTCTTGTCGAGGAGTTTCCGAACGAACGGAATTCGCTCTTCGTTGCAGACTCCTTCGATGACCGCGATTACCTCTTCACGAGAAAGTCGTTTCTCCCATCGAGCTCGGCCGCGGATTGGATAGCCCTGAAGATCGCCAATGAGAAGGTCTCGATAGACTTCCTCGGCATCGCCACTTATCTCACGAGTTGATCGAAGGATATTGTAGTTTCCAAGCTGAGAAATAGGCTTTTCGACGAGGATCTGCAGTAAATGCACAGCAAAACTGAAACATAGTTTCCGTGTCGATCGATTCGTTTCCGCTCTTTCCACTGACCTCCGCTGCGGAAAAGAAGGTGGTAAAACGTTTGCTGACGAAGTTCACTCAGCAACGATGCTATCTGCTTAGTATCGCGTGAATTAATAGCTGCTTCGAGTAGAGAAGCTTTTGGAAGAGAGAAAATAATAGTGCCGTTAAGAAACCAGGGCGAAAATCACAAAAAACAAAATACAGAAAAAGATTGGTTTCATTGGATATGAATTTGATTTTACATGCGCTGAGAAAAGCCAGGGTGTGACCCCTGAAGAAACATGGGACGAGGGTAGCTGCAAATCCACTGCGAATGCATACAGATCACTAGTGTCCTAGCCATGAGGCAGGCAGTTCACAATTTACCAAAAAACGGCCATCCACTTTTGTCAGGGCAACAAATACCTGGGAATCGAGCAATTCCTGGCACATGTGCTGCCCTTCGGTACGACTATCTACAAATCCGTTGATTAGTAACCAGTCGATGGCAGACGCTGCTGAAAAGCAGGTTGAGTAAATTTTGGACCCAAACGACCTGTCTCGAATTTCGAGTGTGTTTCGCATCAAAGCTACCATGTGAGAAAGTTTCACAGACAAAAAGGATTGGTCTCCCGCACGCGAAGCAGAAGTCTGCTTGCTCGATGCATCAGACTTGGCTCCAGGGAGAGTTTTAGAAATGTAGCCTGCCCGATGGCAAGGCTTAAACCGGTCTGTGTCGGGAATTGGCCTTGTTTCGGGAACAGAGGGACCAGAAACTATAATCTCGTCTGAGACCATTTAGCAAACAAGAAAGAGTTGAAAATGAAACAAAAAGACAATGGAGATTTATCGCATAGGGATTAACAAATATATCCCGTCCACAAGGTGAATGGAACAACGAAGCATCATTGGCCCATTTAAATATATCCCTGCTTCATAAAATACTCAGAGATTATTATTCTGTAGAGGGGAGAGCACATAGCAATTTCATTGTTCGATCATGGTGCTCCAAATACACAATTTAAATTTCCCGTTACACATCAGCCATGAAAAACCATCTATTTTACGGAGGAAGCAATTCTGGATGTTTCTTGGTTTTACCTTTTTGATTGGATGAATAGTCAGTTTATATTCAATTGGTAAACGTTTCAAAACGTTTCCTATTGGTTTTATTTTGACTGAATTCATGCCGCTATTTAAAAATATTTTGACTAAGTCGTCACTGCACTGCGTCATAAGGGGATCATGAAAAGTCAGTTTAAAACCCCAAAGATGGAGTGCATAACCATCTTCACACTCATGACGAAAAACAATGGTTTCCGCAAGGGAGAGTGGCGTACTAATAGAGAATCGTCACAATATTCTTGTGTTTCCGTAATAATAAAAATAATGGAATTAAACTGACTTTGTCTTTTTGATATTTGGCATTTTGGTAATCATTATACGAGAATCAATCAATCAATTAAATTATCTATGTATATATTCAGGGTACATCTACTTGTACCATTACAAACATCAGAGAGTTTGAAATGGATGCACGGTATATATTGTATGACACAAACAATGTTGAAAAAACTAACTAAACTTAGAAAACAAAACATAGATAGTTCCTTTCAATACTCATATTAATATAAATGTTAATATTAATAATAAGAATAATAAACAATAAAAAAAATAATAATAATTATAGTAATAATAATACAACAATAGCACCAGCAGCAACCATCACAGATTATTGTTGGCTTCTTCGATAGATATCTTGATAGGGCAGGACAATCCAGTAGTTATTCAACCTCATCGCTGTCCGAATCCGAAACAAGTACTCTCTAAACAACATAAACTACGCGTCATCCCCCTGCTTCTCATCCTCCCTACTTTCGCAATCGCAGAGAAATTATCTCCTTCCTGCACTTTGGTTTTTTTCTTCTTCAAGAAACGCATCGAATTGATCTCTTCCGGATCGATTTCTAAAAGACGGCTCAAATAGTGGCAAATCAGCAAATCCGACAGCGAACACGCTTCCAGCTCGGACTTCTCCAGATTCGACAAGCAGGATTCATTCTTCTGAATGCACTGCGGAATCAACTCCACGATCTCCGACGCGATTGACGCGTACTCCGTCGTCGCTACTCCTAACGCTCTTTCCCCGCGGGTACCGTTCCAAATCGACACCAGCACTTCCTGATACTTCGTGGAAACCGCGGGGAGTTCCACCGATTTCGACGGATTCGCAGGGGCGACGAAAGCCTTCTAGAAATCAGCGGCTTCGACAAACGAAACGATCAGCTCCATCGACGTCTCCGTGAAAGCGTGGGTTTTTCTGTCAAGACAAAGCGGGAAAATGGATCCGGACTGGAAGAAATTGAACTGGCTGGCGAAGAAGGCGGAATAGGAAGGCTGCGAATAGCTCAGAAACGAATTCCTGTGCGTTACGCCAAAAAACGAATCTCGACTTGAGCGTGGAAACGAATTTGTTGGTTCCACGATTAATTAAATACTGAAACTCCTTGGCTACGTGCTTGTCGGGAAGCAGGAGATTCATTTCGAGGGAACACGCGGTAATCAGTCGATAAATCCGAGCCGACCGCGGAATGTTGAACGTCGATTCCAGCTCTGTCACGTCGGAATCCAGGTTCATTTCGCTGTGGAAGATAAAGACTTCTTGGACGGTTTCGAGAGGCAGATGAATGCTGCTGGGGAGCGGACCGAGCAGAACGACGCAGGGAATCGCTCCCGAATGGTAGTTGATCCGTTTCACGGCAGAATTGCATTCTTGAAGGGTGTGGATTCCGAATAAGCTGCGATTAAACGAGAATAAGAATAAAAACCATTCGAGTTTGACCTTTTTCGATCGGAAGTAGCGCTCGAGATTCAGACACATCAAAAGCGAGCTGCAATACACAAACACGCAACTCTGCGATTTCTAGCCATCAGTTCGATCGCCCAATTCGACCTGTCCAATGTAGGAGTCGAGAAACGCCACTTTCGAGCTGGCCTTCGCGAAACAATCCTCCCACGACCCTCCTCCCATCGTCTCTAAAATCGCTTCTTCCGACGCACCGGATAAAAACGGATGCGTTAAGATTTTAATGGTTTCGAAATAAACGCTGGTGATCACATCGTCCATCATCTCGCTGCGCGTTTTGGCCTGCATCACGAATCCCCAGCGCGCATTCAGCGCGTTCAGACATTGGATCTGGACGTTGGAATAGGGGCAAAGAATGCAGGCTTCGAACGACGAATCTGCACCGATGGAACGCTGGAAGAGCGTAATAAAGGTCGGGATTTTGCCATTCCGGATCGCAGTGGCGAGATCGCTGGGATCGGAATAGCCGGAGAGATTGGAAAAGAGGGCTTTCCTGTTGAGAGAGGGGAGGTCAGCGATGAAGCGCAAGGTCGTGTGGTTCTGATAATAGTTGCGAAGGAAGTCAATAAAATAAACGGGAATCTGCGCGGGAATTCGATCAAACCGCCAGCATGTGATCAGAAAATCGAAACTGCGTTTGAAAAGCGGAAAAACAAACTACTCCAAATCGGCGAGTTGATCGTTCAGTTCTTTCTCGTTCTCCAGAAAGGAAACGCTCGTTAAACACTCTTCCGATGATCTATTCGCTCACTTTTCGATCTGGAAAGAAGTACGAAAAATTATCCAAAATGAGGCAGGAAATGTTCAGCAGCTTGAAATTATCATTGTCGTCGCGCGTTCTGGATCGGAACGCCTGGTTTGAAATGATAAAGATGTTAAATTCAGTGGTTTTCGCCCTTCGTGAACTGCCGATGTAGGAATCCATTTGGAATCGACGCTGCTGCGAATTATCTGAAAGTATAGTTTAAAATTGGGGAACGCCAACTTGAGAAAACTCCGACTTTGAGATTTGAGTATTCGCAAAGCGTTTCGTACCATTTGAACACGAGCGAATCGGGACAAATGATCATCGCCACCGACTGAAATCGATTCTCCGAAAGCAATTGATGAAGAACGCACGCCTGCGAATCAATCGATCCAAAAACGCACACAATCAGAATGCGATCCTCGCAATAGGGAGTGGTTAACAACGTGACGCAATGATAACAATCCAAGGCAGACAACATATCGAATGTTTTGTGCCGCTACAACATCAAATCGGAAAGAATGAATAGAACAATAAAATTGGATACATTCGAGGAAAAAACGGAATGGAGCTCATCGCCGCTATATCCGTTTCGCAAGACACACGACAACAACGGAACCAACTTCGATTTTGTAACTGCAAATCAAACAACACGACGAACGAACTACGGTGCTGCTGGTTTCCAGATTGCTTTCGATTCACAAACTGCTCATTCTCGCGCTTCTGTCGAGCCACCAACTCGGTTCCATTCGGCAGCAACGCGAGTTGATTCAGCGTGATATGAGCGGATTGGCCCGTCTCGAAATAGACCATAATATCGGAGGAAATCAACGATCGATCGGGATCATTCGGATACATTTGGCAGTGGCTGCAAATGAGTTTTTCGGTGCGTCGCAGAGTGGTTCCATTCCAACACTCCTTGTGATACTTTGAAAGACATTTGCGACAGCACACCACAAGATCCTTTTCAATGTGGCTGCGACAACTCGCACAGATGGTTCCGATATTGAGAGTGGAATGAACTGCACTGGAAGCAAGAAAGAGAGGAGAGAATGTTTTGTATAAATGACTTTCCTACAAATCAACAGAGTTCATCCACAATCACTTCCGCCACATTCACAATGAATTTCCAAATCGGTGAGAACAAATAGCATCGAGTCAAGTATCGATCCAATTCCTTCTGAGCCGATGCTTTCAAGCGAGATTGGGGCACCCATTTCGCAGAAATAATCGAATCTCCGTTCAGAATGGTCAACACTTCGATGGTGTGATTCATTCCATAGCGTCGCATCAAAATTGTTGTGACCGTTCGGTCCACAGGGCACGTGCCCATTCGGAAACTCAACTACGACTCACGCATTCAATTCAAATGAAACAATTTGTGGAAACGTATGATAACCCAACGATTCAACTTTATTCCATTCAGACATTTGCTTATATGAGCGGATTCCATTATTGTTGTTCTTTATAATCACGCTTTCATTCGAAGTCGTGTTCTCGATGTTCTGTTCAAACGTATCCGTGTCTTCACACAATCGAACTCGCCAGTTTCCTAGCGAAATAACTCGCATGTCTTGTCTCCATTTCACGATATGACTGCGAGTTCGATGATTGTATGACATCACAAAGACATTCAGCCATTCATTTCGATACGCATAATATATCATGATATTCCTTTTCACCAGGCAGGATCCACAAATCCACTTTCGAGGAGCCCGCAATGCCTTTCTCCAATTTCTTTCTTCGCCAAGATAAAATTCACCCCAAATGCATCGAAAATGAAATTGTTTATTACACTGATCACAAATAAACGTGGTGTTCTCATTACCTGACAACGGATATTTGCAGACATCGCAACGAGCTAAAGCGGGATTCTCAATCAGAAGAGTCACATCTTCTTGAATTGTTAAGCTACGATTTTATCGAAATTCGTCCTATTTTACTCTTTCATCATTCGTCTTCGTTTGGTTACACTCCCCTCGGATGGGAATCTTTCACTCCTATTTGTTAGGGATTTTTCACTGTTTATGTCTGTTGCATCACGTTTGGAGCGTTGGCTTGCGTCCGAATAATCTCCCTCCGATGGGAGCACATCATCACCAATCGCGTTGTTCCGTTTGATAATATTCAAAAATGAGTAATAAAAATTTGATTTATCCTCATCAGTATTAAATTTTTCTATGTTTTCGTAAGCCTGAACAAGATAATGATAATTTTGAATTGCTTCTAACAGTCTTTTATTTTTCGCCCCTCCCAAAAATAATGAGTCTGTTGAAATCTTAAATTTAAAAATATTAATAGAACTATACTCCATTATATAATACTTCAATGGAAGAGCGAGGAAGATATATTTCCACTGATGCGTTCTTTCCGACCAGTATGACACATTTAATATCTACAACTTATTATAAGAATTCGAATGAACATACTGGCTGACCCTCGATGGTAATTTCCTGTAAATTTCCAATCCACAACCTTTATTTAATTGTATAAATAGAGCATACAGCAACAATATTTTCCGAACTGCTCATTCCTTGAGAACACCTATAATTATGTAACTCTTTGAGAAATCCCACTTTGCCAACACGGCGATATTATTATTCATTATATATTGTAATAAATCATCGGGGAGCATAATATAAACTTCCGAAAGACACTATTTTTAATAATCTAAAAGTATCACGGTTATTGAAACCTTTTTTTGTTGATAGAAAACCTTGATTCCCTGGAATTCACGGCAGAATCTCGTTTTTACAATTCTAAAAACTCTATTTTATTGTCTATCAATCAATCCACGCTGTATTTCCACCCCCGTCGTGCGCCAATCCGTTGGTTTTGAACAAACAAGTAAAACGACCAAATTGTCCGATACCTCGCTTGCATTGTTAGTATTAACAAAACTCTGGCATTTCCCCTTCCCAAATGCGGGCAAGATTTCCTCCTGCCTGCTTGAGCAACATCGCAATAAATCGTTGCATATTTAGCGATGACGGGGTAATGCTCTGAATCAAGCACCCTCCAACAAAATTATTCTCCGAAACCGTCGCTTCCTCTCCTTCCAGATCCAGCATCTCGTGCAACAACGCCTCGACCTGCGAAGCCGAGAGGAGCGTCTGCTTGTGCAGCATCCACAGCCCCATGGAAACAAACACTTGAATTCGCTTTATGACAAAGGAAACCGTCGGCTCTTCATTCCCACTCAGCGCGCGCAGCATCGAGTACACTCCACGACACACTTCCATCGGCTCCGAACTCCCATAATCCGCGAACGGCATCAGCGCCGCGATCAAATCTTCGTACTACTCGTCATTCCCCGCGCGCGTTCCCACCAAAATCTCCGCCTTCCCGCCGACTTCCTCCAGCAAATGCTTCTCCAGCTGCACCAGCGAGTGGATCGGCAGCGTGACCTGCAGCAGCGAGAAGAGTCTACGCAATTCATCGCGAAGCAGCACGCTGTTGAGCCGGACTTGCGCCAATCCGCGGCTTCGCTGCGACTTCTTCGCGCATTTCTCCGTTAAGAAGTGGCAAACGCGCTGCGGCGCTGGCGGCGCGAGCAGCAGCGAATGCAGGAAGAAGCCGTCGCGGTTGTTGAGGGAGAGCGTGAGCAACACCTCCGAGAGCGAGCGGGAATCGGTCTTTTCGGTCTTGGTGACGAAGCTGAGCGTCTCGCTGAAGTTGACGAGCTCCGCGTGGAGCAGACGAACGACGTCGGGGACTTCGAGAATGCCGTCCTCGGTCATCTCCTTCAGCTTGGTGTTGAAAACGCGAGCGAGCAGCAAGGGGGTCGTCTAGATGGGAGAAACGTGGAAACCGGACGTGTTTGAAATAGAAAACGGCGGGGAGGAGATGATCGAAGAAGAGAAAGAAGGCGCGAATGATGGGCGTCATGCTCTTCACGTAGGTGATATCGCCGAGCTGCGGCGAGCTCTGCGCGATCATAAAGAAGAGACGACTGTCCATATCGCCCTCGCTGAGAAGACAGAGCAGCGCGATGAGTTGATGCGCGTCCACGAGGTGCGTCGCGTTCACATCCAGACAGTCGAACACTTGCGACAAGCCCGTTCGAAGGCTTTCGTCGTCGCTGCCATCGGAGAGACTCCGAACCGACGACTCCAGTCGCAGCTCGCATTCTTCGCTCATGTGCTCGCGGAATCGCTCCAGCATGAGCTTCGAAACGGAAGAGACAAAACTGCTGCGCGCCACGGCGCCATCGGCTCCCGCCTGCATCAAAATACACTCCGCGATCGCGTCGTTGCAGTTGCTGAAACTCATTTCGGCCGCGAAGGACTGCAAAGCATCGAGACATCTACGGATTACGCTCATGCAACGGCTCAGCACATCTGCAGATCGGCTTGGGAAGCGTCTTCCGAGGCGTACATCCCGCGCGCTTGCAGCAATTGCGGCGAAACAGCCTGACTCAGCACGTCGTACGTGATGAGCCACTGCTGCGGTCGATTCGGATGCGGATACACCGACACCACGCTGCTGTCTTTGGAGATCGAGAACGGCCCGTTGCTCTTCAGCCATCGTATGAACTGATCCTGCGACAGCGAGTCGGAAGTCGATAACCCGAACGTTTGGAAGCAGGCAGTCGCGACGTTCGTTGCGATCTGATCCAACGTCACGACCGTCACGTCGAAGCAGAGGAAGAACTCGTCGAGCACGCAGTACACGCACTCTAGGAAGGTTTTCACAGTAGAGTACACAATGGGACCCTGCCAACGCTCGCAGATCCGCAGCCCCACCGCGGTGTTGTTGGGATACAACGCGCTGAGCATGGAAATAAGCGTGGTGCTGTCCACGCCGAGACAATTCGGCTGGAGCGACTGGCAGCACGCGTAAATCCGAGAGAAGATTTCGACCACGTTCTGAAGGTCCACTGGCTTATTGCCCGAGACCCGTTCAATGAAATGGATGAAGTCGCTCTGCGTTAGAATAGAGTGCTTGTAATGATCAATGTATTCAACGAGACGGGTGAAGAGAATGTCGCCAATGCCGCTCAGATAGCGAAGATTCATCATCGCATTGAAGTAAATCACAGGCCGAATTGTGAGATATGGGAAATAGCTGACAGGCAGGAATAAAGGATAATGATCATAGAGGAGCTGACGAATGGAGTCCACAGACAGAGGCTGAGGCAAGGAAGCAATAAGTTCATTGATTGGCTTCTCATAGAAGGCGAGCAGCTTTGGAGAATAGGAGTCGATTCTATGCAATGAATCGCAATGAAATCGATTACTGAACGTAGAGACTCATGGTAATGAAGGAGTACAGTAACTGACGCAGTAACGAAGGATCGGGAGTGGATCCAGAAGGAAACACGATCGACAGTAACGAATTCCAAATATCGGAGCGATTTTGTTCAAGAATAATCGACAAGGATCCCAACACCGACACTTTCGAAATCGTTCCATCGCATGCAGACAAGAGAGAGGATAAAGCGAGTAACTGTGCCTTCCGCACTTCGTGCAAAGTAGAGAATGCAGCTAAGGGGAAGTGATTATCCATCATCTACAAATCAGCAAAACTTCGATTATTCGCACATCAATGAACTCTGCTGGACTCATCGAATCCTTCGGACACACACAATTCAATACTGAATTCAAAGATTCTAGATTGACTGATGACATGCCTAAAGTCGCTTGAAGCTTTTTCACGTGCTGATTGAGTCGAGCTCGGCCATACCGAATCAACTCATCGATTCGGAACGATTTCCACGCGTTCTGCAAAAACAAGTCCTTTGAAATCGTCGACACTTTTTGACCACCCGCACAACTCGCAAACAGCTGTGCGTTGATCGAATCGATTAATTTCTGATCGTCCTGCTGGAAGTACGTTAACAATTGAGGCAGCATGATGTGAATGAGGGTGACAACCGCTCGTGTGAACGGATCGAACGAAGTGATGCCTTCAGAATAGTTGCTGGAAGGGAACAGCAAAACATTAAAGATCGCTTCGCTATTGGAAGCAGCATCGGCATCCTTGCAGAAAAAGAACAGCACAAACAGCAATTCGAAACGGTCGATTCGCACCGACTCGTCGTGTGTGAGAATGTGAAACAGTGTGCAATGACGTCGTGAGAGTTCGATCGAAGGGAGTGTGGCTTGCAGGAACTCGGAGAACTCCGAATAGAACATATTATCTCGAGCTTCATACGAAGTGCAGAAGGAAGCGAAACTGCTAAGCAGCTGCGACGTGGTGAGCGAGGAGAAGCCGTAATACGCGCTCCATTGCCGAGATAAATACTAGGCGGTGAGAATTTCAGGGGAGAATCGATACATGTAGCGCCAAACCGATCGAACTATTGGTCGAAAACAGTTGAATGTGATCACTCGAATCGCTCGAAACAGGCTCGACCGATTCGGTTTCGGTTTCGATTTCGATTTCGATTTCGATTTCCTTGGCTTCCTTTACCATTTCCTCCACGGGATACGGGTTATGGAACGGATCTCCCAACAAGGCGTCCAAATTGGGGACTTGGAACAGTTGCATGAGGCAATCGACGAGCTGTTCGTAGCTCCATCGCTGCATAATTCCCATAAAGATATGTTCAATCAAAAGCGTTTCCACGCTGTAATGGATTCCGTCCTGTCCATCCATTTCCTTTTGGATCTGATCGCGTAATATGGGATTCTGAAAGTGGGTGGGTGATGCGAATAAGAGAACGCAATCCAGCAGATTCTCCACGATCTTCTGCTTTTGTTCGCGTAATTTGGGAGAAATGGAGAGAATGGAAAGAATATCTTCTTCTTCTTCTTCTTTAATGGTTTCGCTAGTGGTTTCTTCCTTGTTCTTGTTTTCATCCTCATTCTTGTTTTCGTTTTCATTCTCAATCACCTTTTCATTCTCATTCTCCCTTTCTCGCTCCTTTTCTTGAGGATTCACATTCATTTCAATCATGAGCCAAGTAATGCAATGCAAAAAGAGTTCCAAGGAGGAACGCGGAACAATATTCTGATTGCTCGTATCAACCAAATAGGACAGCAAAAGAGAAGCCGCCTCTTCGATGTCTTTGAAAATAAGAAAGAGCAGCAGACTCATAAAAGTAACAACATACACAAAATCAATTGCTTCACTCGATTCATCTTCATGAAAGAGTGTCAAAAACACTTCGCAAAAGATATCGATTTTGATAGCAATCTTCTCGTTTTTCTCCTCCTCCTCTTCCTCCTCTTCCGAACCATTCAACAAACTATAAAACTCGTTAATAAAATCTTCATCGTTCACAGTGCCATCATTATTCACATATCCAGACAGATCCTCCACAAATTCATCAAAGAAAAAAAGATTCAGCGACAAATCCTTATAGATAGACGCGAACAAGTCCGATAAATAATATACATATTCCACATTTGATCGGACTTCATATGGCTTGTATAAAACTACCAGCTCTTCCTGCATCGAATTCGAGCAGGCTTTCAGCAGTTCTTCGCTGGGAGAGCCATAAAAAACAGGGGTAAAGAGAAAAGATCCACGGCCGATCAGCCAAAATAAAACTTGTGTGAATGACACACTGTATTTTGGATAATCGTAATCGGAACGAAGAAGATCCGTCATGGATCGAGCGACAGCAGAGAAATGAGGGCTATAAATCAGAAGATTGCTGCTTTCCTACTGGAGATTGGAACAGAACTTTCCGGTGGAAAAGTAGCAGGCTTCTTGCCAGTATAAAAATTCGAATATGTTTTGAAGTTGAGGAAAGGAAGCTCGATCACTGCCGTTCGCAATGAGAGAAAACAAGGAACGAAGGCGCTGCGATAAGGGGATTTCAACTAGATTTGTTAATTTTTGATACAGTAGATCCATAGAGAGTGGAGTTTCAGTGCTACAACCAAAGAACTCCTCCAACGAATAAATTGAAGCTGACTAACGATCATCCATTCGATTCTTTGATACACAAAAGAATAATGTAGATAAACGAGATAGCGACTTGGGAGTGAAGGGCTCTTGAAAGTTTAAAGAACTACTTTTGATATCAATACATAATCCTACGTTAAGTACTCAATCAGTTGGTCCTTTTCCACCACTATTTCCTTACTTCTATAATTACTTAAAGTATCTACGATATTCACTTTCGAATTTATATCTCACTATGAAAAACAAGCAGAAGTGGCTTTTCTGTATCTTTTAAGACCCCTAAAAACAACTCTTTAGTCGTCATCTCGTCCAAAAACAAGATATCTTCAGACTTGGGATACCGCAAGCCAAGGATGCTCTTGTCCTTGAGTTTGAATGCTACTTGAATAGATTCTTCCAAAGATGCAGAGCTGAACGGGATAGGGAGGGATATTGACTTTACGATATCTCCAAATTGGATTTTAAATGATGAAAGCATAAAACCTTGAATTATTGTGATATAAGAGTGATGATTGAAACTCCCAAGAGGAAAAAATAGTTTTGGTTATGAAAAAACAAGCTACATGTGCAGGGAAATGCGATGGAGTATTCAAAGTGACTTCCCATTCAAAGATTAGTAAATTGGTTCCAATATTCAGTCTGTGCTCTGAGCATTCAATTCGAAATCAAAATAGGTAACAACATCGTATTATCCTCCTCTAAAAAATCTCTTGCCTGTTAATAAATGGGGATCATTGAAAACCGATAAAATCAGCAAGATTCCAATACATCCAGGGGGTCAATTCTTGTTTGGTTTCTTTTCTCACAATTCCGTTCATTGAAAGAGGTAGGCAAGTGGACAGTTAGAACGATTTGTGGACTATTTATTGAGAGCATGGAATCGTAACAAGTCTGTAGAATGAGAGCTAAGTGGGCAAAGAAACGTATGCGACGTCTGCGACGTAAGAGAAGACAGATGAGAGCTCGTGCCAAGTAAACTTTGTGTATTTTCCATGAATGACCAATTTGGCTGCATTGTTTGTTCCATTCACTCTGTATTCCTTTTTTCCTATTTGCACCTTCGTGATGCTACGTTTTGTGCATATTCGTTCAAATCCATCGTTGTTGACAAAAAGACAGATTCTTTCTCTGAGACGTGATGGTAAGGGAATTGTGGCTGTACAATGATGGGTAGGCTGCCATCTTTGATTTTTCAGAGATTATCGTGCTCATTCTGCTATTTTGCTGTACCTGTGCCTATTTGCATGAGAAAATGCCCTCCTTGCTGGACGGATACAAGACCGGATTTTCTGGAATATTCTGGAAGGGCGCTCGTATCGGAGAACGGTTATCTCCCTATGTGTGCGTGGGGTGTCTGATCATGGCTGTGTATGTTTTGATATTCCAGTAGTTGTATGATTCCGTTCTTTGATTTCAAAAACAATGCACTAGAGGCTTGGATTCACCCAAAGACCAAATTACAAATAAATCGACTAGTTTCTCTGTACTCCTTTGTGACAAACTGCGTTTCGTTCCCAGTAATTCTACACATTACCCCCATATCCCAATCACACTTTTTCCAAAGCTGCAGCGAAGCGTTGTTTGCAGGCCTCAGTTTCGCACCCTCTAGACTCAGGTGAATGTAAAACGCCATCGAGTCACCACACCACAGCTGCATCAACTTCGAATCCACAGAGAAGAGCAAAAAGCTCTTCTCCGGCTTTCCCATTTGATTCACATCTTCCAACACTGAGAAATACAAAAACTGCGCAGCGATCATCAGCAAGATTCGCTTGCTCAGATTCTCCATGAGCCTCGCCATGTCGGTCCCAAACATATCGGTCCCAGACATGTTCATAAGAATCGTGATATAATGAATAAAGTGAGGGTTCACTTCTGGCAAGTCCAGATCGCACTCCACCGTGAAGCGATTGTGTACGTTCAGCGTCAGCGAGATCCAATGAAACCGATCCTGTCCAGGGAAGCAATACCGCACGACCACGCTGAAGTACGAGGGAAGGGACACATCCAGCGAGGCGCAGAACGCGAACCGCGCATTCGCGAACGTCTTCGCCAGGGACTGCGAGATCTTCACGATGATCCGGGCGCAGTTCCGAAAATGCCAGACGAGGAGCGAGGACGCGGAGGGAATCATGTACTTGGCCGACGTCTCTGTGAAGTCGACGTTCTGGAGACAGCCCTTGCGAATCACCAAGGTTCGGTTCTTGAAAAGTCGGTAGATTTCGCTGGTGTGGTCGACTTTGATCTCCAAGCTGCTGCGCACCTGGAAGTCCAGTTTCTCTCCCCATTGCGGGAGGGTGCACTAGGCGTGAAGGGGAGGAACGAGGCGGAACGGTGAGGATGCCGGTGTCGCGACTGCCGTCGATGAAATCGAAGAATTTGTTGCGCCAGAGATTGACGAACGTGATCAGCGCTTCGAAGCGCAGTTTGGGGAGAAGCTTTTCGATGCAATACGTGGTTTGTTTGAAGAAATCCTGCGAGCCCAGGTCGGTCACCACGACCGACTTCTGCACGCACTCCAAGGGCTCCCAGACGCCGTCTTTGACGCACATGCCGCGCAGCACGACGAGCCAGTCGGCCTGCGAGGCGTCGTCGTCGGCGGATTTCACGTCGTTCTCGTCGATGTCAAACCCGATTTTGACGTCTTCGGGGTATTCGGTCAGCGCGTTCATTTTGTTGTTCACGCTGTGATAGGAAAGCGCGCCGCCCAGACTGGGCCGAACCAGCGAGTGGGAGAAGGAGGGAGTGGCGAGTTCGCGCCACATGTTGTTGTGGGAGAGGTAAATCAGGAGCTGGTAGATCGCTTTGCTCTCGCCCGAGAGCGAGTACATCTCGGAGAGACAGGGGATGAGGAGACAAGGCTCGTCCTCGTAGAAAGACAAGCTAACCGTCCAATCGGGCGAGGTTTGCTCGTAGTGGTCCTTGATCATCCAGAGAATCACGCGCTGGTAAAGCTTCTCGATGCAGCTCTTCACGCTCAGCTCTTCGCGAACGAGAATGGAGAGCTCGTTCATGATCTCCATGCACCAGTGCGAGAGCTCGGGGTGGGAGAGCTCGATCACGAACTTCCCGGTGAACGGATTGATCGAGAAGTTCACGCAGACCGGCGAGGAGCCTAAGTGGAGTTGAAGCTGCGCGATGAGGGAGGCGAAATACACGGAATGGACGGAGAAAATCGTGTCTGCGAGATCCGCTTCGAGCACTTTTCGGAGCGTGGAGAGAAGCTCGTTTTGACGATTCTGCACGCACTAGACAACATCGCAAGGAGAGAGAGAGGAAGGCTACGTCCAGAATGATGTCCATGATGCGGTAGCGAACGAGATCCACTGTGAAGACGCGATCGTTGCAGACACCCTTCACGCATGCCACGTCGCTCTCGCTATCGATGTATAGACGAACGCGATTTGTGGCATCTTCGCGGTTCTGATTCCAAAACGAGAACTCGAGCGTAGTGCCATCGATGCTGTACGGATAGGGACACAGTCCGTAGGATAATCGATAGGACGAGAGGATTGAGTTGAGCTGCAAGTAGAGTGTATAAAGGGTTTGGCGTGTAATGACAAAATAAAGCATTTGGTAGCTGAAGGTGATGCGAATGGAAGGTTTCATACATTTTCTTGAGAGCATCGCCGAGAACAATGTCCGCTCCAATCAGGCTGTTCAAGACATTAATGATGCGAGTGATTTGATTTGAAGAGAAATAGGGATATACCGTTAGATGTGTGTTGTTGTTGCAAATAATCTTCAAACGAGTCACCATCAACGGAGAGTCTAACTCGGGTTTCTATCGTCATAGCTAGGATTTAGCCCTACAATCACAGAAAGGTAGAGAGTAAATAAACTCTCCTCCGTACACACAATCTCACTATCTTCTACGCTAATGTTTGAAACGAATGCAGGAATATCTTCGGTTACGATTCGAGTGCGCAGAATACGCATGATCAGCTCCTTTCCTTCATCCATCGATATTCTGGACTGAAAACAAGCTCGACTATCACAGACGAGCGAGATAAATGGATAACTCCCGTTCTCCAAAACAGACAATGCAGAATTCAACGGAAAAATCGGTTGCATGCACTCTCGCAGTGAAACACTCAAATAGCCAAGTTGATCTCTGATATATTGCAGCACATCGTTATTCTGATTAAATGAAATTGCCATTTCTTGACAGCAGCCCAGCGTATCGATGTTCTTGGTCCATTTCAGCAATGCATAGAGTTCCACGACTAGAAACCTGCATCGCTCGGATGTAGACACCATTTTCAGATAACTTTGATTATCTCTGCTTTCAGCAGGCGCAGAATCCACAGCATTCACCAACTCAGTGTATATCCTTACCAGACTGTTCCGAACAAGATCCCCACAGTTCTTGATATCTGAGGGAAGGGGATAATAACTTTGCTGTTGCTGCTGCATCAATAATCTGACTAACCCCAACAATACGAAATGGATTCTAGTTGCATTATATTTGTTTCGATATTTTTGTTTGTTGCAACGTGAAATGGATTTATTCGCATTTGTTACCCAGAATGAGAGTGTGGAAACGATCGATAAATTAACCAATATGTGGGCTAAGCTAGAGTAAGAACGAACAGCAGGGTGAAAGTTCTCAGACAGAAAGCAATTATGGAAAGAAGTGTGTTTCAACTGTGGTGCTGTGTAAAAAACAAAATAACAATCATAATGGTGTAGGCGTATGGTAGTTAGTAAGTGTAAAATAACTTGTACTGTTTTGTTCTGCCTAATCAAGTCTCACTTCAGTAAGAATCAAACAAACAATCAAACTCTTTTCAGGTGTAATCTTGACCAGTTTATTAACTGTATGCTCGTCTACAACTAACATGCTGCGCTTGCGCGGAGTGTGACTCTTCTCTTTTCCTACCTACACTTTAATTCCATTTTCAAGAAGCACTGCCTCGCTCATTTTCTAACCTATCAAGCAAATCAAATAGAAGTTACCTTCTTTACTTCATCCTTCATCTCTTCGAAGCCGAGACTTGACAAAGCTTTCATCACTTGATCATCTCCGATTGTTTTCACCTTATCATTTTCTGCTTGAAGTGTTAGCTCCATAGCCAAATGGCTGATAAATGCATTTCCACATTCTTGCATCTTTTCAGTGAATGACTCCCAAATGTCCTACCAATTTTACAAATGATTTGCTCACCTTGATCTTATCTCCTAAAACGTCCCGAATGATCGTATTTACAGTTTTCAAGGGAATGGTGGTTTTCTTCTTGTCATCATCCTTTTCCATGTCTCAAGTGTGCAGAAGACAAAGAAAAATGGAAGAAATTGTGACGAGAGGGCTTGTATAGTGCACAAAACGCACAATAATGACTCTATTCTCATACCATAGTGGAAAGCAATAGAACAGATTTGCTGAATAATGGATATTTCAAAAAGAAGTAGCAATCACTCTCATGCTGTCTAAACTGCTATGGTGCCACTTTTGTATGAAATCGATTTTTTAGCATTTGAATGAAGAGAGCAATACATAGAGATCCATAAATACTCACGCAAGCACAGAATAACACTTGTTTCTGTTATGAAAACAACAGTACACATATTGCTTGTGTGAATAGGAAACCCATAAAACACTTTGTATTTATGTTACTAGCCGAACGGTCATGTCTCTATTTTCACAAGTGTCATCGAGTGTTTTCTGTGCTGTATATTGCGGATTCATACATACTAAACATTTCTACAATGGCTGCACACTAACTCTGCGTGTATTGTCTGACACACATTCCACAAGTTAACACCTCCACTACATGTCCACTCTTCCTTTCAAATGAACAACCTATTCTCACTCGTATATCCCAAAAGAATTGGAAATCGCAGAAAACTGTCATTTCTCTGCGGAATATGAAGTACTTCGAATTATTATAGTATAATTTACCCACTTTGATTCCGATGCTTTCATCATCATTTTATACTTCAAACTCAGCCGTCTTCCTCCCGAACACCCCTCTCTTTCTTTCTGTCTTTTCTTTTTCTTTTTGTTTATATTGATTTTACATTGAGCTCTCTTTAGAATGAGTTTCTAAATAGAGTGTAACATAACGGATTAATATGCGAGCCTATTCTGTGTTTGAACATGCAGAACATGAGGCTGTAAAATCAATATATGGGTTATATGAATATGGACTATTGTGCTGTGTTTTCTTTGTATTCGGAAGATGTTGCTTCAAGCGATGAAATATTTAATAATAATAACAATATTATCAGCAGTAATAATAATAATAATAATGTAAATGGGTTAATGTCCTTCGCATTGGGACCTTCTGATCCTTTGGAGATCTTGAATGATCCTTGGGAATTGAACGCGGATACTCTGTTCACGGGTACGGTTTCTATCACCAGAGAAGATATTGCTTCAGATCCTGCCATACGGATCCCCAGTAGTAGGAAGTCATCTTTGGATATTACCGCTTTTCTCCCCCTTGAGTCGGATTCTCCCATCAATAACGTAGATTCCTTGTCGGTTGACGAGGTCCCATGCTTGTCCCTACCTCCAAGCCAGATCAGAAGAGAGAAGTCTTTCTCCGACCTTCTTCAAGAAGAGGCATATCGTCTCCGTGCCGTTGAATGTAAAAAGCGCCGGCTGCTACGAATGGATATCTTGCGAAAGAAGCGACAACAAGGACTAATTTCCTTTGGTCACACCATTCGCTACAAGCAGCGAAGCGACCTTGCAACGAAGCGAGTGAGGAGTAGCGGGAAGTTTGTGTCTGAATATAATTACAAGAATGCTTAATCTGTTTGTCAGAAATACTATTTCCAAACGTATCATTTAGCTAAAATTGGATTTCTTTTTTGTACAACTAAGTATCTGCATCCTTGGAATGCTTGCTCATGATAAGCTCTGCAGAGAAGATTCGACCTCTGCTTTATTGCTTTTGCCGAACAAGCTTTCTGAAAACGACGTAAACTTTCCCAGTAAGTACCCAGATTATCAACCAGAGGTGTTTCATAACCCTTCTAATGGTTTTCATGATCATTCCAGTAGTACTAACGAATCTGGAGTTTCTTTTTCTCAATGTGAGAAAAAGTACAGCAAAACGGATTCCATAAAATCAAAGAGTGGAATTCCCTGTCAAACTCTAAGTACTGTTCCAGATTTAGACGTTGTTGAGGTACCTCTTGGGAATGCAGAGCAGTTACACGTAGTACAACGATTGCTTTCGCTTTTATGTCGATATGCCCTCTGTTGTCAAAGAGAGCATTTTTGTTCTAGTCAAGAAGTATACTATTACGATAGAGGGTAGGAAATGTACAAATTATACAGGATGTAAAAAAATCTTGTTTCAAAGAAGAAAGTCAGGAATCATCAAACTCCAAATCCCAGTACCATTTCCGCTTCTAAATGATTTTCTAGTACAATCCGTTATTAATGGACACGAAACGTGCCGTGGCAACCTATAAAAATGGAGAGCTTTGCATCACTATTAAAAAACTATATCTCAAATAGGTATTATATTGTTTGTTTCAATCTTGTATGGAGCGTCCACCTGTAGATTATTATGCTATTTGCCAGCCTCGTTGTGTTTGGTTGTGTTCCTAATTCCCAGATAAAATGATCGATATGACGCTCATCAAGAGCAGATTTCCCTTTAATCAGGAGAAGGTAAACTCGATATTAGAGAGCATTACGGTTGGTGAGGATTTGGTGTGTTTCTTGTATCTGTAGGTGGTACGATCCACAATGCGAACCTTTCTGTCGATGTAGTAAAGCCCGTATCGTTTTTGGAAGAACTTTCGATGGTTCTTGATTATTTTAATATCTTGCTTGAATCCGAGTTTGCGCTGCGTGTATTTTTTTACCAATTAGCTATTCCTCCCTATCCAACGAAGATCGTTTTCTCATCCTTCTTCGTTTCTATTTAGCAACGATTTCTCTAATCCCTTCTGTATCACTTCAATAGTATTGTAAGATCCAGGACATCTACAAGCCTTGCACTCCTTTTCTGGGAGAAACATTTGCTTGTTTCGTTTCTACAAAGCAAGGCCGTGTCTCTTACATCGCAGAGCAGGTTTCTCTCCACCCACACATCACTTGCTTCTACGTCGAAGACGAAAATCACACCTTCAGCGTGCAATGCACATTAATCCCGAGGTTTTTTCTTCTTTTTCCAGCCGTTCTCTGTAGAGGAATGTTCGGCGGCAGCAGCGTTCGCTACACGTTCGACGGCTCCCTCACAATCACGCACATCCCCTCCCAACAGACCGTGCATTCCCGCGGTTCTCTCGATTCTAGTGCACTTTCACGCATCCCACGCTCGTTTCCACGAATCTGGATCACGGAACCCCCGAAACACAAATCGCTGGAAGTGTTTCGGTGAGTTGTTCCTTCGATTCGCTCTCGGCTCTCATTCTTTTCTATCTTCAGGTCCAAAAATCGGGACTATTTTTACCTCCAGCCTTTGACGGGCGGCGATCATCGCGTGCTGCGCGTGCACATCAAGCAGGACAATACGATCCTGTACCGAATTCGAGGCCGATGGGACCTGGGCTATGAGTTAATTCGCGAGGAAACGAAGGAATTCAGCGTGTGGCTGGAAATCAACTCGCTGCAGCCGCTGCAGCGATTTGTGTGTCCGCTGGACAAGCAGGGAGCGTTGGAGAGTGTAAAGTAGGGAAAGGAGGCGAGTGTGATGGAAGAGTGTGGATTACGCTGCGGCAGGAGATGATTGGAGGAAATGATGTGGAGAAGGCCGAGAAAATGTGGAGAGATATAGGTATGGGGGAGAAGAGAGGGGATGAGAAGTAGAAACTAAGAAGAACGAGATGTGCAGGCGCATTGAGAAGAGGAAGGACTTCGATCCGAACAAGCGACTTTTGTTTGAGAAGAAGGGGGAGGTGTACGAGTTTACCCATAAAGGCGAGAATTTCATTGAGTTGTCGATGCATTTGAAACATGAAGAGCTGGAATGTTCTGTTTGATTGAATAATGGAGGTGCTAGGTGATGTGGGAAAGATTGGCGAAAAAAAGAACACTGATGATTGAGAGAATCACAAAATGAAAAAAAGAAAGTGAAAAAGAAAAAGAAAAAGAGAAGCGCCCACCGGGGGGCTCGAACCCCCGACCACCAGGTTAAGAGCCTGGCGCTCTACCGACTGAGCTAGACGGGCTCAACAATATCGCTATGTATTCTCACTATTTGGAACAAACAACCAACTGGGAATAATGCTGAATCAAGCTGTAGGCTGCATCGGGGTGTGGCATCACGAACTGGTAGTGTCGCTGCTCGGGTTTTGTCGCCAGATAGAAAGAGAGCGAGTTTTCGGACAATCCCCAAGCGGAAATGGCTGAATAGGGGTAGAACTGGGTATAGGCATCTTTTCCCACATGGTCCGCATACTCTCCCACATGCACACCTCGAGGACTGATGCCTATGATCTTCCCATCCTGTTGCTCAGGAGCGAATTGCTATGATTGAAATTCACCAAATCACAAAGCACATCACCATAGAAATGTGTCACGCCGTAGTCTTCCCAACTCGTAATGTAGTCCAACAAGGCAATCATGCATTCATGCGATGTATAGCCTCGCAGCTTGTTGTACACCTTCAGGACTTCTCCCTCACACACAAGCTTTCGTGCGGGAACACACAGGTGCGGAGGAAGGAGCTTAGCGATTGCTTCACTACATGCGAAACAGAGCGATTTAGTTACCAAACCACGCGGTTGTCCCCTGAATAGTCCTGCAGCGATTCTTGCAGCGCCAACGCAGTGAGCGTGAAATAGTCCTCGTCTGGCTTGAAATAGCGGCCTGCACGAAGGTCGTGTACCGCTTGGAAGAAAAGCAATCGGAGCAAATTGGCGTTGTGCAGATCGTAGGAAGAATTGTAATATGCGATGGCGAATAGTAGAGACTCGCCTTCTTGCATCGTAGCGAGAATATCCGTCATTCGACTGTTTTCGTTCAGCAACACCTCTTCATTACGGCTTGAATCGCGAACTTTGAAGAGCTGGAACATGCGACCACCTTTGCCCAGCTTCAATTCGCGATTAATCTGCTCGATGACATCCCTCGATTGTGCGAGCATGGTGATTTCCATGGGCAGTTCGTCGTTAGGAAGAATGCGAACAGTGATTTGTCTGCACGAATCCGACTAAATGAAATATATTTAAAACTGGAATACCAGCAGCATATCGATTTCTTCAATTGAAGGCGGCTCTTTTCGGTTCCCAACTTTTTTGCAGATCTCCAAATAACGACTGCACCGCTCCATGAGTTCATGCGAAAGTGTGTTGTTGCTCGTGCGAATGAAATACTCAACATAAGGAAGAAGATCGTTCGATGGCAGAAACGAAGCAACGAGAACGATTAGAATATGCCATGATCGATCCACGATCTGCCTATCCATCACACTTTCACTCGGTTTGCTACTGCGTATTGCAGCCGGTCATCTGCTTCAGCGTCTGGCAATAGCACTCGTCCAATAGAATCGGAGGCGACAACATCAGAAGGGCGATAAGCTGCTGGATGTACTTTTGTGGGCAGGTTTCGCGAGGATTCGGCTTCGTATAGGACCAAATGAATTCGTTTAGCATCAGTGCCATGTGTACAAACTTGGATTCGATGTTCAGGAGCGGCTGTTCCAAAGGCGCGTCGCTGAAAGAAAGTGCCTGGCGAACGTCCAGCTTTGAGTGAAGCCAACCGCGCGACAAATGAAAGTGGGTAGCAGCATATTCGTCCATATGGCAAACTTTTAGAACGCGCTGCGACTTTTTCTCCCTCTCGTCCGCTTGCTCAAGAGGTTGATTCCATTGCTCCTGTTTGAGCGAAGGGTTCACGTAGAGAATGCGATGTTCACGCTCATCGATAACTGAAATCCAAATATCTCGAAATTCTGCAGGAATCTGGTTGGGATGATCATACGTGAACGGATTCTGATTCGACGAGTAATTGATCTCCGGGTTTTTCCAAATATACTCGGATTTCGTAGCGTCCCACGAACGAGACCATCCAGTGATTGGAAAGGGTGTAGAAACTGGGTTGCTTTCAAGATCTGAGCGGACCATCTGACTCATCCCCACTCCCCGTAAACTTGCAGATATTTCCATACGTTGTCCCAGTGAAGTCATCTCGAATGTCTGTCAACAACTGCAAAAATGTACGAAAATGAGTTAGAAACGATGGATTTCGTGAAAATGATTGGTTCGTTATCACAGGGAGACATTTGATAGAAAAAACAAAGTAGTCGTGGATATCCTCCGATTTGTACATAACACGAGTGATGGGACTCGTGTGGGGAGCTAGGTAGCGCATTCGAGTGAATGGAAAAATCACACACTTTACAGTTCCCTCGATCAAGCCCAGCGGAACCTACAGAGCTAAAACTGCGCGTCCACAAAATACCTGACCAAAACGGTTGCTGTCGATACTATTCTTTGTATTGTCTCCTTCAACCCAGCAGTGACCTTTCTCAATTTCAATCTGGAAGATCAGCAATTCCTCCCACTTTTACCAATTTGTTTCCGTGGAGTTGGACCCAGTCTCCTGGTAACGCTATAATGCGTTTGACAAGATACCGCTTAGGATCTGTCGGTGACCTGCGAGATTAGAGGGAAGGGCAGTACTATGGGTACTTGAGCATCACTACGTCTCCTCGATTGTACGCATACTTTTTGGCACCTAGTTTACTCACTAACACCCACTCATGAAGGTTTTTTCCCTCCACAACCGGATTAATCGTGGGCTGCATCGATCGTCCTTCCACAGACGCCACGCAGCAAACCTGCTCATTTACTTTTCAAATGAAGGAAAGCAAGGAAAAGAAAGCGTTTGGGAGAGGATATACATATGCAGACAGCACAGCGAGTGGAACAGACACCCACGGACTTCGCAACGCCTGCAAGAAAGGGGGCATCGAAAACAAAGTGAGCGTGAACAACAAACAGAGCAGAAAACCCGCTAGCACAATTTACTCGAACTCAGCCTCTGTCTGGAAGGTGTATCCAAGGAACATGGAAATCTTGCGGAAAATGGTCTCCATCCATCCCGTCTCCACGTTCTCGATTACACCAGCATTGTTGTATTTATCGAACTTGGGAATGTCCTTTTGGACCAAGTGAACCTCGGTCAGCGCGCTGTCCAGCTGAATGAACTCGAGCGTGACGAGGGAGTACACGCCGTCCTCCCACTCACGACGACGCCATTTCATCTCAATCTTGTTCTCGGACTAGATGTTACCAGAAGACGCAGTACACACGATAGAGGTGAACTGTCCCTGCACGCCTCCGTCAAAGAGAATGTACTCGCCACCCACGACAGGCTGGATTCTGCACAGCGACTGTGTGTAGTACTAACAGAGTCAAGCCAAACCAGTAGCAAGTCTACCTGCGCCGAACGGGCATCAGTCAAAGCTTCCATAATAACACGCGGAGGAACGAGGTATCGCACCCTGATCTCCATATCCCCGCACGAGACACGCTTCGAAGGAGAGCTGAACATTCAAAAATACAACAAAAGTAAAAAAAGGAACGAGTTTCTAGAACAAACATTCCAAACAGAAAGTGGCTGCATGACCTTGAAGCATCCCGTGCCCGCCTTGATCGCTTTTCCCGTCGCAATGCACGCCGACGGCGAGACCATGGAGTCGGAGGTTCCATTGAGAATGGCATTGTTCAAGAAGTGCGTCGTGGTTTCGAAGGACATCTGCTGGAAGGGCGACTCGATATTCTCCATTCCCGCGCGGTTCATGGGCCGGTAGGCTCCGTCCTGCGTCATGTAATCGGCGATGAGCGTGAGGTGGCGCGGGTCCACGGAGATCGAATACACGTCGAACACGCGCGTGATCTCCGTCACGATCGCCGTCCGCGCCGCCTCCACGCCGTACGTCTCCAGGATCTGCCAGATGTCGTTGGAGTAGATCTTGTTCACGTCCACGAGGCCCTGGTGCGCCCACACCGTCGGGAAGTTCACGCCCTCCGTCTGCAGCGTCAGCGGCGCGTCCGGACCGCTGCGGTCCATCAGGATGCACCGGTTGATGTGCTCGATCGCGTTCACCAGGATCTGCGACGCCGCCTTCTCCGCCAGCTCGATGAGCAGCAGCTTCGGGATGCTCGGCGAGAACTCGAACTCCACGCGCACCTTGTTGTCGCGCGCGTTGTACATCGCGCGCCGGAAGAACTTCAGCTTCAGCACCTTGAACGGCGCCTCCAGGATCGTGTAGTCCGCGGGAGCCTTTTCCATGGGACGAGCGAAGGGCGTCTGTCCGGGCGTTGCCTTGCTCGCCGAGGAAGACTCTTCTTCTTCTTCTTCTTCTTCTTCTTCTTCTTCTTCTTCCTCCATCTTGGCGGACGTGGAGTCGTTCTCTTCTTCCATTTTGCCGGTCGATTCGCTCTCCGCCTCGTTTTCATTTTCGCTCTTCATTTCATTCTCATTCTCATTTTCGTTCTCTTCGTATTCCACGCGGCCTCCTTTATTCAATCGCACGCCGTCCATGCCGTCCGCTTCACCGATCGCTTCGTCGCCTTCCTCCTCGTCGTCTTCCGAGTCCGCCGTGCCGCGCACCTGCTTCGTCTCCTCGCGCGCCTGCTTCTTCGGCAGCTTCACTCGCTTCGTGTTGCTGAGGTCCTTCCCGCTGATGGCCGTTTCGATGTCCAGCTCCAGATTGGACACCTTCGCCGCGCGACGCACGTCCTTCGTCATCAGCGTGCCCAGCAGCGGCAAGAACTCCTCCATGATCACGTGCAGCACCGTGTCCATGTCCAAACCGTACGCCTTCTGGATCACATCAGCGGGCAGCAAGTTCATATTCAGCTCGTACTTCCGCACATACGGCGTGTACGTGGCTCCGTACGTCGTGTTGGTCAGATAATCCACCACGCGGAAGTAGCACTCGGGCTCCAGCAGCTGGTCCAGCCCGATACGATGCAGCTTCTTCTTCAGCCGGTTCGCCGCCTCCTCCGTCGCGGAGGGCAGCAACGGCAGCGTCATCATGGGAGTGCCGATGCTCTTCGCCGCCTGCATGATGATTTCGCGCAGTCGCGGAATGCCCAGCGTCACGTTCACCGCGCCGTGCCCCGCCAGGTGGAACGTGTTCAGCGTCATCTGCGTCGCGGGCTCGCCGATCGACTGTCCCGCGATGACGCCCACCGAGTCGCCGGGCTCGGCGAGCGACCGCATGTACTTCATCCAGAACAGCATCTCCAGCCCGCCGCGATCCACGCCTCCGGGCAGACCGTTGCCCGCCTCGCGGGCCTTCTCGTAGGCGGCCAGGTAGGCCTCCAGCTGGTCCTGGTACTTCTCGTTGACCGCGCCGATGTTGCGGCAGATGTTCAGCTGCCAGTTGACCGGGTCCGGCAGCCGCAGGTGGATCAGCTCGATCTCGATGCCCTCCGACGCGTCGAACGCCTTCAGCGGCACGTGCTTCTCCTTCTTCTGCGTGTCCGAGTACACCACGTCGTACGTACCGTCCTTCTTGTGCACCTTGGTGATCACCGCGGGGAAGAACTCGTTGCTCACGTTGCCCACCACCCATTCCTGGCTCTTGCTGATGCGTCGTCGCACCTCCACCACGCTCTTCTTGCTCAGCACCGCGGGGCGATGCGCCAGCTCCTCCCGCGCGCACTGGATCTCCGCGTGCCGCGCCGCCGCCTCCTGGCTGTTCAGCCCGGTGTCCTGGAAGAAGTGCTCGGAGAGTCCGTAGCGGTACACCAGAATGCTGCTGTTCTGCGCCAGGAAGTCCAGCTGCGCGCGCTTGCCCGTCAGGTACTTCACCTTCCCCACGTCCACGCCGTCGTCTCCGTAGAGCAGCTGGATCACCGCGCCGTCGCTGTTCCGCACCGAGTAGTCGTACTGCACCGTCAGGTCCTCCAAATGCTTGATGATGCAGCGCTGCAGGTATCCCGACCGCGAGGTCTTCACGGCCGTGTCCACCAGACCCTCGCGTCCCGCCATGCAGTGGAAATAGTATTCCTGCGGACGGATACCCGTGAGGAAACGGTCGGAGACCCAGCCTCCCGCGCGCGGCATGGGGTCGTAGGCGCGGAAGGACGGGAGCGTCTTGCCGTTGACCATCATGGGCACGCGGCGGCCCTCCAGCTCCTGCTGGCCCAGAGCGCAGGATACTTGCGTCTGGTTGACGTTGGAGCCCTTGGCTCCCGAGATGATCATGCAGGAGAAGCTGTTGTTGGGGAAGGGGACGCGCAGGCCGTGCGGGAGACAGACCTTGAAGATCTCCGAGGAGATCTGCGACACGATCGACTTCATCACGTTATCGATCTCCGGACCCACCGCGCCGCGGCTGGAGATGAATCGCTGCCGCAGCTCGTCGCTCACCGCGGCGCGACGCGCCTCCAGCGACATCGACGGCGTGGTCTCGAGTCCCATGTACTGCTCCATGCCGCTCACCGCCTTCTCCAGCGCGGAGTCGATCAGCGCGCGCCGCTTGTCCTCCGCCTCCTTCTCCAGCACCAGGTCCTCCATCGAGCAGGTGAACCCGCGCTTCTGGAAGTACGACGTCACCACGCGGCCGAAGCAGGACAGGAACTTGCTGCACAGGTCCACGCCGTACAGCTCGTGGATCGCGTGCACCAGCGAGTAGTTCTTCGCGCCGAACGTGGACTTGTCCAGCACGCCGCGCAGCAGCTCGCCCTCCTCCACCAGCACCAGCTGCTCGCCCAGCGGGCTCTGCGGCGGGATCTGCCCGCTGCCCCAGGCCTTGTCGTTCACTTGGGCCACGCCGTTGAAGGTCATCTGCGGCAGGTCGCCCACCAGGTTGATCAGCAGCGAGCTCACCACCTGCTTCCCCGTCCACAACACGGCCGGCTTGAGAATCGCGGGCGGCAGCGTGCGCACCACGCGCTCGCTCGCGGGCTCGTCGAACCCGGAGATCGCCGTGAACACGAGCTGGTCGTACTCCTGCCGATTCAGGAAGGTGTCGCGCTTGGTGAGCAGGAAGCCCGACGCCACGTGGTCCTGGATCAGTCCGCGGAGCGGCGAGCCGTCCTTCGCCGAGGTGTACTGGTACTTCGCGCTCACGATGTTGTACGCCTCCGAGCGCGCCAGCTCGCCCTGCGGGAAGTGCAGGTTGATCTCGTCGCCGTCGAAGTCCGCGTTGAACGTGTTGCAGTTCGAGTAGTGCATTCGGATCGTCTGTCGCTTGCTCTTCAGGATCCGCGCGCGCAGCGCCATGATGGACGCCTTGTGCAGCGTCGGCTGGCGATTCACCAGCAGAATATCGCCCTGCAGCAGGTTGCGCCACACGCGCTTCCGCCGAATCCCGCCCGAGCTGTCCTTCACCAGCAGCGTCTTCGCCAAGGCCTCGCGCTGCCCGCGGTTCTTGTACTGCAGATCCACCAGCCAGCCGCCCTCGTTCTCGATGTAGCAGGCGCCGGGGTACTTCTCGCGGCCGTTGATCACCAGCTGGCGCAGCAGCTTCACGTTGTTCACCGTGACGGGCTCCGGGTAGCAGAGCTCCTTCGCGAACTGCAGCGGCACGCCCACCTCGTCGGTGTCGATGTAGGGGTCGGGCGCGATGACCGAGCGCGCCGCGAAGTTCACACGCTTGCCCATCATGTTCATGCGGAAGAGACCCTCCTTGTGCTCCAGGAGCTGCCGGATGCCCGCGCTCTGCCCCGAGTGGCCCTTGGACGAGTCCACCAGCCCGTTGTAGTTCTCCTGCATGTCCACCCAGTCCTTCAGCGCGTCCTCGAACGTGTACGACAGCGGCTTCTCCTTCGACTCGCCCTTCCCGCCCCGCGATCGCCGCGAGGGCTTCGCCGTCTTGGCATCTTTGGAGTCTTTGGAGTCTTTGGAGTCTTTGGAGTCCTTGGAGTCCATGGCTTCCTTGGATTCATCGGGCTGATCGTCCAGATTGCCGGCTTCGGGCATGGATTCGGTGCGGTCCTCCACACGCTTCGCTCCGTACTGCATCAGATTGTAGTTATCGCGGAGAATGTTCGACAGGTACACGTTCTGCGGGTGCTCGTACTGCTCTCCGTGCAAATGCTGCGGCGGTCGGAAGCGCGACGGCGGCACCAGGATGGTCCGCACGAAGAAGATCCGGTAGCCCTCCTTCTCCAGCTCGGGATGTCCCTGCGGATTGGCGATCGCCGCCTCCTCGGTGAGCTGCGGGTACCACACCAGGTTCGCGATTCGGTACTCGTTCTCGTACAGCATCCGCATGCGCAGCTCCACTTCCAGCGGCGGCAGGAACTTCAGCTTCTCGTTCTTCGCCTCGCTCGCCGTCAGCTCGTTCTCGCCGTTCTCCTCGTTCTCGCCCTCCTCCTCGATCTCGCGCTCCGAGAACTCCCGGAACGTCTCGCGGAGGCCCTCCAGCGCCGACAGCTGCCCCGCGGTGAGCCCGTCCAGCGCGCTCTTCGCCGGATTCCCCGCCGCACTGAGCTGCTTGCCCTTGTTCCGCATGGGGGCCTCGAAGAGCTTGAGGAAGCGGTCGCGGACCAGCGAGGGCGACGTGGCGCCGCAGTTCTCGCAGACCTTCGGCATCGACGCCAAGAACTCGCGGACCAGCGCGTTGTACACCTCGCGCATGTGCGTGTGGATCACCTCGCACTTGGGAAGGCGAGGGTGCGAGGCCAGGACCGCCTCGTATTTGGCGATGAGCGACTAGGAGTGAGAGGCTGCATGCACAAAGCCTACCTCGAACTTCTCCTCGAAGTCATCGCTACGCTTTTGGAGCTGACTTAGCTGGTCCATTTCTTCTGTAAACTGCTTCTCTTCCGCGGCACAGTTCGACTACGCATTACGCAAAGCGAGAGGCCAAAACCAGAAGCAGACGGAAGCGAATCTCAAATTTCTTTACGTATTTCTTGTTCATCTTGAAGTGGTGGCAGTTCTGGCAGGAACAACGAAGGATCTTTAACAGGAGCGAAAAGAGCATGGGATTATATATAGGGAGCTCTAGCTCGATGTGGCCAAGATGTCCGGGACAGTTCTAGAGTTAGGTCCATTGAACTTAACAACATCAAAATTCCGGAAGCAAGTAGGACACTTGACATGATACTCGTTCGTGCCCAGAGCAGGATCGTACAATCCTCTAGAGGTCACGCCTATTCACCAGCGCTCACCCAGGAATTGGATTTCCATCACCATCAAAAGCAACTGGATTTGTAATTTTCTTCACACTCAACTTCTTTATCTCCTCCGGGAAGTAATAGCAGAAGCGAGTGCGTTTAATCTCGTGAGTGAGTGGTGCGGTCTTACTCTCCATAATTAGACAATACTAAAATACTAAATTCAAAATAACGCCTTTTTATTTAGAGAAAGACAGCCTTTTAATAGCCACAAAGCTATGAGAACAATTCACCTCGACTTTTGGAATTCACCTTTTCCTCCCGATTATGCTCTTTTTCCAAAAATAAGTGTAGCGAGTAGTTTGTTTTTATTTCTACTCTCCTATTTCCTATTTTGCGTTATTCTGAGGTTGAACACTAAACTCTCTTCGAGATGGTACACACTCAGTCGTTTTGTATCAACTAGAATCGAAATGAATTACTCTCAATCTCCGGACTTCGATCCGATGGGCGAAAAGCAAATGAGATTCGTCGCATCTCGTCCAGTCTCGGAACATTTAAAGATTGTGACGGCTCTGCCTATCTCGAGATGGGAAACACAAAGGTATTAGCAGTTGTGTAATTCGTTGGGTCGAGGAGTAATCACTAGATATGGTCCTCGAGACGCGGGGAGCAAATCGTCTCATGATATTGATAATGATAAGGCGACCGTTTCGGCAGGTGTCACAATGGCTCCGTATTGCGGAACGGAGCGAAGAGTGGTTCACATGAACTCCCGTATTTGCACGGAATATGCGCAGGCGATTCGTCGTTGCTTTGAGCATGTGATTCTCACAACGCTCTACCCCCACTCCACCATCTCAATTCATTGTACAATATTCCAAGCAGACGGCGGAGAGCTTCCCTGCTGCCTCAACGCGGCCCTTCTAGCGATCATCGACGCTGGAATCGACATCTTGGACTTCCAGGTGAGTCTGAACGTGGGTTATATGGACAACACGATTCTCTTCGGTTTGATTTGATGCGAGAGTTGTAAAGAACAGACATGAACTACGTCGAAAGCCACCTGAATGGCATCCTGCTCACGGTCGCGTATCTCCCCAAGTCGGACCAGTTCACGCTAACGACGCTGAATAGCAACATTCCGCTGGAACTCTTCGAGGTAAGCGATGGAAGGGAGAGAGGAGTGTGACGGTCAGGACGTGTTGGATGCAGCGAAAGAGGGATGCAAGCAGGTGTACGCGATTCTGAAAGACCACGTTTTGGAGAATGCGAAGAAACTGTATCAATCCACGCAGCAATGAAAATGAAAGAGAAGGAGAAAGTGAAATGATTAGAATGATTTGTTTGTTTGTTTGTTTCATTGTTTATGGGATCGTTCATTGTTTGGTTGATTCATTCAATGATTCATAGCTTCAAAGAATCATTTATTTATTCATTCATTCACTTACTCACTCATTCACTTGTTCACTTACTCACTCATTCACTCACTCATTCATTCACTCGCTCGCTCATTCATTCATTCATTCACTCGCTCGCTCACTCGCTCGCCTTCCTTCAACAAACACACCACACAGAATTCTCTTTTACTTCTATCCCGGTGTTCAGATACTCCGTATAGCTCACCCACTTCGATCCCTGCATCTTCCCCACGCGCTTCTTCACTCCATTATTGTAATACAGCACCGCATCGCACTCCGAGTTCGCGTCCAGCTCCACGAACCCCTTTCGCACCAGTCGTTTCCGGCACCAATCGGGCTTCTGCAGCACGGCTTCGTGCACTCCGGTCGGATAGAACTCCTCCCACGTCATGCTCTTCTTCGCCTCCTCGTAGTTCACGTCCACCTGCCACACCAAGTCGCCGAACAGCGTGTTCCACTTCATATGCAGCGAGTTCATCTCGTCGGGGTACATCAGCCGCCCCGCCAGCTCCGTCACGCTCAGCTCGCGCTTCTTTCCGTTCTCCATCACCTCGAACGGCTTCGTGAAGTCGCTAACCGCATCGTACGGCGTCGTGTACGTCGTGGTCAGCACCGGGTGGTTCGTCGCGTCGAACGACCACATTACCACCTCCTTGTTCTTCGAGCTCACGCGGCTCTGCTCGATCGGCCGCCACTTGATGATCCGCGTGTCCAGCGCGTTCCCCGTCGCGAAGTCGCGGTCCAGCTTGCTTGTCGCGTACTGCTCCGCGGGCACCACGGCGTTCCGCAGCACCATCTCGCCGTGATCGAACGTGCAGTGCGCGTAGAACCGGTTGTTGTAGAACAGCAGGCTCGGCCCGTGCCGCTTGTTGTCCAGCGTGTAGTTCCCCGCGTACACCAGGTCGCCGTCCCTGTCAAACTCGAACGCCGCGCAGACCTCCCCGGCGCCGTCGAAGAGCAGCTGCGTCTGGATGCACCCGTTGGGGTGGAAGCAGTTCACGAACACCTTCCGCCCGTTCTCGATCTTGCCCTCGCGCTTCAGCTGCCCGTTCTTGTAGAAGGACGCGAAGTACCCGTCCACCACGCCGTTCTGGTACCGGCACACCTCGCTCAGCTGCCGGTTCTCGTAGTACTTGCGGCAGATCCCCGACTTCTGTCCGTGCACGTACTCGCACACCTCCCTCAGCTCCTTGCTCGCGTAGTAGCTCCGGTACTTTCCGTGCAGCCGGTCCTCCACGTACTCCGCCACCTCGCGCAGCGCTCCCGAGTCCGGATCCAGCGTCCGCTTCTTCCCGTTCAGCTTGTCCGCATGGAACATCGCCACCACCTCCAGCTGGTTCTGCTCGTTGTACCCATAGTGCAGGCCGAACCGCTGCCCATCGCGCCACTCCCCGCGGTATACCAGCCCGCCTACCATTCTCGCCTCCTTCCGGCTGCTCAGCGTCCGCTCCCACTGGTCCACGCGGTCCTGCACGGCTCTCTGGCTCGCCAGCAGCGTCGCGTAGGGAACGCCGCGCGTCGACGACGACAGACGCTCCTTCTCGTCCAGGAACTGCATGTCCTGCTCCGCCTGCGCGCGGTGCTCATCGCTCTCCCGCGCCGTCTCCAGAATCCCGCGCAGCGTGTGCACCGACTTCTGGAACTGGTCGATCACCTCCTCCGTCCGGTTCGATTCCTCGCAGATCGATTCGAATTCTTTTAGAAACGCGGTCCCTTCGCGGATAATCGCGCTCCCTTCACATTAAAAAAACCAGGATGCTAGCACGTACAGTCATGATCATAGCCCTTCTGCAGCTCGTCCTTCGTCACAATCACGAAGCTTCCCCGCGGGAGCGTATCCGACTGGCAGCCGCACACGGGCATGCTCAGCCCCACCTTGCTCTGCGCGTCGTTGACGAGCACATCGACGGTGCCGCACACGATCTTCTTCTCCACGAGAGCCTTCCTCGCGAACAGCGCGCAGCCACGCGCGCAGGCCTCCTGCTTGTCCATCGTGCTGCCCACCTTCTCCACCTCCAGCCCGCGGTCCTGCGCCGCGCTCAGCAGCGCCTGGCTCAGCCGCGCGATGTGCATGTTCCCGCCGACCGTCTCGATGCCGTCCAGGCTCCGCTGGGCGGGGAACTCGCGCAGCACGTCGCTCACGAAGTCGAAGAACCGGTCGAAGAGCCGCCTCTCGCGACACGCCGCGTCGAACTCCTCGCGCGAGAACTCCAGATCGAAGTAGTCGTCGCCCTGCTCGAACTCCACGCGGATCGACTGGCCCTGCTCCGTCGCGAACGCCTTTTTGATCTCCTCGCCCTTCGCTTTCAGTCGGTGGCGCATCGCCTCCGTCGCCGGCAGCTCCACGGCCTCCTCCTCGCGCAGCTTCCGCTCCAGCAGCGCGCCCAGCGCCTCGTCGAACGCGTCGCCGCCCAGGAAGCAGCTCGCAGACTTCAGCACCTCCATGCGGTCCTACGCGTCAGCCGCGCGCCGCGAAGCCACGTTGAAGAACTGGACGATCGTCACCGTCGTGCAGTGGCTGCCCATGTCGCAGAACAGAATCGTGCGGCCCTGCGCGGGGAACTCGCGGTTCTCCGCCTTGCAGTAGCCGTAGTCCAGCGCCACCGCCACGCTTTCGCGGAGAAAACTGGCCTGGCCGAGGTTGGCGAGGGACAGCGCGACCTCGAGACCCCGGACGTTCGATTTGGTGTAGTACTCGGGGATCTACGCGGGGTTACGCTCTTCATAAAAGAGAGAAATACAGCGATGACCACTTGGCGAGGCGTGGAGAGAACTTTCGAAAGTGTGAAGGGATATGTCGTAAAATTAATGTCCTCGTTTCGAAGAAAGAGGTAGTAGAGATATTGAAGGACCAAGCTCGTTGCTAACTCCGCATCGATGGTTCGATCCTTGTTATCGAATTTAACGTTGTAATAGGAACGCTGCTTCCCTTCCTTGGCCTTGATCGGTTTCATTTCGGCGCTCATACTCGAACTGCCTACAATCGGCTTGTAGCCCCAGATGCAGTTCGCAATATTTCGTTCGATCTAGTAAGTAAACAGCACCAAATTTGCCAAACCGGAAACTTCCGTTGCCCGCAAACATCGAACATCTTGTCTCGGAAACACAGTCTCGAGCTACTCTCAATTTCAAAAAATAAAGCTACGCAAAATATTTATTCCCCATATCACTCTCCACAATATACGGTCCTTCACCAAGAGTTGAGTGTGGATCCGAAACCCATCGGCAGACTTTACTGGTGCATTCTCCTAGGTCAATGCCAATTGCTTCCATCGTTATTTCAAAATTATCTGGTTCAGTTGGCAAAAATAGAACCGATTTTTGGATTCATGAAACAAACAAAATACAACTCTGCAAGTCTGCTAGCTAAACTCTTTACCAAGGTCTCTGCCTCCTGGTCCGGCACCTGCTCCGGATTATTGAGTGGAGCGTCCTTCACTTGCTGGTTCGCAGCGTACTCCATCTGCGCCTTCTCGAACAGCTCATTGGACGCCTCCTACACCAATCAATCGAAAACAAACCAAAACGAACCTCCGCTTCCACTGAGTCCAATGGACCCATGGATTGAATTAAAGTGCTCTGACTATCGTGTAAACCGGTTTCTTTTGGAACCTACGCTACGTACTGATTCTCCATCAGCTTGTTGAAGTCCGAAAACACGGCATATACTTGTACAGGGTCTTGAATGGAACTCAGATTTTTCAAAACAGAGCAAGCCTTGCCCAGCATCGTTGAAACCTACTCTGGAAAGTGTAAATAAAATAGGTACATCGCCCATAGAAACCATCATTCTCATATCCGAGGCAGCGACTTCCAGCTTGCATGCCATGAATATTAATTTTCGCTGCTGGTGTCTCATCTGTACAACTTGCTACATGAAATACACACATCGAGGCTACATCGCAATAAATATGAGCTCCCTCCTGATTTCCTCTACTGATTTCCTATGCTTTACGGCTGCAGATCAATATTACGTAAACAATTCTCTTTGACAACTTTTTGGCATCTCTCTCCAATTTCTTTGCTTCTGCATTGAGACGCTTGGACTGCATATTCAGCTCAATAATAGAATCTGTAGTTAAGGCATTTCCTTGGGAAGTATATTAGGATATCTAAAACGTCGTCGGTTGTGGCCTTCTTCTTTCCAAAGAAATTCACCATATCGATTCAATCGCGTTTGACAAAATTTGAAAAAGAAATAATGACTCCTTTCTGTTTTGATAGTCGATTGTAACTGGATAGAATCGCAGCAGCAATCATTTTGTTAAGTTTATTCTTTATTTATACTTATTTGCAGTTTTCGAAAATTGACTCTGAAGAAAATTAACTCTGAAGAAAATAGATTGAGATTGATAGAATTAAATGGTTTAGAAAAAAAATAGTATAGTTAAGGGCGAGACATGATCATTGTTAGTTGGTAATTTTGGAAAGATAACAACAAATATATAGTGCACTGCATCACCTATTCAGTATAATAAAACAAACAAATCCCATTTCCGTTTCCAACAAACATTGAATCCAATCCAAAGGATATTGCCAACACTGGCTCCTCCCTCCACTAAATAAAACAAGAAAAGCAACCAACTAAAACGCAGCATCGGGGTCCCACACAATGCGCTCCGCAGGGATCTTATCGAGCAACTTCTGCACATTGCGCTCTCTTCTCTGCTTCCGCGTCTCAAACGGATTCAACTCATACGTATCGATGTTCGCCTCGCCCGCTCCAGGCACCACACACGATTTCACACCCTTGTCCAATCCGATCATGATCTGATCTTCGAATGGCCTGAACTTCAAATTCTCCACTTTCAGCCCCGGCACCTCGATCTTCATGTACGGATCCTTCACCTTCTGCTTCTCCAGATCCTTCCAGATCAGCACTCGTTTCCCCACATTCCCCGCGACCAATCCGCGCTGCGAAATATCCAGGCTCCCCGCGGGACTCGGCAACGTGTACTCATACAAGCACTGAAACGTCCGCAAATCCCACACCGCCAGCTTGCCGTCGCTCCCCGCGGTGACCATCGCGGTGCCCTCCAGGTTCACGCCAGCACCGAGCACATTCCCGCGGTGACACAGCATCGACACGAGCGGGTCGCGCTCGTTGGGCGACCAGAACGCGACTTTCCCGCGGGAGGACCCGGAGAGGACGGTGGCGTTGTGCGGGTTCTGGGCGAAGCAGGTGGCGGGGCCGTGGCGGGTGGGTCGGTCGTGGAGCGAAACGCCGGTGGAAACGTCGATCCATCGGAGAATTCCCTGCTGGGAGCAGGACGCGAGCAGGTAGTGGAAGGGCAGGAACTCCAGGAAGCGCGGCTGGGAGGCGGCGCGGAGGCAGTGCAGCTCGATGCCTTGGGAGTCGTAGAGGTGGAGGTATTTCGATTGCGCGGAGGCGAAGACATCCCAGTCATGCAGGAAGGTCGTCGCGTAGATGCGCTCCTCGGTGTGGAATTCGCAAACTAGGCTTTGGGTCAGGGCGTCCAGCTAAGCGTGAGACGTTGCAGAGGGTAGTAAAAAATACCATGGCGATATGGCCCTTTTCACCGGAAAGAAGAACGTGGCGACCGGGACGGTCGAACTGCACCTTGTAGGGACCGAACTGGTCCAACGTGAGGTCGAATATCTTGTGGCGCGTATTCAGATCGACTTCTTCCTTGATTTGCTTCTGGGTGATCTCGTACGTTTTCTCCATTCCTTCCGCCTCCAAATAACCCCCATCCTCGGTTTTCAAAATATCGGCGTTGCGGGTATCATAGAGGGCGTCTGCAATACGCTGACTTCGTTTCTCGTCCTTGTTCTTGAGAATCTTGGAATTCAGCCACTAGTGGTCAGAAAGCGCTCCGAACGCAGCTACGTTTTGCTTGGGCACTTTGCCTTTCTTTGGTTCCTTCCCTGTCCTCGCCATCAATGGTAGAATGAAAAGGGTAAAAGTGCAAAAATCGTCCCGAATCGTAAGAATTTTGCGTATTGCACTTTTGAGATTCGAAATGGACATTCCTGTGACGGAGACGACTATTGTTGAAGCGCTGGATGCAATGCGCATGAACGATACTGCCAGAATCAGGCAGGCAGGAGATTATCTGCTCTATGTAATTAAAAACCCTACAAACTTGATGATATTGTTCACAATCGCCAGCGGGAATTACTCGGACATGGTTCTACTGTTGGGACTTGTTAACGGATAGGCGCGGCAGCTCGCTGCTCTGCTCTGCCGAAGAATGATCATGGAGTTTTACAAGAGTTTCGACGCCGAGTCGCAATCTCGCAGTAGGAGCCCGAAGTGTCCACAAGTTGTAGTGAAATCCTGCTCGATCGAGATGCTGATGCAGGAGCAGAACGAGAGCGTGAAACGCGCGATTTGCGGCATCATCTCCTCCATTGCCTCCTTTGAGTTCCCCTTGGGTTCCTGGCCCGAGATTGTCAGCACGATTCTCTCTGTATTTGCTCATTTTTGATGATTTGATGCTGTAGTGTTCCGCGAGCGACAATTGGAGCGACCGTTTGTGCTCGATCCTCCTCCTCTTCTCCTTATCGAGCCACATCACGCACCTGTTCGACCCTTCCCAATTGAACCAATTACTCCTCTCCGGTCTGCACGACCCGCACTCCGAAGTGGTTTCCATGTCCGTCAAGGCCTGCAAGAGCATCCTGACGTCCCTCATCATCGAGAAGAAGATCGACCCCTTCCAGCCCGTCATCGCCGCCTACATCGACCTCCTTCCTCTCCTTCTCTCCCAGCAGAACATCGATCTCCTCCTCCTCGCTCTCTCCTGCCTCAGCGACATCGCCAACGCGCACCGGCTCGCCGCCTCCGACCTTCCTCGCGCCGTCGACTTCTCCCTTACCGTACCTTTCTTTCTCTTTTTTATATTCTCACTCCCAGGTCGCCAAAAACAACGCCATCCCCGCGGTGGTCCGCTCCGCCGTCGCCACCTTCCTCGTCAACGCCGTGGAGGCCTACAGCGAGGCGTTTCTCCGCGGGAATTGGCTCGGCGAGCTGGTGGAGAGCAGCGTGCGCTCCCTCGCGGAAGGCGTGGATTCCCGCGGGGAGGAGGAGGACGACGCGGTGTGCGACGCGTTCGAGATGCTGCTGGACGCGGTGGGATGCTTCCTGCCGGAGAGGTAGGTTCCCCGTTTCCCCTGGAGGGTAGCGCGGTGTTCCGCGAGGTGACGGAGCGCGCGTCGCAGTGGCTGGGCTCCGCGCGGTGGGAGGAGCGCTGCGCGGCGGTGCGGTCGCTGCTGGTCATCATGGAGTACACCAGCGATTACTTCCGACCCTCTCTCGCCTCGCTCTTCGCGCTGCTCCGGCCGCTTCTCCACGATCCCGTCCCCGCGGTTCGGCGCAAGACCGCCTTCTTCTTCTCCGAGACCGCCGACTACTGCAGCGACATCTTCCTCGACGCCGCGCCCTTCATCCCCGCGGAACTCGACGCGCTCCTCGCCTCCGACGAGTTCGACGTCGTCAGCGCGCTCTACATCATCGAGTCCTTCCCCGCGGTCTACGCCACGCTCGACCCCTCCTCCGCCCTCCAGCTCGTCGTACCCCTTTTTTTCTCTCTCCTTCTTCCCCTAGTCGCGGTTATTGGGGTTCGTTCCGCAGGCCACGGAGGTCCGCACGCAGTCCCTCGCGCTCTCCTGCCTCGCCAGCGCCGTCAGCGCGCTCGGCGCCGCCCTCCAGCCGCTCTTCGTTCGCCTTTGCCTTCTTTTTTTTGATTCTCACGCGCAGACCCCGCTGCTGGGCATTGCCCAGTCCGTCCTGCTCCGCCCGCTGCGCCCCGAAGACGTCGAGTCGCACTCCTACGCCTACCAGCTCCTCACCGAGCTTCTCGACGCCTTCGGCATTGCCCAGCTCCGCTCGGCATTGCCCGGCATCCTCGAAGCCGCCTTCGCAGCGGTGCAGGCGCAGGCAGACTTCGCGCTGAGCAGCACGATCTTCCCGTTCCTCTCCGCGCTGGCGAAGCAGGCGGCGCCGGGAGACGCGCTGGGCGTGTCGCTGGCGCGGTTTTTGCCGTTCCTGGACGAGCTGGTGTTCGGGTACTCGGAGTACGTCGACGTGAAGCTGCCCTCCGCGGAGGAGGAGTTCGGCTCGCTGGGCGGCGCCTTCGCGGACCAGCCGAAGGAGGAGGGCTACCGGATCGTGCGGATCGACGCGGAGCGCGCGCGCTGCAAGGTGGCCGCGCTGGAGACCATGCTGCGAATCTACCAGGAACGACAGCGCGCGGGCGAGACCCTCCCCGCGGAAGAGCTCGGCAACGTGGCCTCCGCCATCGTCAGCATGTGCGCGCATTCCAACGCCGAGATTCAGTACAGCGCCGTGAGAACCGCGGGAATCTGCTCTCTAGATCAAGGCCACCGTCACCATGGCGCGCATTTACCTCGCCGCCGACCGCGCCGCTTTCTTCGCCGCCCACCCCGCCGCCATCCCCGCGGGAGGCAGTCCCACCGCGCCATCCCCGCGGGGCTGCGAGGTAGGCGCGGAGGAAGCGCGTGACCCGCAGAGAGGGCGCAATCCCCGCGGGAGCGAGAGCGGAGAGGCGGGAGCGGGAGCAGACTTCCCGCTGTCGGAGACGACGAGTCTGGCGATCCGGTTCGGCGCGACGCTGGTGCACGTGTTCCGGGAGCGCGTGGACCAGGAATCGGAGGAAGTGAACGTGATCGCGATGCTGAACTCGCTGGATTTGCTCGTCCATTTGATGGGCAAACCCTTCCTCGCGCTCGCTCTCCCCACGCTCTCTTCTCTTCTCCTCGTCATTCTCGACTATAACGTTTCCACGGTTCCACGTTTCCACTCCAGATCCCCGCTCTCGAGCGATACATCGACGACGAAACGCTTCGGCCCTTGCCCGATCGCTCGCCCTGCGTCGTCGCCGCCCTCGCTCTCTTCGAGACCCTCCTCCTCTACCGAGCCCACCTTTCCAACGTTTCCACCGTTTCCACTTTTCGGGGGTTACCAGTTAGACATCGGTTTCTCCCTCTCCGAATTCCAATGGAACCGGTGGAAACTGTGGAACCAATGGAACCAATGGAGCCAATGGAGCCAATGGAGCCTCGGTTTCCACGGTTTCCCCAGTTTCTCCGCCTCTGGCCTCGGTGCTGCCGCTGCCGCTGATCCAATCGCTGTGGGATCGCTGCCGCCCGTTTCTTTCGCCGCAGACGGACGGGAGTTTCCTCTCCGCGTTTCTTCGCCTTGCCGCCACGATGCTCCGCGCGCTGGGCGAAGACGCGCTCTTCCTCGTGCAGGACCTTTTAACCGTGCTGCCCGCGTCTCTGCAGAATATCAACGAGCGATGTCGCGGCGAGAGCTGCCGCGTCCTCGGCTGGCTCTGCCAGATTTTCCCCGCGGTTTTCGCGGCGAGGCGGGGTGACGCGTAGGCCATGGCGGAGCACACGCAGTATGTCGTCGCGCAGATCCTCGCGGCGATGCAGCGAAGGCAGGGAGACGTGGGTTCCGCGGGGAAAATGCGAAATAGTGCGGGGTGGCGGTGGATCTGGCGACGAGCGCGCTGAATCGAATTCTAAAGAACATTCTCGACGCCCCCAAGCAGGAACTGTTCGGACACGTGCTCGAGAATTTGCCGCCTACGGCGGATGGGTCGGAAACGGAGTCGGTCTACAAGACGCTTTTTGATATGTACGAGAACCGCGGGGAGATGTTCAATCAATTCGTGCAGCCGGTAGGAGTGCGGAGCGGGTGCGAGGGAAGATGGTGCACGCGTTCGTGAGGTCGTTGATGAAGGGAGAGCTGCTGAAGGAGGAGACCAAGGACAAGATCAAGCGATGTCTCGCCGCGATGTACAGGGAGGACGAAAAGGCGTTTACGATGATCGTGCAGTCGCTTTCTCCACAGGAAAACGCTTTTGTATATGATCTATTTAGTTCACTGGAGAATTAGTCTTGGTCTTTGTTCCACAAACACAGGATGAAAAAGGTGGGGTGCTGCCGTTTTGGAAACTTTGGTAATCACTAGATTCCTGCCACAAAACTCACTCAGCTCGAGATTCGCGAGGACATCCCCAAGTCCTGTATTACGGTAAAATCTGTGAATGGAATCCAGAAGGATGTGCTCTTTTTTGGAACTCGCAACGGAAGCATCATTCCTGTGAATGTGGGGCATTTTCCATTTTTTGAACATAGATCGATGGCTCCACAAGCGAAATTTCTCAGATTTCCCACTTGGGAGAACTCTCCGCGCTCTGTAGCTACCACAAGGGGCTTTTAGCTTGCACAACGGATGGTCATTGCTATATTGTGTCGATCAAAGAGTGCCTATTCCTCTAATTGTGCATTTATTTTTGTAGTAGAGAGAACTCACCAACGGCTTCTTCTGCAGGATACAAACTCGTGGTCGAGAGTACGTGCGACGTGTGCTACAACAGCTGCATCATCAAGATTTTCAAAAGTTTCAAGGTGGAGCGAGAGTTTATTGTGATTGGCACGGAAGAGGGCTTTATCAATATCTATCAACAGAACGGCCAGACTCTCTCTCTAATCTCCTGTTTTACGTGCTGTGGATCGATTCTCGACATTGTTCAAGGTGAGTCCAACTCTCTGCTTTCTCTATGGGTTTCGTGCGAGGGCGACTGCGGGTATGAGCTGCACCTGGAAGGAACCGTTTTCCAATCCACCATCCACCAAAAGTGCCAATCTTCCCAGGTGCTGCGTTTGCATCGAATCTGGGTTTATCCTACAAGCGTTTGCTGCTCATGCGACCAGGTTGCAGAGTGCATGTATCTCACCCTTCCCACCACTTCCATGCGATTGGAACTCGACATGACAGGCAACATTTCACTTGTCGATCAGCGCGAGGAGCGATTCATTGTCAGTGTAGGAGAACCGATCATGTCATTCTGCGCTTTTGTAACCGAAAACAGCATGGGCTCCCAGATTGCTCTGGTGTGCCGTACCAAGTTCTTCTTTCAAATATACACAGATGTTTTTAAGTATTATAAGTGCTTGTGTTAGATTCCTGTGTTTGTTGAAAATGAATGCATGTCGTCCCCGCCACATTCGATATGGGTCAGGTCTTGGAAAGCATATTGCGTTCCTGATTCAAATCTCATTAAGCTTGCTGTAATTTGATTTGACGAATTCACTTCCAAAATGAACATAGCTGGACTTATTCATAATGTCATCATAACCAAGGATAATGGTACTGTAGTCCTGTCGAGGTAGTACGCAATTTTTGATATGAACAATAAGATACTGGGATGGATCGACACCCGCGCAGAGAGGAAAGTTCGAGCACGACCTGTATCTTCAGACCCTTCCTGAGTGGGGAGAAATTGTGGAGTATTCGAGGGATAAAACTCTTGGAGAAGAACAATACAGTTCTCATGTTGCCTTAGTGGAGTCGTTTTATTGTTCATCTGTCATGAATAGCGAAAAGTACGTCGTCTTTAGGAAGGTGAACGACTTGGTGTTCTTTATTACAGGAAGTGGTTTCTACTCAGAGCTGATCTGTGTGTTTGAGTTGTTTGTGCTTAGTTTTAGTGTCTACGGTGTTGGGAGTGGTGATTGAGGCGATGGAAGTTGCTGCCATGAAGAAATTGGACGTAGCTCATCTAAATGATAACACGTATGGCAAAATGATGGCTTCGTTGGATGAGGTGATTTACATGGTTCGAACGCTTTTTGGAACCAGTCATGTGTAGGGTCAATTTTGCTTGTCCGATCCGACACTTGCGGATTCTCGTGCAAAGATGAAGGCGATTTAATGATCAAATCGGGTCTGTTTGTAGCGTTTCTTGTTCTGTGTTTGTTCTATTCAAGCGCTCCGTTCTTTGCTTGGTGCGTTTGGCTCCTTCTTTGATCCTTTACTTCCACAAACACACAGAATTGACCCATTTACTCCTGCTTTGGCTTCTCTTCCGGAGCAAAACCAGTCGTAAATCCTCTGAAAGCCATCTAATCATGAGCCACTGCATGAATACTCGGGCTACCTGAATAATCACTAAGCCTGCCATCAGTAACGACATTCCGTACTTCTGCATAAACGTGAGGGGTGGGGGAATGATCACACGCGTGGCCGCGTAGATCGTTGACTTGCTGCCACTGCGTTCTGTGAACTTGATGGTGAAGTGATTCGCAGAGAAGGTGGTGATTTCGTAATCCTCCTCTGGGTTAAAGGGACTCGTGCCAAATGCCATCTAATTCGCATCCAAAATCATTCCTTACAAAAGATTCACCCGGCATCATCGCAACCAGATTGATTTCTGTGAGGTACTCAAAGCTATCCTTCTCGCTATTGAACTCCTGAATTTCGCAAGTCAACGGAGAGGTCGGAAGCATAATTACCTGCTTCAAATCTTGTTTACGGTAATAGGTCCCCTTCTCCAGCTGGAAAATATCATATGCGTCGTCGTTTGTCTTGGTCACATTAAATTGGGCGAGTTCTCCTTCCTCGATGATGTTGCCGGTTTTAATATCAACCACCTTCTTTGCAACCACCCACGAACCTTCCAAGAAGCCTCCAATGGTGAACTCCTTCGGTGCCTCCTTCGCTGCCATGGCGACGGACACAACAGCAAATGCAATCACGATCAGTTTGAACATAGTGCAAACAAAAGCCTCGAATCCGAAAAGGAAATAAAAAACTGCAAACAATTGTAATTCCAAAAAACAGGCCATATCAACACAACTAGAGTTTTTCCACATGGTTCATCGGGAACCATCCGCTCTCTCCGTTTTCGTTGCTTCCGGAGTACCATCCATCGTCCTGCTTGGTGACGGTGAGGACTTCTCCCTCATGGATGGTGAGGTACATGGCGTCGGTGGCTTCGTAGGAATAGATCGCTCGCACCTTGAACTCCTCGGCCTCCACGCGCTGCACGTAGTTGCGGGGCACCAGTCCGGCCTCTCCGGAGGGCTTGCGCACGCGCATCCATTCCTCGTTGTCTCCCTGCAGTTCCTCGAGTTCCTCGCCTTCGCGGATGCTCAGATCGCCCTGCCCGCTCGACGAGTAGTCGTATAGCACGCGCACGCGGCCCAGCACCACCTCGTCCTCCTCGCTGATCGCCTCGGGAGCCGGCTCGCGCTCGTTCTCGGGCGCGGGCTGCGGGATGGACTCGCGCTCGATCGCGGGCGCGCAGTCCGCCGAGGAGGCCGGCGAAGCCATCATCTCATGTTCTGGCTCCGGCTGGGGCTCCGGTTCGGGCTCCGGAGCAGCAATGGGTTCAGGCTTGGGTTCAGGCTTGGGTTCTGGCTTAATCTCGGCCTTGGGCTCAGGCTTAGGCTCAGGCTTGGGCTCAGGCTTGGGCTCGGTCTTGGGCTTCTAGAGGTGAGGATCGGGAGAAAAGACGCACGGCTCCGCTGAGACTGGCGCGGTTGCGGAGCAGACGGTCGAGGTAGGAGTCCTCCTCGTCCTTGGGCGGCTCGGGAATGGCCTGCGCGGCGCGCGGCTTGGACACGCGGCGCGGCTGCGAGGTGGGGATTATGATGGGGTGGGCGCGCGCGGCCGGCTCCTCCTTCGTCTCCTGCGGCGACGACGGCTTGAGGAACGCGGGCGTCTTCGAGGCGGCGCCGTGGCGATGACTCGGAGGCGCCGAGGGAAGCGCCGAGGGAACGACGGGACGCTCCGGCTCGCCGTACTGAACCTCCACGCTCGCCACCTTCTGCTTGCGCTTCAACAACGCGTCCAGCTCCGCGTCGCGGTGGAACTCGTATTTCTTCTTCTGTTCTTCAGGCTTTTCGTAGGTGTAGGAAGCCTTCGATGCTTCAATCTCACGCATGATATCTTCCTGCGTTCGCTGCTTGGGAGGAATGACGGTGGACTTCTGGACCTGGCGAATGGCGTCCTCATTCACTTCCTGGGAGACTTCCTGGCTCGCCACCTTCTGCTTGCGCTTCAACAACGCGTCCAATTCAGCATCGCGGTGGAACTCGTATTTCTTCTTCTGTTCTTCAGGCTTCTCATAGGTGTAAGAAGCCTTGGACGCTTCAATCTCACGCATAATATCTTCCTGAGTTCGCTGCTTGGGAGGAATCACAGTCGATTTCTGGACCTGGCGAATAGCGTCTTCACTGACTTCCTGAGAGACTTCCTGGCTCGCCACCTTCTGTTTACGCTTCAGAAGAGCATCCAAATCAGCGTCACGATGGAACGTGAACGTCTTCTTCTGCTCATCGGCCTTTTCATAGGTGTAGGAAGCCTTCGATGCTTCAATCTCGCGCATGATATCTTCCTGCGTTCGCTGCTTGGGAGGAACCACAGTAGACTTCTGGACCTGACGGATCTCGTTATCCGTAGTGTCACTCTTCACCGCCTGCTCCGCAACCTTCTGCTTGCGCTTCAGAAGAGCATCCAGCTCTCCAGAACGCTCATAAGCCTAGGATAAACACTCATCACAAGCTGTACATATTCTGGCTTTGAATTTACAGCATCAATCGTCGTGGGCTTTCGCTGCTACAGGTCAAATATCGCCAATACGCATACTTGCATATCAATAAATGACATACGACCATATCTAGGAGGCGCTTCTTCAGGTTTCTTCGTAGGCCTAAAGTCGGATCCACTCCCCTCTCCTACAATTTCTTCAGAAAAGACGTAGGAACATAACCCTCCTAAAAGTGAGGAGACAGACACAAAATACTACTTTATTTCCATGACTACACCAAGACCACTCCCCTTCATCTTCGAGGATTTCAATTACTACTCCCTTCTTCACAATCAACCCGTCATCCATATTATTTCCATCAAAATCGTATAATACCTAGAAGGTTAGGGTGCACCTAGCATGATCCAACCTCAGCCTTTGTAGCCATCTTCTTCTATATGGTTTTTTTGCTAAAGAAAAAGGATTTGGGATTAATATTGATTAAGGGCCCAGATCATTGCAGAAGAAGACAATCATTTACATGCCATCTATCTGATAAGGTCCCTATTTTTCTGTTCCGTTTTATCGTTTCACTGACAAATACATTTAAAACTGAAAAGGATCTTGCGCAGTTCTCCTAAAAATTGTACAACAAACACAACATCAACAACACAACAAAATTAGAAGTGGATCGCCTTGTCATAAGTAGCCATGCAAGCCTCCTTAAAAGCTTCCGCCAATGTCTACGCATGAGATTCCTCCCACCAATCCAAACAGGATGAGAATGGCAAGTGCGAGCCACGTCCTCTGCGGTCGCTCCGTACTCCATAGCCAATCCAGCTTCGGCAATCAGCTCGGAGACGTTCAATCCGCACATATGCACTCCCAGAATCTTATCTATCCCTCACTCTCTCTCCCCACAACCCACTGGTCTTCTTGTCGGCCAACACCTTAATCAGTCCATCGGGCTGGTCGTAAGCGCGCGCTCGGCTATTGGCCTGCAGCGGGAAGGATCCCTTGGTGTACTCGACTCCCTCGCTCTTGAGCTGCGCCTCCGTCTTTCCGACCATGGCGATTTCGGGCTCGGTATATACGACTCCCGGAATGACATCATAATTGACATGTCCATGACCCGTTTTGATCAGCTCCGCCACCATCATGCCCTCATCTTCCGCCTTGTGCGCCAGCATGGGGCCGCGGACCAGATCGCCGATCGCGTAGATGTGCGGGTACTTGGTGCGGAGATGGTCGTCCACCACCACGCAGCCGCGCTTGTCCGTCTCGATTCCGACCTTCTCCAAGCCCAGACCCTCCGTGTTGGGCACTCGGCCCACGCACACCAGCACCGTGTCCGCCTCCAGCGTCTCCTGCTTGCCCTCTACGCCTCACTCCCCCTCTCCTCAACACACCCTTGTTCTCCACCTGCACCTTCACGCCGCTCTCCGTCACCTCGCTGCCCGTCACCTTCGTGTTCAGACGGAACTTCATGCCCTGCTTGGTCAGGCAGCGCTGCAGCGTCGTGCACACCTCCGCATCGTTCGGTCCCGCGATGTGGTCCAGGAACTCCACCACCTCCACCTTCGCGCCCAGGCGGCGCCACACCGAGCCCAGCTCCAGGCCGATCACGCCACCGCCCACGACGATCAGACGATTCGGGACCTTGCTGAGCTTCAGCGCGCCCGTGCTGTCGATGATGCGCTCTTTCTCGTTGTCCACAGGCAGAGGCGGCATGGCGCGGCTCACTACGATCGAAGGCAAGGAGCAGCGGTACGGGAACCGGTCGCTAAAACGATGTTCGACGCTTCGATCTTGCGCTCACCACCCGCCAGCAGCTGGGTCGAAATGATGTGGTCCGATTCCAGGGTCGCAGCGCCCTTGATGTATTCGACGTGGTTCTTCTTGAAAAGGAACTCGATTCCGTTCGTTAGACCACGCACCTAGCGATGAGGCAGGGAAAAGAGGACGGATACGGCCTTCTCTTTGGCCTTCATGATTCCCTTGAGGTCGAAAGACACATCTCCGACAATGATTCCGTGCTTTTTCATCGTATTCTTCGCCTCATCATACCTAAAAAGGAAAACTTGCATTTCGATACTACATAAGAGAGGAGTGAAGAAGAGCTTTCGAGGGAATGCAACCCACATTCAAACAAGTACCGCCAAGAGTCCCACGCTTTTCGATACAAGCAGTCTTTAAACCGAGCTGCGCAGCTTTAATGGCCGCCACATATCCTCCGGGACCTCCTCCTACAACAACGACGTCAAATCTAACACTCAAGCCGAAAATGGGTTGCAAACTTATCTGCAGCTGCAGCACTGAAGTATCTGGCAGCGAGAGGCAAGTTCTTGGCTAAAACAGAAGCACGCGAAAGACTAAGCATCGTAAATGGCAGAAAAATGATAAAAAGAGAAACTGGAGTTTCGAAGTGTAAGATATTTCTACAAAAAATAACTTGTTGGGACTGTGAATATGACTCTGAATATAGTGTATTCGTGAAGTTAATACAGGGATTGAATTGAGGCAACTCGGGATAGAGAAACACATTGGGGGACTGTGGAGGTGTGTTATAGGTGCTATTCGTCATATTCTGTGTAGCAAGAGGATTCTAGATGAAATATTCTAACTACGAATCTACATCTATCAATTAGACAACCTGGTTGAATAGTTGATGAAATATGTGCCTTTACGCAATTTACACAAACAAACAATTATATTGTATTGTATTGTATAGTATCATATCGTATTTCATTTGTTATTACAAATATCAGTCGAGTGAATTGTCATTTCATACTCTTTCTCTTTCTCTTTCTCTTTCTTTCTTTCTTTCAATTAAACATTATCATATATCACTATCATTATCATATCAAATTAGTACTACACGATCCCATTATTATTATTATTATTATTATCTTCATTCATTTATTTTGATAGAGAGGCTCGGGCTACTCGCATTGCCAGATTCGCAACGTGTCTATGTTTAAATCGTCACAAAATCAAACTCCATCGATTTGTTTACAATTTGTTTCGGAATCATTGTTAAAGGCGATTCGGATTTCAGTTCTATTGTTTTAATTCCAATCGAAAATACTCTTCGAAGCCATATAATATTCACGAAGATTGAAACCACTCAACGAAACACCCAACACACATACGATTAAACTCCGAATATTGAAATTTAGTAAAGAAAATAAAGAAAACAAAATCCATAACCCGAAGGGAAGGATCAAAAACAAGAAGAAAAAGCGGTTCTCTGCTTTACTATATCGTTCCGGATTCTATGAACATCAAACAATATTGAACGAATTCATATACCTTTGTTACTTCATATCTTATCGAACTCGGAGAAGACTTTCGCGAAGGGACTGTCCACCATCTCATTCCGACTAAATATCTTCCTGAAAAGTTTTGGACAAAGTAGAAATCAACAGCAATCATTATTATACTCAAAACAAAGAGTTGTGCTTCTTCGAAGAATATTCCTCCAAATACGTGAATCACGAGTGGTGTACACTATATTTCAATATTCCATTTTACGTTATACTGCAAGGAGAAGATGGAGGAGTAAACAAATCGGATGATGGGACCGTCTGAATGTTTCTTGAAATGAACCATCCTCATAAATCAATTCATCATATAATCAATACTTCTTGTTGTTGAGTTGGTTCTATCACTTCGACTTGTGGTAAAAATGGATTACTGCTGTTGTTATTAATATTATTCTATGCTTCATGATATTTGATTTGAAAGTACTTCACTTTCTGCCATTTTGAAATAAGAATAAAGTGTGTGAACAAACAAGGTTTACAGTTGGCCATAAGCATTTACAAACGTCATAACACCAGTAACAATTGCCCATATGTAACCAACGAAAAAATAGGCAAGGATAAATTGAAGGATTCCAAGGCAAACCAGTCCACAATTACACCCTCTATCATCCATGCAACCGCCGATAGAGGTTGAGATTCCTGCATTTAACACTCCTAAACTCTATTACCTGGGATGAAAATGGACAGAATGAGGATGATCAGTCCACGCGTTTTATCGACCATCGGAATACAAGTTCCTTGCCTAGTATAAATAGAATAGCCATTCTTTACCAATTCTCTCGTTGAATTGCCAAGTCTCCTCCAGATGCTGACTGTGTCGGAGGCTGCGTAGTATAGACTACGGGTGCATTATAATTGGGCTGAGGCGCGTTATTAGGATTAGGAGTATATATGGGTTGAGGTGCATAGACAGGTTGGGGTGGATAAGCAGGTACAGTGGTTTGAGAGACAACATAAGACCCTGAATACACTACAGACTGTTCTTGCTGTTCCAAACCAGTTCGAGTATTTACCTCCGGCGTTGGAGACACTAGATTTGTCTTGACTGCGTTGTTGGGTCCCATATCAACAGGAACAGGATTGATGACGTTGGAAACAGGAACACCAACACTAGGAAGAGGTTCCACATTCAAGGAAACCGGAACCACATAAAGACCAGGTTCCTCATTAGCAGAAGCTGTAACAGCATTTGGAATAGGTCCTGCATTCATAGGAGCCGACTAAATAATAGAACAACAACAAATGAACCTGAACGTAATATGCAGGCGAATTCTCGGGTTGATAGATATTAGACTATTTAAAATATAACAAAAATAGCTTACAACAGGATTCATAAATTAGATTTTTATATAACCAAACCAACAATCTCTCAAAGAACCGAATGTTTTTATTAAGTTTCACATTTCTGTATGGGTTTAACAAATATTGTTTTTTTAATTTTCGTTCCGGGTCGGTTCAATCGAGCATTTCGATCCAAAAATCACGCTTTTGGGTTGTTATGTGAATTCGAAACAACTTTCGATTGTATGGTCTTTTTTAATTAGATTTCTATCTCTCTCTCTATTTATATGGATAAATAAGAGATATCGAGCAAATGTAAAGCAAATCTGTGATTATGTGAGTTCGAAATGTATTTATCAAAATTATAAAATGTAGTATTTTACAAACGAATAACAAGCAATTAGAGAATGGAACGAGGTTTCATGGGTTGTTCTCATGCAGGAGTTATTCCATTATTTCTTCTTCTTCTTTTAGATACAGTACTACTTATAAACATTTCTTTGATAATAGAGACTATAATCAAGCACTAATTCATTTCTCGGCAAGGTGTGACTAATAATATAAATGTATTAAACATATCTATTAGAATAAAGTGAATAGCATTGCCGAATCCAATTAGGGTTATTATTGTCGTTACTCTTCTAGATTGAATGACACAAAACATACCATTTTTCAATGAGAATATTAATGGTAATAACTAATTAACTAATTATGTGAATATCTAGCATAATTAGACACTTCATTGCATAGAGTACATGAGATGCATGCTTCTTACGACATGATCTATTCTACCTACCATGGTCTACATTTCTATACATAAAGAAATAAGCTATATCATACAGACGGAGTATTTTACCATTTTCACTTATTCTTCCCATTATCATACATTCAAGGATCTAAATGAGCAAAACAATACAAATAAATACTAGTTTCTGTTAGATATGAGACAATCCGCTACAACCTACATTTTCTAGATATACGATAAAGTTAGAAAGAAGGAATTTCTCTGCAATATATTCGACAGGAGTATTCAAGTGAACATAAGAGTGGTTTACCTTGAACTATAATATAGATTGAATACACTATAGATTACATGCAATAAGTCTTGAATTAGAAAAAATGCATGACATTAACGTTTATGATGTTTGATCGACATATTGATTTTCAGAAACAGCTTGGTTTATGTACATTTTCAAAGATTCTCCAAATTATGGTGCATTTCACTTTTCCTTGAATTATTTTCACAAAATCAAATGTGGATATGATGAACGAGAACACTTGAATAGTTTTGAGAAACGTGTTTCTTAAGAGTTGCAAATCACGTTAAAATTAGTATTACTCGTGATGATGAATTTACGCCTTGTTCAATAAAGTCTATAGTATACTTCAAACATTTTCAAGATGAACTGAATATGAAAGCTAACGCTAATCATACTCTATTTTTCACACAGTTTCAAATTGATAAAAAAGATTTGAGAAAGTAATCTGTCGTGTAAGTAAAGTAGAGTAAACATTCCAATGCTAATAATACCTGTATTGAGCATACTCCAACTTTCATGTATTTTCTGATATAGTTATCAGGCTTTCCTGATCTCACAGGAAAGATAATACGTCATTGTAGGCAGTATTATTAAAATAGTACCATTCAATTTAACAAAAAAAGAAGGGTAGTAAAAGTAATGATTCAATTAAAACATTAGCAAACAATTCATATCAATCCTGCCTTGTTTTTCTCATTCGTTGTTAATTCCTTGACCTTCTTATAGTCGAAATATGGATAATATGACTGTGATAAGGCAATAGCACCGATTGACATGTATAATGCCCAGAGGTATCCAATACCCACAAAAGAGAGTAAAAATTGAGCCAATCCAAGGATGATAAACTTATTTCTACGTTCATAAACATCGTAGCAGCTAACCGCACACGTTCCAATTCCTATTCTTTTGTAAAGCACAAGAATACTTACCCCCTAATATTAGATTAACAAATATCATGCAGCAAAGCTGACATGTCGTTTCCAGTACAGGGATCCAGCATAATTGACTACAGATCACAACGCAAATACTCTTGAACCCTTTGTAACAACCATTAACACATTTCCAAATTGACTTAACACTATCGTCACAACATACCGCACAGTCAAAATCTTCACAACAACCTGGTTCCTCGTCATTCCCTAGAAATTTCAAGCAGCTCCCTTTGTTTGGTTCAGCATATAAATAGTCGAAATTCTCTACAACTTGATTTGAAAACCATTCACTACCTTTTAATGCATCATTGCTAACGAAAGTATCCTCGTTTGTCATGGTATCATCGGGAATCTATTCAGTAATGTATAATATGGGTACATATAATGGACTTGAACTTGGAACAGTTCCTTCAGACACGCAGACAGTTTGAATTCCACTAATTACCTCAGCTGGAGTTTCCTTTTTATGAGTATTTCATAATTCCTATTACGTTATTGACAGTTTCATTAGTATTAGGAGCTGATTCCGTATTCAGAACTTGAATTCCACTGATTTCTCCAATTGGAGTTTCCTTTTTATGAGTATTTCATAATTTCTATTACGTTATTGACAGTTTCATTAGTAGTATTAGGAGCTGATTCTGCATTCAATACTTGAATTCCACTGATTTCTCCAATTGGGGATGCCTTCAAGTAAATATGATACAACATTCATTACAACATTGACAGTTTCATTAGTAGTATTAGGAGCTGATTCTGCATTCAATACTTGAATTCCACTGATTTCTCCAATTGGGGATGCCTTCAAGTAAATATGATACAACATTCTTACAACATTGACAGTTTCATTAGTAGTATTAGGAGCTGATTCTGCATTCAATACTTGAATTCCACTGATTTCTCCAATTGGGGATGCCTTCAAGTAAATATGATACAACATTCATTACAACATTGACAGTTTCATTAGTATTAGGAGCTGATTCTGCATTCAATACTCGAATTCCACTAATTGTTCCAGTTGGAAATGTCTTCAAATGAATATGATACAACATTCATTACAACATTGACAGTTTCATCAGTAGTATTAGGAGCTGATTCTGCATTCAATACTTGAATTCCACTGACTTCACCTTTTGAAGATGCCTATACAAAAGTAAGTCACAAAATACGTTACAGTATAGCTAGCAATACTGTTTTCATTAGAAGGAGACCTGAGAACTTGAATTCCATTCACATTACTAATTGGGGCTGTCTTTACTTATAATAATGCAAAACATATTACACTATCAGTGTTGTTATTATTTTGATTGGAAATAGACTCTAGGAATTGAACCCCACTAACATTATTGGGAGCAGAACTCTAAACAATGCTATTTACAAAATATTTTTACATGTGAGTTTTCAAGGGATGCAACTTTTTGTGGGAATGTTGCCTGAGGTTGCTCAGATGCAATAAATGCTGAATTGTCTTGGTGCAACTCAACGCCACTTACAGCGAAACTATCCTACCATTTAGATTCCAATAAATAATGGTATACTCCAGGTGTTGTCTTTTCAGTTTGCTTGACAGAACTCAGATTAGTCTATTTGTCATGTTCTTCATGTTAATATTACAATATTGCTCATTTCTGACCAGAGTAAATATTCTTGGTTGTTTAGGATAAATAAGCAATGAAACCCCTCTGTTAAAATAAACACAACTGATTGTATTTCTTCAACTTATTCATTTTCATTCAACTATTTACTATATGATTAGGAATATTATATGATATCTGAGTGAGTCAAAGATTTCATTCATTAATATTTGTTTTCTCTTTACGTGTGAATAAACTCCACAATTAATAATGATACATATTTGGTAGAACTATAAATATCGCAGTAATAAGGTTTTAAAGTTTGTATTAGAGATGGTGGCTATGTGAAATGAATCATCACTTACTTAGTGTTTTCAATAATACAACCATAATCAGTACAATCAGGGAATAATTGTATATATAAATATAGTTCATTCCTGCTTATAGCACAGAACTAATACTATTATTCATAATCTTATAATTGTGCCTTTACACAATTCACACAAACAAACAATTATATTGTATTGTATTGTATAGTATCATATCGTATTTCATTTGTTATTACAAATATCAGTCGAGTGAATAGTCATTTCATACTCTTTCTCTTTCTCTTTCTCTTTCTTTCTTTCTTTCAATTAAACATTATCATTATCATTATCATATCAAATTAGTACTACACGATCCCATTATTATTATTATTATTATTATTATCTTCATTCATTTATTTTGATAGAGAGGCTCGGGCTACTCGCATTGCCAGATTCGCAACGTGTCTATGTTTAAATCGTCACAAAATCAAACTCCATCGATTTGTTTACAATTTGTTTCGGAATCATTGTTAAAGGCGATTCGGATTTCAGTTCTATTGTTTTAATTCCAATCGAAAATACTCTTCGAAGCCATATAATATTCACGAAGATTGAAACCACTCAACGAAACACCCAACACACATACGATTAAACTCCGAATATTGAAATTTAGTAAAGAAAATAAAGAAAACAAAATCCATAACCCGAAAGGAAGGATCAAAAACAAGAAGAAAAAGCGGTTCTCTGCTTTACTATATCGTTCCGGATTCTATGAACATCAAACAATATTGAACGAATTCATATACCTTTGTTACTTCATATCTTATCGAACTCGGAGAAGACTTTCGCGAAGGAACTGTCCACCATCTCATTCCGACTAAATATCTTCCTGAAAAGTTTTGGACAAAGTAGAAATCAACAGCAATCATTATTATACTCAAAACAAAGAGTTGTGCTTCTTCGAAGAATATTCCTCCAAATACGTGAATCACGAGTGGTATACACTATATTTCGATATTCCATTTTACGTTATACTGCAAGGAGAAGATGGAGGAGTAAACAAATCGGATGATGGGACCGTCTGAATGTTTCTTGAAATGAACCATCCTCATAAATCAATTCATCATATAATCAATACTTCTTGTTGTTGAGTTGGTTCTATCACTTCGACTTGTGGTAAAAATGGATTACTGCTGTTGTTATTAATATTATTCTATGCTTCATGATATTCGATTTGAAAGTACTTCACTTTCTGCCATTTTGAAATAAGAATAAAGTGTGTGAACAAACAAGGTTTACAGTTGGCCATAAGCATTTACAAACGTCATAACACCAGTAACAATTGCCCATATGTAACCAACGAAAAAATAGGCAAGGATAAATTGAAGGATTCCAAGGCAAACCAGGCCACAATTACACCCTCTATCATCCATGCAACCGCCGATAGAGGTTGAGATTCCTGCATTTAACACTCCTAAACTCTATTACCTGGGATGAAAATGGACAGAATGAGGAGGATCAGTCCACGCGTTTTATCGACCTTCGGAATACACTTCCGACTCCTAAGGTATATAATAGAAGTAGTTATTCTTACCATACATCATCTTGACCTGTCAAATTGTCTCCTCCAGATGCTGACTGTGTCGGAGGCTGCGTAGTATAGACTACGGGTGCATTATAATTGGGCTGAGGCGCATAGACAGGTTGAGGTGCATTATATATGGGTTGAGGAACCTGATAAACAGGCTGGGAAGCATTAACATGCTGAGGAACTTGATAAACAGGCTGAGGAAAGGTATAAGGGGGCTGCGATACAAGCATTGGCTGTACCTCACTAGAATTTACTTCCTTAGAAACCCCGATGTGAACAGCTGTAGGATAGGCATCCTCATATTAAAAAATCATTAAGTAATACTGCACTATTAGCTACAGTCTGTTGATTCTCTTGAAATTGTATCTGAGGGTATACGGAGTTCTAAACAAACATGAAATATAAGAATTTACAGTAGAGTTCATTTTTAAACACAAAAGTAAAGAATGATTCAAACTGGTGCGCACAAAATTGGGACATTGAAAAGTTAATTAGCAAAATAAGTGTGAATTATTAACGATTCACACTATATTTCGATATTCCATTTTACGTTATACTGCAAGGAGAAGATGGAGAAGTAAACAAATCGGATGATGGGACCGTCTGAATGTTTCTTGAAATGAACCATCCTCATAAATCAATTTATCATATAATCAATACTTCTTGTTGTTGAGTTGGTTCTATCACTTCGACTTGTGGTAAAAATGGATTACTGCTGTTGTTATTAATATTATTCTATGCTTCATGATATTCGATTTGAAAGTACTTCACTTTCTGCCATTTTGAAATAAGAATAAAGTGTGTAAACAAACAAGGTTTACAGTTGGCCATAAGCATTTACAAACGTCATAACACCAGTAACAATTGCCCATATGTAACCAATGAGAAATACGCACAGGAACATCTGAAGAATTCCAAGGCAAACCAGTCCACAATTACACCCTCTATCATCCATGCAACCTCCAATGCATGTAGATAGACCTATAATTAACACTCTTAAACTCTATTACCTGGGAAGAAAATGGACAGAATGAGGATGATCAATCCACGTATTTTATCGACCTTCGGAATACAAGTTCCTTGCCTAGAATAAACAGAATAGCCATTCCTTACCAATTCTCCGGCTGGATTGTCAAACTATCAGCTCTAGCTACTTGCTGGGTAGTAGGCTGAGGAGCATACATAGGTTGAGGTGCATAGACAGGTTGAGGTACATAGGTGGGCTACAATGTTAGAAAGGCTCGAAATGGACCACATTAACAGCTTCTCCCGGTACCTGAACAGGCGCACCCTGAGCATAGACAGGCTTATCTTAAAGACAATAATAAGGAATACTTGAGTATATACAATTCCTTGTTGTGGTTGCTGCTGCTGAACCAAATAAGTGGTCTAAGTCATAGATAATCGAGACGTCCTACATTGGGATCCATAATTTATCGAATTAATAAAGTTTGAATGCGGTGTAAAACTCGTGCGCACAAAAAAGATTCGGTTTTAGCAAAACAAATGATTATATGAGTCCTTGTCTTACAAGATCATTATACATCTTCTTTGACAAAACATTTCCATCAGCATCTTCAAACTCCTCCTCTTCCAGAGACCAGTCTTCCGCCTTCAGCTGGTCCTTAATCTTTGCATACACTACATGTCACGCATCCATCGTTCCTACGATTCTTCGCATCCTCAATCTTCGTAATATCATGGAAATGCTTCGTATTCGGAATACCCAAACATCGCATTCCATTATGATGTCTCCACTCCTGGAAGTGCATATCGAACGCTCTCCGTCCCCAATACGACTGATTTCCGCAGATCTCGCACTTGTACTCCTTGTCGAGTCCGTACTGCTTGTACAGCCAATAGGGAATCGGCTTGCCGTCCCATCCCAGCGGCAAATTCAGCGGATTGTAAATCGGCTTTTCGTCCTCGTCCTCGTCTTCCTCCTCCTCCTTCTGCTCCTCCTCGCTCACCTCCTTGCCCTCCTCGTCCTTCACGCGCTCCGCGTAGCTCTGGATGATCTTCTTCTCGTTGAACGCCTGCGTGTTGTCCACCACATCGCGCAGCTCCACGCACAGCTCTCCGATCACAAACTCGCGCTCTGCGATCGGACTCAGCTCCTCCAGACTCCCCGTCTTCCCCTTCCCCTTCCCCTTCCCGTTCCGCTTTCCCTTCAGCAGACTCACCGGGATCGCCGTGCTGTCGCTGTGCATGATCGTGTACAGCCGCTCCGCGCGCTGCCGCACCGTTCCTCTACCCATGGTTCCCCGTTTCCACGCTCCTACCCGCACTTCGCTCCCATCCCCTTCAGCATTTCCTTCAGCTTCTCGCCGCCCAATCGCTCGATGCTCTCCACCGACGAGAAATCCGGCAGCTCCTCCTCCGCCTCCGGCTCGTCGTCGTCGTCATCGATGTCGTTGATGTGATCCGACTGCGCCTTGCGCCGCGCCGCAGCCGCCTCGTCGCGCTTCCGCTTCGCTTCCTCGACTTCCGCTTCGATGGTGCGGCGCAGGTTCCACCCTTCGATCTCTCCGGCCGCCCATTTCTTCGCGAACGCCGCACGGCTCTCTTCGAGCAGCGCGGAGACGTCGGCGAGGGGCTGAGCGCGGTGGTAGAAGTCCGTCAAATAGTCCAGCAGCGCGGTGAGGTATTCCAGGTAGGCCTGCTCGAGAAGGGACGGAAAAAGGGTACGGGGGAGAGCTTGGTCTCCATGGGGATGTCTTTGAACGTGTAGAAGGAGGTCAGGTACGAAATGTAGTCGATTCGGAACACATGCGGGAGATTCAAGTATTGCTCGTGCAGCTGGTGCAGATCCAGGTATTTGCCGTAGTACTCTTCGCCCGTGAAAATTTCCTCCAGATCGACCGGTTTGACTGTCACCTAGAGTTGAACAAAACCATTAACAGTACAGGTTTCTCTAACATGCCCGGAAAACGCTTGTGGTATTGCTGGATCTCGTCTAGCGTCTTGTAAAAGGACTGGAATATGTCGCCTTTCGACATCGAGTCGAACTCCTGCTGTCGAGCTCTAAACGTTAGCCAAATGGTAAACAAACCGACTCCTTGTTTGAATAGAGCTTTAAAGCTTCACCAGCGTCTTCTTGAATGATCTCCAGGTATTTGTCGATATCGTGTAATTGCTGCGCCTTCGCCTTTTGCTATAGATGATGAAGATGGCTGAACCACGCACAGTTTTCGGATTTAGTTCTAACTCTCCTTCGATGGCTCTTTCGTATCTCTCGATATCTTCGTGAAGAACTCGAGTCTTCTCAAGAATCGTGAACGACATAGCAATACAAATTGAGAGGACAAATAAATGTGGAGAATTTGGGAATTCACAAAAAGTGGTGGAAATCGAGTCTTTGTATTGTATTATATTTCTGTTGATAGAAGATGTTGCATTGACGCTTCTTTCATACGAATTGGCGCCTTGATTTTGAAATGGATAGAGATGCCGAGTCGTTGCTATTGTAGCGCTTATTCTGCGCTCATTGACATGGGATGTCTCTATTCTACTCAGTATCAATCTCACTGGCAGGCAGGCAGGCATTCATGGATGTCGCTTCACTAGCAACCCCCTTCCAACACAAAGTGTGAAACAAACAAGCCAACCCTCCAGATTAAAAGCCTTAAAATCTCAATCCATAAGATAGTCAAACACTGCACGCAGTTTCACATTTACCCCATAGAAGTCTTGATGTTTACTTCGATACGATAGTCATATCGCCCATCTTAATCCATCCCTTCTTTCGCATGAACTCACTCACCGCCAAACTCACAACTGCGGGAATCAGCACGAAGCACACCACAATTCCGGCAATCGTTTTGCCCACTCCCAACTCCGCGTAGGACTCGGAGTACGTCATCAGCACGCCCACCAGTCCTGAAGTTCCCATTCCACTTCCCGCAGGGTTGCACTTCAGCTTGAACACTGCAGCGGAGATGGGACCCGAAACGATCGACGCCACGATGGGAGGAATGAAAATCTGAGGCGCCTTCACCAGGTTCGGGATTTGAAGCATCGACGTTCCCAAGCCCTGCGCTATCAGGCCGCCCCAGCGGTTCTCGCGGAAGCTGCTCACCGCAAAGCCCACCATCTGGCAGGCGCAGCCAGCCGACGCGGCGCCAGCGGAGATTCCGGTCATTCCGATGGAAATGCCGATCGCCGCGGAGGAGGTAGGCAGGGTGAGCAACACTCCCATGACCACCGCAACGACGATTCCCATGAGCACGGGCTGCAGCGTGGTGACCTTCTCGATGAAGGCTCCGATGCTCGCAAGCACGACGCCGACGGGAGGACCGAACAGATAGGCGGACAGAGAACCTGTGATCAGACAGACCAAAGGAACAATGAGAATATCGATTGAAGTCTTGCCTGCAATGAGGTTGCCAAGCTCCACTGCGATAATCGCAGCGATGTATGCACTGATAGGATCGCCGCCTCCACTAAGGACGAGCTTTCCGTCGACGAACAACGAGTTGTTCACCAGGCCGCTGGCATTCGCTCCCACAAAGCCATTCACGATGGCACAAAAAATAACCAAACGAGGAGAACCCAGGGCGTGGCCAATTCCAGCACCGATACCACAGCCCATCAGAACCGATGCAATGGTTCCAATATTCGTAAAGAATGCGCCAACCACATTACCCGTTCCAAAGATGCTGCCGATCTGCTTGAGAATCAAACCAGCGATCAAGGTACAGAAGAGACCCAGAGCCATACCACCGAAAGCGTCAATGAACCAACGCTTGCAGAAGGCCTTGCAGCAGTTCGGCTTTTTCTCAACCTTCGCTTCCTTCTCCTCCTTCTCCGTTTCCGGGGCTGCAGGAGCGACCACAGCAGGACTTTCCTGTTTCTGCTCCACAGGGGTTATCTGCACATCGCTCTGCACAGTAACAGACTTCAGTTCGACCTCCTGACTCATTCCGGGTGACTATAGGGAATTAGAGAATAATGAATGGATGGATGCACAAATGGAGGTATTCTTGACCTTGAAAACTGGAATTCCAGAAGGAGGCACTATTTGTTGGTACAGAGCAAACACTTGTTTTCTATTATGCTACCAACAGCACGGAAGGAACTGATGGAGTCGCGCCAGTAAGAGACAATAGAATCGCGCCATCTTCAGAGATTTGTGTTTGACACTTCAGTAACCGCCGCACGAACTATACGCTCCACCATCCATAATGCAACAAATTCGCAGTGAAACAGATAAAAAAGAATCTCGTGGTTATAAACGCGTCAGCTGAATAGTGGGAATCGTAACATTGTTTCTCTTTCCAAACTTTTTCTATTTTATTTATCGTACTATTATTTTCAATATGGCTCCTGAAAGTTGCACATGCAGCCAAGCAATGACTACTATGGACCTCTCTCGGAATGGTCCCTCTGTTGTTTACAACTTGGAAAAGTCGGACACTAATACTTACCGGCACCTGGGTATTATGCGCCGAAATACAGGTCGTCCAAAAGTGTCTTATTCGAGTGAAGTGGTTGGTAGGCGGTGGTTCTTGCTTTTGACCTTCTAGATACTAGCAAAAAAAGCAGTACGTCTTTTAGTGATAAAGTGAAGAGTCTTTTAATGGTGTTTCGTGCATAGTAGTGTTTGAAGTTCTTCGAGGAACTTTTAGAACGTTTAGAACGTTTAGAACGTTTAGATCGTTCAGAACGTTTAGAACTTTGGAACCGTTAAGTTATATTTGTCGGTTCGCTCCTTTTTGTTCACAAACACTCTAACCATAATGCAACTACACTCTTCTTCTTTGTCTCCACTTAAAAATTGGAAAATACCATATTCAAGACAGGCGGAGCCTTGGTGTTCATCGGGTCTACAAACGCCTGATATAGTAATTCACAGAATCTCCCCATCGAATCAAAAAAGTCACTACGCCTCATTCCCTTTCCCCTCTCTCACCTCGCCACCGGCTGTTCCCTTATCTTACAGTCTCCCTCCGCATACTGCTCAATCAGCGCCACAAACAGATTCACGTCGATCTCACACGCCAATCGCTCGATAAAGCTGCCACTCTTCCCTTCACGCCTCCTTTCCAACCCCACCTGCATGCTCGGCGGCAGACTGCGTCGCTTTCGCTGCTGCAGACTGCTGTGCTCCGACAGCAGCTCCACGATTTTCTTGCCCAGGGCTTGGTAATCGTACACGATCTCGTCGTATTGGTTGTAATCGTGGTGCCACACCGTGTTCTCTTCCTCCTCACCGCCATCGCTGGCTTCGACGTACGCGTTGATGAGATCCATCTGGATATCGGTGAAGCTTCCATTCCTAGAGATGAATCTCACCCCCAACAAAAAACGAACTTGAGAATGATTCGGAAGAGAACGAGCTTGTGGATGTATTCGCGGACATCGCTGCTCCAGTGCGTGAACAGCCGGCACAGCATGTTGGGGTACCCCGCGACGTACAGACTGGGCTTCGAAGTCTTCTGGGGAGAGAGCGAGACGTCGCACCGGCTGATATAGCGGGGATTTCCGAAGAACAGCGTGTTGATGAAGATGTGGAAGTCCCCTTCCGATATGATCGTGGGCAGTTCGTACACCGTCGCGATCACAGACGTCAGAATCTTTGCGTTAGCGCAAGGCGACCGACCCCACTTCCTTGTTATCCGTGCGAAGCGCGGAGAAGAACTGCAGGCCGACCAGCGTGATCACGCGCGACAGATTAAACAGCGAGTTTCCGACCTGTTCTTGAAAGCTCTGTACGCACGCGTGATCAAAACGGAGGCAGGGCGAGGCCTCCATATCCCCAGCGTCCCCCGCGTCCAGGACTTCAGGAGTGGTACCCGAAGGAGGCGTTTCGGAAGAGAACCGAGGCGGCGGGACGAGGGAGGGGTCGCTGTTGGAGGGATGGATGCTCCGCGATCGCTTCGGGAAGCCGGGGAGCCAGCTGAGCAGTCCGCCCAGACGCCCTGTGGATGCAGCGGAACGCAAGTGCTGAGCGAAATGGGAGGAGGGAGCCGAGGAGGAAAAGGAGGAGTGCGATAAGAAATGGGAGACACGCAAGCCATGCGAGCCATGCGAGCCATGCGAGCCATGCGAACCATGCGAACCATGCAGAGTCGTAGAGCCAATAGAACCAACAAGACCAGTCGAGCCAACAGTGCTCGTCGAACCATTGTGAACAGTGGAAACCGTGGAACTAGAGGTGCTGTTCGAGGCGATGGGGAGGGCGGCAGCCATGGATCCATTGGGACCGGACGCAGTGGCAGACGGGTTGGGTCTCTGCGCAGTGTGGAGCGAGAAGCGCATCGGCGACGTCGGCGATGACTCGGTGATCGGCGTGACCGGACAGCTGCTCATATGGAGGGGATCGGCCAGATCGCGAGGCGAGGGATCCACGGATCGGACATTGGCGTCGATCACGCCGCAGATCAGCGTGTCGTCGAAGCATCGCTGCTGCGCAGTGGTGTAGTAGGAGAGATTGGCGAGGTGGAGCGAGCGGAGAAGCTCCTTGGCGCGGGAGAGAAAGGACGAGACGTCTTTGGCGAGAAGGAGATTGGTGGAGAAGAACACGGCGAGGAGACAGGGGTAGCAGATATGGGGATTGAAACGAGGAAGGATGCGAATCGAGCGGAGAATCGGGTGCGAATCCGATGACACGTTTTTGAGATGGAAGGTGTGCGGAGAGTAAAACGCGTCCAAGTTGAGGGACTGGAAGTCGTACTGAAAGAACGATTCTTCCTTCAGAGCGCGGTTCTATGAATCATACATTGAACGATCGAATTGGAATACTTGGAATCGACACTCCATCATCATTAGCGGGATCGTAATGCTGATTACCGAATAGCCGGGCACTTGGCTCCAAGTGATGTCTCCGCGCACCACGCTGTGCACGTATTGATGATAGTAATTCACGAACGTGATGTACACGTTCCCATTCCGCATCAGCAGCGAAAACCAGTCCTCCTTCTACGCATCATCCCCGCTCCCTTCCTCCACCTCGATCGCCTCTCCCAGCCGATCCACCGACTCCACGTAGTGATAAATCGACGGCCACAAGTACAGCGTCGGGTTCAGCATCTCGAACTTCAGCAAGCTCTCATCGCTCGTCGCGAAGCTCCCAAAATACATCCCCTGCCCTTCACATCCGCACCAGCAGTCCCACGATCTCCTCAATCTCGCTGTTTCCGTAGAAACTCGTCCCCGTGCTCGCACAATCCACCACGTTCACCGTCTCCTCCGTCTCCTGCATCGACCCCATATATCCGCTCATACGCCGGTACAGCTGCTGGCACGAGTCCATGTCGTCCTGCCAATCGATCCCCAGCTCGCAGCTCGGCGACGTCGAGTACCCGCCATGGAACTCCGGGCTTCGCTGCGGGTCGTTCTCCACGATCGGCGTCGCGCTGTGCGACAGAACGTTCCCGTAGAACGTCTCCGAGCTCCCCGACACGTGCGATGCGCGGAACACCGACGCCACGCGCGTCTCGATCGGCTTTCGCTTCACTGCGCGTCAGACCAAACGGGGAAACGGGGAAACTACCTTTGACGCTGAGACCGCGGTAGTAGTCCAGCGAGTAGCGATCGCAGAGAGAGAAATACTCGCTGAGCGAGGAGCAGACCGCGGTCTCGAAGTTGTGCTGGGTGATTTCGTGGAGAATCATGAGCAGAACGCTGCGGATGAAGAGCAAGGCGAACCGACTACCGGTGCAGTCGGATGTTGTGGATCCCGCGGTAGGAGTTGATTTGGCGGGTCACGTCGTACCACTCCGAAAAACCGCGGCGAATGGCGGCGAGCAGCGGCTTTTGGAAGATGGACTCGCGGAAGAAGCTGACGGCAAAAGTGCAGCCGCAGAAATCGATTTCTTCGCTTGTGGAAAGGCGGTTCCGCATTTTTCGTATGCACAAGTCTCGGCTCTTGGATAAGAGACGGCTGGAAGTGAGTCTGGGATCAAAGGAATGTACCGATAACACTGGATGATGTGACAAGCGCGCTTAGAAACACCGATGGAAGTGGCACTCTCAAACTTGCATAAATATTCGATTTTATATTCGTGTCTGCAAATTATACAAATCAGAAGCTTGAAAATAGTAGACTCAATATCAGCAGAGAGAGAGTGGAGTCAAGGAATCACGTACGCGTCTGACACACAAGGATATGTCTGGATTTTCCAGAATATGAAGAAAGTAGGCCCAGATATCTAAAAAGGCTTGTTGAACAAACTTCAGCTCCTCCTTATGATGGTATCTTGTCGTCAAGCGAAAGAGACTGGAACTACATGAATTGATCCACATTCCAAAGAGATTCGTTGGCTTTGATTAATTGGGCTTTTTTTCCTAAGGAAAGTTTCGGCGAAGTCAGATTCTTTAAAACAGACTCAAGTTCTTTCGAATACGCCGTTGAACGCTAAGACTCAATCTTCGACACAATCTATACAACACCGACGGCCATCTTCACTGAGTTTGTTTAAAACAAGAATAGCATACAAACAAATATACTTTTTCTTATAAACATACCCGTGGTTATTCCCTATTTTTGTATTGATGGATTCTTTCGTGAAAGTCGCGACTGATCGAGAAAAACGAAACCTCCTCATGTACACTCACCACTGCCACCACAAGCAAGGCTTCAGAACACAGTTTCGCAAAATCTTCGTTGGAGGGAACAGGATCCAGCTCTCTAGACCTGAGATTGATGGCTAGAGAAGAATTACCTGAAAACCATCACACGAATATCGGGAGGTTTGGGAGATGAACGACTTACTTGGGTCTGCGGATAGTAGGCGATCCAGAAAGACGTATCCAGCGGTGCGGGCGCACTTTCAAAACTAATGTGAAACGCAATTCCGATTCTCACTGGAGGGGTCGGTAAACGCGGTAGCTATTCAACCGAAGTTCGCGAAAGGCTGCATAATGGTGGGTGGGCACATACTTGGGAAGAATTTGCGTTTTGAATGTCTATATAAATTTTCGCTGCATAAGTCGTACGGTCGCATCCATCGGAGCGTCGTTTACCAGAAGGACAATCACCTCGCGTTCTAAGAGGTAACACACCTCCTCTGGATAGAGGATATCTGTTTTTTGATAGGAAGCGCCGAACTGTTGAATCAATTTTCCCCTAGCTCGTGATTCCGCTCCCCGCGTCTCCATACTTTTTTGAAACAATCTCTGCAGTGCCTGTGGAATCGTTCCATGCACAAACAGACTTATTACTTCGGGTTTGCATTTACATCAAACAAAACTAACCTTCCACCTGAACAGTACCAAACAGCACTTTCAACTGCTTTCTCATTGTCAAGTTTTCACCGGGCAAGCAAAAACAAATCGGCTTCACCGCAAACCCTAATCGCGCACTTCGACATCCGCATCGGACCGAATTTTCATTCTTTACCCCTTCCTCCCCCTCCGGCTCCTTCGGAAACCTCACAATCTCGCTCTTCGACCCATCGGCCATGCTGCTCTCCATGCACTGCTTCCATTCATTCATGGGAAACACCGAATGAAACAAGCGTCGCGATTCCTGCCGTTCCCGAAGCTTCCTCGCCGCCAGCTCCTGCATGGCAGCATAATACGCCGTGGCGTTGACTGCCACATGCACCGCCACCACGCGAATCGCCGCCATCATGACTTCCTCCGCGCTGTCCAGCGGCGTTCGCTTCAGCGCAAACCACGAAAAGCCGAAATTGGGGTCGGAGAACGTGCACTTGTTGATCAGCCGATCAAACGACAGCGACTGCAGCAGCCAGGCCAGGTGAGGAACGCTCGTACACGTCGCGAACTCCAGCAGCAGCGGCGACGTGATCATTTGCAGCCGGATGCTCTACGCCATCGTCTTTTTCCTCGGCTTCTACTTCGAAAAACGCGTCGCCGTACTGCGGCGTCAGCGAGATCGCGTAGGAAAGACACAGCTGCGCTTTATGCGGGCTGAAGCGGCGGAAGGAAGGGTTCATAAACAGCCGGCCGCCCTCGCACCAGACCTCGCCCGCCTTGGGGAGAAGCCGAATGGCGCAAAGGAACGCGGGGAACGCGGCTTCGGGACCGAGAAAGAGGTGACGAAGGAGGATCCACGCCGCCCAGAACCGACCGACGGAGCGGAATTTGGAGATGGAGCGAGAGCAGAAGGCGAGAGCGGTCTGCCAATCGCCGAGACGAGCCTGGATGGGGTGACAAAAGGAAGAAAGGCGCGTACGAGTTGGAGCGTGCGCTCGAGAGCGAGTTTCCACGAGGAGGAGGAAGTGGAAACGGCGTATTGGAGAAGCGTGGCTGCGCTGGAGCGGTCGCCCAGGGCTTCGAGAAGACGCGCAGTGTCTTGGAAAAGCGGATCGAACGAAGCGGGCGCGTAGAGTTCCCAGACGCGCGAGAGAATCTAGAAGCGATCGACGATTGGAAAAGCGAAAACGAGGCGCGATCGACGATTGTTTCCAAAGGTACACGCGAATCGAGCCAGCAACAGCCAGATTCGCCAGTGGTTCGGCGTGGGGCAAAGCAACAAGCAAGTGAACAAAAGCGAATACGCGGTTTGCTGCGCGCAGCGAATCAGCGGCTGGAGCGTGTCTGTGTAGCGCTACGCGTGAACGACGCGGCCAGCGCCTACCGAGAGGTGCTGATTCAGCCAAAATCGAACGTGAGTGTAAGCGTGCAGAATCGCCTGCGCGACGTTGGACGTAATCTTCCAGAGCAGATCGCTCGTGATGTTTTCTTTCACCAGCGAGTAATAGGAGAGCCACAGCTCCACCCCCAAGCGCTCCGCGACGTTCCCTTCCCTCCAGCACAGCATCGCGATGCGCTCGTCTTCCTGCAATTTCAAAAACCAGATCGGCGCGTGCTGCGGGATCACCGAGATCAGCAGTCCCAGAACGCGATTGCCCTCGTCAATCGAATCGTTTCGAAACAAATAGCGCAGGAAATCGACGTGCAGCGCGGGCTCCACTTCGCGACTCGCCATCACTTCGCAAAACAGCGAATTCGCTGCGCGGCGTCTCCCCATTCTCGCTAACATTATGATTCCCTCTACACCACTGCGAAGGCCGCGCTGCGAGCCAATCGAAAGGAGCTGCAATGTGTAGCGTTTCACTTCGTCGGGGCACCAAAGTCGCTCGTATGCTTTCAAAATTTTCTCGAGAAGGGTTTCGTTCTCGGGGAGATACTCGATTCCCTCCTTCAGAATCAACGCAGACGTTTTGAAATCGCCGAAAATGTTTTCGACGCGACTCCATTCGAGCCAACACACATAGCAAGTCGGAAACTTGTGGCACAGCTCTTCTAACAAGGCGAGTTTCTCGCGGTAGTTCTCTTTCGAGCAGTTTTCACGCGCCTTCTCGATCGTTTTCTGGATTTCCGGGTACTCAGGGCTTCCCTTGATGATGATTGGAGTGTTCAAACGAGGAGAAGGGATTTGAAACAGAGCCAGGGAGTCGACAGATGGAGGCTCTTCGAAGGGCTCTGCGGAAAGAATAGAGTGGGACTCGGAAGATCGGCAAATGAAAGGAATAAACGATGGAGAGGAGGAAGAAGAAGAAGCATTAGAAGGAGAAGCAGAAGAATGGGGTGTGAGTAAAGGAGAAACACCCGAGGATTCCGGTTGAAAGGGTTCGATGAAGGGTTGGTTCAGATCGGAAGCAGACATCCAAATGATGTTGTTTTTCGAGGGGTTTGGTGGAGGGATGAGGTTGTCGAAGGGAGAAAAGGAGGGATACGGAACATCTGGAATTTCGTCGAATAAAATATCATTCGAGAGGTCGAGGGATACTGTGTGATCCTCGATGTCTTTGTTGGGAAAGAAAAACCTCGACTCGTGCAGTGGAGAATCCGTAAAGCCAGAAAGGAACGGAGGAGCCACTGGATATTGGAAACGATCTTCAATGGGACTCAAGCCTGTATAATAGGAGCAGGGCGATTGGGAACGAATTCCTTGTAATTGTTGCGATACTGCAAACGAATTCATATCATAATAGGAGAAGGAATTGGTAGTTAGTGTTGGAGACATCTGAGACCAGTAACCACTATTGTGAAAGCTATTTCGTGAGGAGAATCCACCAGTAGAACCTATATCGCCTGGATTGGCCTATTTGTCCTTGACTATCCAATGCAGGATGGGTTTCAACACGAGGACACTGAGAAAATTGAGTAGGGTCTGTACAAATTTCAGAGCCGTTCATATCATTCGAAGGCGTCGCTTTTTCTACAAATCACGCTAGATCGGAAATGATACTATCACCATATTCATAGGCGTGAAAAGAGTAAGGGATATCTAAATTATTCATAAAAATAAAACAATGTTTACCTGAAATGGAGGTGAGACCGCTTATCGGCTAACGAATTATTAACATTATTTCTTGATACAACAGCAGTACAATAATTAACGCTTCGATCCTTCTGGCGACATTATAAATTTCAAAAAAAACAACAACAAAAGACTCAAACAAACAAAATTCAAAACAATTTCCACTGCCTCATCGACGAGGGCGAATAGCACAGATCTATCAGCACGATCGACACATTGTCATAGCTCCCTCTCTGCAGCGATATCCAGTACAGAATCTTCGCTATGTCCTACACTCCACGCCTTCTCCCATCTCTACATCCATCGAATAATCCTCATACAACGCCTCCACGATCTTCCTGCACGCCTGCGGATTCACCACTTCCCAGAACCCGTCCGTCGCCATCACGATAAACCGGTCGTCCCGCTTCAGCGTGCACTCCCTACCCTCAACCACGCGCTCCAAACCCACCTCACCCAGGGCTCGCAGCTGATTACGTCCCCTTTAAACCCCTCTACGCCCTCCTTCTCGCGCTCCGCAGACGGGTACTGCCACGTTCCTTCCCGAATCCGCTGGTGCTTCAAGCAGAAATCGCCCAGCGACCGCGCCACCTCGATTTCACCGTTCACATAAAACTTGTAGTCCCGCAACGGACCCAGATTCGCGGGGATCGACGCGCTTCCCGTACCCACAAACGGAATTTTCAGATTCGGACCCGCGCTTCCTGACCCAAATGGAGAAACTGGAGAAACTGGAGAAACCGGAGAAACTGGAGAAACCGAGTCGGAGGGGGAGAAGGAGGGAGGGGCGACGATGGACCCAAGGCGCGTTCGGGTTTCTTCTTTGTCTGGGCGTGAGCCAATCAGAAAGGTGGAAACAATGCGTCAGCCAGCCGCCCGCGGCCTCGATGCGCTGGCAATCGAAGAGTGCGCTGTGGACTTGACAGAGCGGCAGCAGCTCTCCCTGTCTGGCGAGATAGCCTCTACGATCAAACCCCGATCACTCGCCGACTGCGTGTCGCCGAGATTGGCCACGAACAGATCGCAGTCCTGCAGATAGCACAGCAGACACGTGCATCCGCTCACCGACTCCAGCGGCACTTCGGCGAGCAACGCCTCCAGCCGCGCCTCCAGCCGCGCGATCATCGCTTGCAGCAGCGCTCTACACGTCATTGCCCGGCCAGATTCCGACGTGCCGCGCAGCCCTGCCGCGTAGCTCTCCAGAAACACCTCCAGCAAGTGCGTCCGGCAGTACTCCGCGCAGAAGTCTCCGTTGTGCCCGTCGAATCTACCTCGCAATCGCTCGCCTTCCCCACATCGCGAAGAGCGCCTTCCCCGTCCCTTTCTGGTAAGTGCACCATTGGAAGCGATGATCCGACGTCTCCAGACTCGATCGCGACGCAGACAGCTCCAGAGCGCGCTCTGAGGGGGCTGGCGGCGAGGCCTGCAGATCGAACGCCACGCAGGAGTTCAGATACACGCGGTCTTCGTTCTGCCGCTTTTTGTTCTGCGGGTGAAACGGAGAAGCGAAACCGACACAGTAGGAAACGCTCCAGGCGCAGCCGCTGTGCTGCACTTCGGGGATTTCCTCGTCGTCCATGGACGCGCTGTGCGATAAGAGCCACTCTTCGCCATCCTGGATCACTAAAATGAGAGATAGAGAGAGAGAAGGAAGGTACTTTGATTGATTTCGTTTTCGGTGAGAGAAACGCTCGGAGGGACGCTCGAGAGATCGTAGAGGTCGGAGTTCACACTGGAAACACTCGCGTGGCGGAGATAGCGACTGCTGTCTGCGGTGTAGGAAACTATGCGTGAACGATGGGAAAGAAACAAACAGGGGTAATGGTTGAAATCTTCGTCGCACGGGTCTCGATCGGAGTCACTGCTTGAATCATCCTTCGAGGACTCTCCGTCCTTGAGTCAACACGAAAGCATTTCAAATACGCTGTGGATGGTACGATCGTCCGAAACAGACAAGTGACTGGTGTACTTAATGAGAGACGCCTTACAAAAGTAGCTTCTCCAATCGTCCCTCTATGATAATACGAAAGGCACAGGGAAACTTCTTGGTTGCTACGACAACGGAAATGATACTCCGTAGAAGTACCATCTACACGCATGGACACGACAAATCCATAGGTTGCTTTTTCGTACTACTTAGATCCTTGAAACACGTCCTACATCAAAAATCTTCTCGAACTGATTAATAGGGACTTTCACAGTAATAATATCCTTCTTCTTGCTCTGGTATATAATGAAAAAGTTATTCTAGTTCGGAGACAGCAAACGAATCTACATCTATGTGCAAAAACACAGAGATCCATCGGGTTCCTCTCCAAGTGCGAACCTCCATTTCTATCTCCCCTTCTGTTGACACGGAGAGAGCCTGTAGGTAGTCAAGGGTGTTAATTGTGGTTCTTCCATACGTGTTGCTGCTTTCTAAACCGTAATAGCCTGTTCCAACAAAAAACGATTCAAACTCATAAAAACAATAGCAAATAGACGGGGTAAGATTCCCGTGGGAAAACATCGCTTTTTGAACAAACAAAACTACAACGGATTTCCAAATTTGCTATCGAACACGACCTTTTCTAGCATTAAACAAGCAACAAACCAAAACCGGTAGGGAAGCGCGGAGTATCATACACAACAGCATTGCGCGCCTTGTACCCAAAGGAAACAATCGATGCGATCTGATATCTTGAAATAACAGCAAAATGTAAAAAAACAACCTCTTAGGAATCTTCATGATCTGACGAACCTTGTCTTCGGTAAACCCTTCCATGATAAGCGAGTCTACGGTTGATTCTCTTTCCTAAAAATCTCGTACCGATTCCCTTGCTCTTTGCAAGAAGAATCAAGTTTTGAATCATAAAGCCACACTGCTGGAAAGACCACGCTTCACGAGAGAATCGGCGGGGAGAAGTTCTGAACAAGCGAAGGAAGGAAAAGAATAGATCAAAAATCCAGCCAAAGAGAACATTCAAAATGGTGTTCGTGTAGTACGTAAGAAGGAGGAGACCCATACCGGTGGGAGCGTCCTTCTCTGGATCTACAAATAACACCCTGCAAACTGACAAACTAAGGTCTGACAGAACGAGAATTGTCGCTGAGCTGGATCTCACAGCATGATCGTTGCCAGCATCCATTCCTGTAGCGAGATCCTCCAACTTTTCCTTATTGCGCACCACGATGAGCTTGTACGGTTGGAGGTTCAGCGAAGTTGGACATCTCTAGTATGTAGAAGATGCACTATATCGAACGAGAGAGTATCCAAGGATTTCCTCCAAGACACCGTCTTCAATTGGCTTTCCATCAAAAGCGCGTACACTGTGCCGATCTTCCGTAATTTTCTTCAATTGCTCATAAGAGTTGCTCATGGTGAATTAAAAAAACAAAGATAAAAAGAAGTGTACTCAAATCCAATCATCATCACGAAGAACATACTTATTATTCATTTCTACATTCGAGCAAGCAAACATTTCTTACCTTCAACCATTTCCCCCATTTCCGAGTCTTTCTTCGCATATACATCCATCACTGCGTTATCGTTCCCTAAATACGACAGCAACGAAAACCCGTTCGCCTTATCCGTTGTTTCCACGATCTTTCGAATACTCGTGGGACTCTTCGATCATCATCACAACCCTCTCCAAGCCTACATTGATATCAAGTGGCAGAAACGACAGTAAGCTATAATCATTCACAATCTCGCACAGCATCCAATAGAGCTTGCGATACTTTCGCTGGAACGGCGTCCGAGCCCTTCTCACGAACTCTTCTTCATCGCAGACATCGCTCGCATCGCTCGCATCGCTTGCATCGAAATCGGCATCGAAATCGGCTTCAGAAGAGCGAGAAAAAGCATCGGAGTTGTTTGCTTCATTATCGTGTGGTTTGTTTCCATTTGGTTCATTTAATTCTTTTCCATAATCGTTTGCTCGATTCGCTTTGCTTGAATTCTCTGAGTCGCTGCCTTCCGACTCCGCTTCTTCTGTGGGCGATTGCAGAGCGCGGTCCACTCCATAGAGCATGAGAGAGAGATCAGGGAGCTCCGTGTAATAGTCCAAATCGTAGTCAATGTCACCGTATTTGGTGATCAGATCGATTTTGGAGAGAACATTCACCGCAGGGAGCTCCATGTTAATCTATCGAAAGAATGCGCGGAAGAAAAGCAAACCATCGAAATAAGCGATGTCAGACTTGCTGAAATGAACACCTCTGGTTTGGAGCAATAGAAAGAATCAACGAGATTTACTGCCACTAACTATGGGTAAAATGGAGAGAATAAGAAAATACACGAAATCCTTGATTCTCGAGCTGATTGATAAGTGAGCTGACGTTGTTATTCGAAGTAAATAACTCCACTTGACCAGCAAAATCAAAAATCACATAACTTGCTAAAGGTCAGCTCAAGAACGATTCAAAAACATGGAAACTCATGAAGTCGATCAAACAACCACTGAATATTCTTTAAGAGGAACTCCATACAAAATAATAATCCTCCATTCGGACCTAAGTTGTATTCTTCCATCACTTCTTCAAGAGTAATTAGTTCCGTAATATTGATATTGCAGTTATATCTAAAATAGCAAGACAAAATGATCTCTATACAAAATATTATCATTCGCAGGATCTAAATTCACGACGATACATTCTCTTCCTATCGTTGCAAAATACTGCTGTAGAGCATAGCAATAGGTTGATTTTCCAGACCCAGGAGGGCCAAGGACCACTTGACCGTAATGCATAAAAAACAATGACAATCAGGAAATATGCCTATGAGAATATATTAGTTAAAAAATATAGCAAAAATGTGCAACGCGATAGAATAGTTTTCATTTCACATCTACACTTGTTACTTATACGATTATTTCTATATATATATATATATATATATAGCGTGTTGAGTTATTTCGCAGTGGACTTGGCCACTAAGGATGTACAATGGTAAAAAGTAGTTATATCAGTGAATAACACGCAGAATATTGATACAATAGTCATTGTGATAATATGGTGCAGGTGACACTTCAAAAACAAACTCTGAATACAGAAAGAATGGTGATGTATGAGATTTGACACATAACAAACCTATTCAAAAAAGGGAATAGAAGTGTATTAAGCTATCTATGTCGGCTACTGATACACATTCTGATATTTCGGTAGACTGTCGACAACAAAGCAGTGATGAGGAAATCGATTGGACACAGAATGTTGAGCAACAATTCCAATCCGTTGGTTCCGATGGTGTCAATAATAAAAAAGAAACTATTACAGAGAATCCTCCCTCTGGGAACAAAATGCTTGTTACAACAGTTCTGGACGGCTCAATTGAGAGAAAAGAATTATTAAATAAGTACGGAGTGATTATAGCGCACATAGACGAAAAAAGAAAAAAGAAGGATCAACAATGCTTGTTGTACTACAAGACTGGTGTTATGTTCTATCGTGGATGTATTAAAAACGGTTTTCGCACGGGATATGGAATTGAATATAACGATTATGGTTTAAAAATGTTTGAGGGATCATTCGAAAATGGTGTTCGTTCAGGAAATGGAAAGGAATTTGATTGCAATGGAAAAGTTATATTTTCTGGGTGCTATTGTCAAAATAAACGTGAAGGCAAGGGGAAAGAGTATTATCCGAATGGGAAATTACTGTTTGAAGGGTATTTTCACCAGGGGTTCCGTCAAGGGAAGGGAATCGAATACAATGAAAATGGTGAGGGTAAAGAAGCAATCTATGAAAGAGGCGTGATTAATGTGCACTTCGTTCCTTCCACAGAGTTGAAGAAATACTGGGTAGAGACAGATACAGAGAGTGGTTCCAGGGTTCTCTGTCAAATTGATGATTTGGGAAAACGTTTTGGAATTTGCTATTTCTATTTGCATGACACGATTCAGCGTGTGAGTCGATGGAAGGATGGGGCTGAGATAGAAATCCTAAAATCGTTTAACAATAACAAAATGATTGAATATTCCCATGGAGTAAAAGTATATGAAGGAGAATATGAGAATTCTATGCTTCTAAATTATTGTCGATATGGAAAGGGAATGGAATTTCTATCAAATGGAACTACTATGGTTTTCAATGGTAGTTACAGAGATGGAAAGAGGAATGGAACAGGGATTGCTTATCGTAATAATGCACCAGTATATAATGGATTATGGGTAAATGGGCACCGATTGTGGTGTGTCATTATGCTACATGAATTCTATGTGATTCTGTTTTTTGGCATTACGGCAGCACTCTTTTTTCTATTTGATATTCCCTTCATCATTTGGTTTATTATTCCCATCCTCTTTATATGGAGAAGAGTTTCTCTCATTCGGTGTGAAGTAGACTGTTTATTGGCAAACCATAACTATCTAAAGAGGCATTTCATTGTGGGAAATGGATGTTGCAATTGCCAACAATCTTTGACCATCCATCCCTATTTGATAAAATCAATCGAAATCGGTGATAATTGTTTTGGCTCAGTGCAAAGATTCGAAATCGATGGATTGAATCGATTGAAAACTATCAAAATCGGAAACAATTCATTCACTCAGAAAAAGAGTTGGTATGGAAATGATAAATCGAAATCATTTCACATATTGAATTGTGAATCATTGGAATCCATTCAAATTGGTAGATATAGTTTCAGTGATTTTGCTGGAAATTTTGAGCTGAAGAATCTACCACAATTAAAATCCATCCAGATTGGTAAGGAATATAGTGATTCATATAATTTTTGTTATAGCTCGTTTGTGCTTCGAGGTATTGATGTGATATGGAATATGGGATAATGCATAGATCTTCCAAATCTACAATCCATTACATTAGGTTCTGGAGCATTTTCAAAAAGTGAAGAATTCTGTCTATATAATCTTGATTCCTTAGAAAAGATAGATAATTTACATGGTAATTATGGAGCAGTAAAAGTGTTCAAAATCGATGGATTGAAACGATTGAAAACTATCAATATCAGAAATGAATCGTTTTGTACTGCAAAGAGCATTGAGGGATATGATGAATCGAAATCATTCCACATAATGAATTGTGAATCATTGGAATCCATTCAAATTGGTGAATGGAGTTTTAGACAGTTTGGAGGCGAATTTGAATTGAAGAATCTACCACAATTACAATCCGTTAAAATAGGTGCATTTGGAAGTGGTTCACGCAATTTCTTTGGCAGTTCCTTTGTCGTTCGAGGTATTGATATGATATTGAGTATTTGGATAATGATCAGATCTTCCAAATCTAAAATTCATTACATTAGGTGATTGGGCATTCCATTATTGCTTATCGACAGTAATTGAAAGTACTGATAAAAGGTGAATGAGTTGATTGATGTAGATCTTCCATCGTTACAATCCATTAAACTCGGACAAGAAACACTTACTGGAAGAGGCAATGAATCCTGCTCCTTGATATTGCGAAGTTTGAATGCAATGATTCGACTTGATTGAGTGTAGATCTTCCAAATCTTACATCCATCAAATCAAATGGAAATAGTTTCTATAATCCTCGTTCAGTTACCTTGGAGAGTAGTTCTAAATTGTGAATATTGATTGTATTTAGATATTCCAAAAATTAAGAATCTTAGTCTCGATAATGCCTTTGGACAAGTTGAATCAAAATCTATTTCGAGTATGTAGTTGATTGCTAGTCACTTTCTAGATATCTCTGTAATATTCAGCCAATTCATTAATATAAATAACTAATCTATGAATTGTTTGTGCTCAAACAGCAGAGTTTATACTCAATAAGCGTCTATTCTCTGTTGGCTGTTCCTTCTTATAAATATATACAAACCTATTCATCATGTATCATCCACCACTCCTACGCAACAACTAATATTACTATCATAACATAAGCAGTTATTAATAAAGCTTTCTTTATATAAATAAAAATACCCTCCGGTACATCTTCTTCCTTTTGGTTGGTATTGTCATTCACAACTACGGAGCTCCAGTCAAATCCTCCTGTCACCACAATCGAAACTGGCTGTATCGAAGTACTCAAACTTCGACGAGTCACCTTCACTTGAATCTTGTTCGATTCTTTTGTCATCCATCCCACTGTTGTAGCATTTAACGAAATCACTTGCACATTGTTATAGTCATCAGGACCATCCAATCTATGCTCGATGCTATCCAATGCAACTACTCGTTCGGATAGAAATAGGTGGTCGAGCCTACAGAGTTTGCGGTCAATCCAACAGTGTTCACAATGACATTCTTAGAGTAAATAGAGGCTGGAGGATCTGTGTAGGCCATGGTGACTTTGAAGGGTATTGAAGAGTGAGGAAGTGAAGGAACCAATCTTTTTTCCTATTATTAAATTTCAAGGGATATGTTCGTAATCGTGAATTCAAGTGTGAACGATTCCTTCTTCTCGTTGATCTGCCCATAAAACAAAAACAGTTCGAAATCGCTCTCGCCATCGTAGTGAAGCACACGATCCAGCTGCACTCGACCATGACCTTCAAAATAGAAGTGGTTTTCATCATGGGGATAACAATCCATAAATTTACTGCAGTATCCTATCGTAGGCTGTCCACTGTGAACCACCATCGCTTTGATCAGCGAAGCTCGCACATCCAGCTCTTCTACCCATCATTTAAAAACCCCATTCTCACGATTATGATAACTCTTCTCCTTCAGATATTGCGTGATCAAAGCCACGATTCCAGCCACAGCGGGTGTGGCCATCGAAGTTCCAGGCATCTCCACCACACCGCCATGGTTATCGCAGTTCAATCCGCAATCCTCTTTACTCAGAGACTTGGCTGAGAATTGCTCGCCTGGAGCCACAATATCGGGCTTGATAGTATGTCGTGTTGGCCTTCCGCGCGAAGAGAAATACGTGATGTAGTTCTTTCCGTCATGATTTCGCTCGGAATGCGTCGCTCCGACAGTAATCACGTTCTTAGAAAGGGCGGGTGATGTCACCGATCCAAATCTATATTGATACAAGTTCTGTGTGACAACCCTCCTTCTCCTTCATTGCCAGCTGCGAATAGAATGAGCATATCGTCATGATCCCAAACGAACTCATCCGTCTGAACACAGAATGAGTCATAAAAAAACTCATCTCTAGATCCCCAAGAATTCGAACTTATTCGAACATCATTGTTGTATCTATCCATGTCTTAATTAAACTTAAAATATACAAGTATTTCATGTAGTAGTCATCATATATATTCTTGGGAAGATATAAATATCCGTCGTTATCTTCCAAATCGACAAACAGCAACTTCGCTTCCTCGGCGATTCCCTATCTCTCATCCCTCCATCATCATCATCGTCATACATTGTACAGAGCATCTGAGCTGTTGCTGCTGTCATACGCCTTTCCGGCGATCGTTCCACACACGTGCGTGCCGTGGCCATCCGTCGAAGTCTCATCTTTTCCAAAGAGAGGAACATACAGAGAGATCTTTCGATGATCGGAAGACCCACTCTCGGCTCTCTTCACTGAATGATCGGGGTCGTAGAAATAAGTGCTTTTCCAATCGATCCCAGAATCACCCACTCCAACGAGCACGTTTCGACCGTTCAGATTATGGAGTTTGTAGATCTTTGACGACTCGCCAGATGCGTCATAATAACCATCTGCCAAGGACTGCTGAGCATAATCATTGAGTTGGCCTACAAATGAAAGAGCGAGTGAACTAGGAACGCAAATGGTGAAGTTTCCACTTGGGTTTCAATGATACAGAGAGAATATCCTTCTGGGAAAGGAGATTCGCGAGAGGAAGAAGAGGGCGAGCGAGAGAACTCTTCACCATCTTCTGTGATGACTGCAGTTGTTGGGATGAACTCGAAGGTCTCAATATCTTGAGAGATCGAGTGATTACAGCAGGGGCTTAACATAAACAAAGCAAAACTAGGTTTACTGTTTTCGTCTTCATTTGGATCTTGGTTGTCAGCAAAATTCAGATTGAGTAATTTCTCTTCAGAGCCGGAAATGCTCGAAATTGACAAGGACACGGCGGTGTGGTTCTTAGAGGCCTTCGATAGAGCAGTCACAACAGATGGACTGACTCGTGCTAGAAGAGGAATGGGAGCATAAGAGTCAATCATAGACTTGAAGGGATTTCTGTTCAAGAACGACTCTTTGCAAGTCACAACCACACACTTGTTTTGTCCTCCAACGTACTCCATATTTTGATAGCCAAAACTCGTCAGAAAACCAATTCTTTTAGAAAAATCGGCCACTGTATAGCCATCCTTTAACATTACATAATAACGGTCGTAATCACTTGAGAGTGAACGATCTTGGTTGGAAGACATATCACTGACCTAGCTATGAAGAGAGGAATGCTTCCTTACATCAAACTCGTCTTCAATGTCCTCTTCTGGCAAAAATGAAAGGGAAGTGGAGAGATGTGTCATGAAAGATGATACAAGTGGCTTAGAAGCGCTTGCCACAGATGAAAGAAGAAAAATCGCCAATAACAGTGAAAATGTATTCATGAAAAATAAAAAAATTGAAGCAGGAATCCTAATAGTAAACTGGTTGTTATGTCAAACATGTCATGTTTTGTTTTGTCATGTCATATCATATCATAATTTTGTTTTTAGATTACGCTTCGAGCCATAGTTGTTTGCTTTATTTTGATGGTCAACATACTGAAGTGAATTATAATATGTTTACAATATATCCACCCCTACATTCAACAATATACATTTTATATAGTTCCTATATATTCATTATTATTGTTCCAAAGTAATAGATCTTTTACACATAATTTAATTTTACAAAATAGTACAGTACAAACCATTTTCTATAATGTGAGCATTGAAAATGCACAGATTTCCTGTTTACTTCTTTTTCTCCTTACCCTACTATTCTATTGAATTGAATTGATCCGATTTTATGATCTGTTTTTCAACACCGTACTGCAATATAATAAAGTTCACTATATCGTGTTTTTTCAGAATGATCACCATACTATTCATTTTAAATCATAGTTTGTGAATATAAGCAGAAATAGAATAAATAATGCCTTGATTTTTTAGTAAATACAACAATCACACATTACTTTCCAGAAGCGTAATAGAAGTATAATATTTATATGTGACAAAGAATAAAAGAAAACATAATCACATTTTAAGGTTAAAGTCATGAGAAGAAAAGCAAACATAAAAGACAAAGTAAAACTTGGTATTTTGTAAGTAACTACAATTGTAAATATACTAATTTCAATATTATATAGCTATACTATGTCAACGAACTAATAATTGTACTTTCATGGCCGATTGTATTTTAGGGTCATTATAGTGGCTAAATATATATACAAATATATACATTTATTAATGATAACAATATTCACTTTATATTTGCATAAGAATAAGATCACCAAAAGACATGTATGTTCTGCAGATGCGAAATTGTTTAAAAAAGAAATATGTCATCAGAAATAAGCAAATTGTCACTTGAATAAAATGCTGCTACTACTTTCAGTAAGATCAAAAACAGAACATCACTTTGTGTGTATTTTCTGTTTTAATAAGAAAATCAGATAAGAGAAGGCAGGGATACCTTATTTAATATGAAAGTCATTTGTACTTTACCACAAGGATGTTCGTTTACATAAATATTCATTTTATATAGGATATAATTGGACAATACAACCTATATCCGGTTAATGTTAAACTATAATTGAAATGATTACCTTGCAAATTATCATTATTATTATCATACAACATAGAATACAATTATATGTGATAAATATGAAAGAATTAAGAATCGAATTGTACAGTTTGTAGGTGCATACTTATTTTTTCAGTATCCGAAGGCGAGTGAACATTTATCATCCTAATATTCGGTCACCGTTATAAAAATGTAATCGACATCCATTCATATAATTATAACTAGCATTCAATATTAAACAATTCTAATAAGAACATAAAAACAACTAAATAAGGTTTGGTAACAACAAATCAACGAAATAGTAAAATGCACTTTATTGAACATAATATGGTAACATAGCCATCGAAAACAATTTGATTAGTTCTGTTTTTAACTATTCTTTTTTGGATTTAACAAGATTTTTAAAACAATCAGATACATCTATCATTATTATCACATTACATTGATTCATACTGGTTATTTTGGTAGAGATAACTGCTTCGAATGAATAAGGTAGATCGACATTTTGAAGATTTGGAATATCTAAATACTATCAATATTCAATATTCAGAAATACTTGCCAATGTCACTACACGAGGATAACGGAAACTAGATTCTACAGAAGTTATTGATGTTAGATTTGGAAGATCTACAAAACAAATCATAACCAATCAATTCATTATTACTTCGAAGTGTCAATGAACATGAATCATCATCATCTCTTCCATTAAGTGCACCATAACCGAGTTGAATGGATTGTAATGATGGAAGATCTACATCAATCATTTCATTCGAATTCATTCAATACTTTCAATTATTGTTGATAAGGAATCATCGAATGCACGAACACCTAATGTAATGGATTGTAGATTTGGAAGATCTATGCATTATCCAAATATTCAATATCATATCAATACCTCCAATCTCAAATGAACTAAAACAGAAATTGTATGAATACCTTCCAATTGTCCCAATTTGAATGGATTGTAATTGTGGTAGATTCTTCAATTCAAAGTCGCCAGCATAATCACTGAAACTCCATTCACCAATTTGAATGGATTCCAATGATTCACAATTCAGTATATGGAATGATTTCCACTTGTTATTTCCATACTTTTTCTGCGTAAATGAATATATTCCGATTTTAATAGTTTTCAATCGATTCAATCCATCGATTTGGAATGTTTGCACTGATCTAAAACTATAATCCCCGATTTCGATTGATTCCAACCATTTGAATCGATTCACTTTCAATTCATTCAGATCATTACAACTATACGAACATATCACCAATTCTGTTACTTTCAAATCCATTTCATTCAATTCAGAACTATTGTTCACTTCAATTCGTTTGGCAGGAACACTTACAATTAGTTCAGTTTTCATTTCACATGGTTTTTCATTCTTCAATACACTTCGAATACTTTCACTCAATCCTTTCACATACCAACCTTCATACAAGTCGATTCCACCTTCCTTCTCTAAACCATGTTCCCATTCACTTTCACGAATTGCTGTTCCACTGGCTTCATCAATCAAATATCCCAACCCATTTCGTACATATTTACCATTTTCCACACTATATCCTCCTATATAGATTGGAATTCGATTCAGTATTTCATCATTTCCATTCTCATCATTGTTTTCAGCATATTCGATCATTTGGTTATTTTCAGCATCGAATTCACGAATCATTCGAATCAATTTGTCTTTCGACCAATATCCTTCAATCTTCTCTTTACCATCATTTTCCATATCATATTCGATTCCATAACCATCTCGATTCATTTCTTCATCAAATCCACCTCGATATATCACCATATCATCATCATTATCATTCTCTTCATCATTTTCACCTTTACGCTTACATCGAATTGTCATGATCAATCCTTCTTTACTATTTTCGATTATTCTTCGATCTCCATCATTTCCAACGATTGAATCCCAGTTTTCTTTTTGTAATGCTTTACCATTCTTATATTCTGTCACTCCACCAATTCGTTTACCATTTTTCATCATCCATGCAAGACTCAAGATTCCACGATTGAATAATTGGCAACGACCTTCAATTTTCCCATTTTTCATTTCACTCAACAAATATTCATTGGAATGATCTCCTTGATATAGAGTGACTTCATAATCGACTCCATTAATGGAAATCTTCTTCTTTTGAGAGGTAATGTAGTCGTTGAGTAAATACCTTGATTCTCTGGGTTGTTTTGACGAATCTATATTATTATAATTTATCTATATGAATACAATCAAAATTGTTAACCATAATACAAAGATCTGAGAAATATTCTTTTCTGTGAAAGCCTGTATTTTGGCAATTCCAAAAGAAGTTCATTATTTCCTGATTATTCGAATTTGGATTTCTCGACTTTTACTGAATTAGTGATAGTGTGATTTTGCTATATTGTGTAATGCAACACTCTAACTGATCTGAATGATTTAGAAACAACAACACAAGTGCCTCTAGCTCATAATGAATATGTGACTCTTGACCAGTAAATCAAGATAATAAGAGTTAACCAGAAATCGAGAAAACATGAAAAATACTCATTCTATATATGTATTAATGGGTTTCACTTCTAAGGTAATGTGACTTAAATAGTCATTTTCTAAAAATCGTTTATCTATGAAGGAAAAACATTGTATCAATTCAATGATTCACGATTCAAAATGCACTGAAGGAAACACACTTAACTCAGGATCAGCTGCCTAACAAATTCCACTTTTTTCTCACAAGAAAATCAAGTGAGTGTTTCTCCAATATGTCTTTTTCAAAGCCACATCAATTTAGGAATAACCATTACTCCCCAATCGATGATAATTACCTTTTCCACACAGATCATTTCACTCGGCTATTGGATTCTTTGACCAAATCCCAATTTCTCTTATTTTCAAACAAACAAAAAGCTAGCAAATTACAACACTATTTACACACTTAGTTTACACAAATCTGCTTTCTTCCTGCCTCATTCTCCTCCTTCTTGGGAATTACTACCTTCAGAACTCCATTATCATACATCGCATTTATACCATCCACATTCGCATTCTTCGGCAGAGATACTTCACGATGGAAAGAACCAAAGTGACGTTCACAGAAATGGTACTTGTCCTTCTCTTCCTTCTTCTCACTCTTTCTTTCTCCTTCAATCACAAGTCCATTATCTTCAACATGCATTTTGATTTCACTCTTGTCCATTCCAGGCAGATCCACACTCATTTCATACTCCCTCTCGTTCTCTGTCATGTCCATTCGGCCAAATCCACTGAACGGAGTAATCACATCACGTCGAATTCCATCATCAAACCAAGAATCCAAGTCATTCTGTCTAGGATAGGTCGATACAAGCAAGTCATCGAAACCATTAAAGAAAGGATCACGGAATATAATGCTCATTATCACTAACTTAGTTCAATCAAATAAATAAATAAATAATGACAATGTACCGCAATCAAACAAAACTTCGAGAAGCATCGAGAAGTTTCTAGAAATCCGGTATATACCTTCTATTTTGGTTCCAATGTTCTACAATCGCTCAGTATTGTCAACTGAGACAAAATAGAACCAAAACACAGCAAATAGCTACAATGTTGCTCCTATCAGTAAAAGCCTTACAGAAAGTCTATTGCCATTCTAATCTAACTGATCTGAATCATCGCTATTCAATCCTCGACTAGATTCTCATTTCCCCACTCTACGAAACCTCTCCATGATTGTATATTCACAAAACAACCCAACGAATAAAATAGTTACTCGTGATCCGTCCTTGAGTGTTACCCAGGTGCGAATTGATATGAGCAGCATTCCAAAAGAAATCCTTTCGAGGCACCTTCCCCATATGGTTCATAGAACTATCAAATCCCTGATGAATCGACGCTAGAGAGGTAATGTCGACGACATCAAACGAGCGAGCATGAGCATACACCAGAATCGCGCTGTCCACATACCACCGACCCACGACCACTTTCCACATTTTCTCGAAGGGAAACGTAGAAGGAAACACAAAAACGTCCTGCACATCAGACCGAACGATTCATTCATTCTACGATCGCCGACGCATCGCGCAGCGTCCCTTTCAGCTGGGAGAAATGCTTTCGATAGGACGAGAAGTATTTCGTGTTCATATTCTTCGGTAATGTTTTCACGTTCATGACGGTTCCGACCATAACATACTACACATTCATCGCATTGGTTCCCTGTTTCTACTTTTTGATTCTCGAAATACTCATCAAAAAAGGCAGCGACCGAAAAAGTGCCTGGATTGATGATGATGTCCGCGTTGATGTAAACGATCTGCTTCACCGAATAGACAGTTCGAGCGGTAACGAGCATCGAATTAATGAAAGGCAATCCATATTCGTTCGTTTTCGCCTCTGGAAGCACATCAATCCCAAACTGCCTCGCAAACTCCGTTATATCTCGCGACTTCGTGAAGATCACGACCTGAATATTGAACTGTCTCTTATACAGAGACAACACACGCAGCGAGTACTTCAACTTCTTCGAAACACCCTACCCTCATAACGAGACTCTTCACACTACATAGCCTCCGGCTGTTAGAACGACCAGCGTGTGATTATCGGGGAGACGATTGTACGTCACGTTCACGTTCATCAAGCACTCCATATATCGGAGTTTTCGCTTCCACGCCACGGGGTGTGTGTATTGATTGCCCCAATACACCGCCACGCTGCTTCGCTGCCGCGTCGAGAACGCGCCTCGCACTTGCAAAATCGAAGGGAATCCCGCGGTCGTCCGGTTGCGAGGCAGTCGGTTGGGCGTGAAGGACGGCGCGCTGTGCGGAACCAGTCGCTTCTTGAGTCGTTTCTTCTCCCTTTTCTGGACTTGCTGCTGGCTGAACTTCGCGAGTTCGAGCATTCGATCGGACGAGATCGCGTCGCCGTCTGCGTTGGAGAGCGGCCCGTCGCTGGGATTGGGCCGCACGAACACCGTCGATTGCCACATTTGGCTCACGGTGGGAGAAGAAGAATCCGAATCGTCGTCTTCGCTATCGTCAGGGGAGGAAAGAGAATCAAGATCTTCTCCTTCGTCTGTGTTGGTTGCTGAGGGAGACACGAACTCCAGATTCTTGATGCTTTGGGTTGGAGAAGAGGGAACTTCACTGGTACTGACACGGGAATGCGAAAATAAAGTTGGTTGGTACATTTGACTCACGGTTGGGGTAGTAGTAGTAGGTTCACGATCAGGTTCCTTGCCTTCTTTTTCTTCTTCTTCTTCACCTTCTGTTGGAACATACACTTTTTCACTGGGTGTGGGATGCGATAATAGAGTTGGCTTGTACAATTGGCTAACTGTAGGATAAGTAGATGCAAAGGTAGAGCCTGGTCTATTTTCTGTCGGAGTAGGCTCCAGACTACTTGTCTTCGAAATAGAGAACAGATTGGTTTGCATTACATAATTTGGTATAGAAGGGATTGATTCTGGTTCCCGCTTGGTCTTTCCATTCTCTTGGTCGACTACATGAAAGGAACCGAATCGATACTCACCTGGACTAAATAACTGGCTCGTAGGATTATCTATAGATGATTTGTACCAAGAATATCCAACTCCGCAACGCTTGTGTCGATACGTCGCGACTGTTGTGAATTTCCTTCGTCGCTGCATGCACGACCGGAAATGATTGAACAACGGTCTTGTCCAGAGCGGCGTCGTGATGGAACCCATCCAGCAGGACAGATCTTCCGAAAAACGTATTTTCCACCCCTAGCTTATCTACGACTACGGCAATGTAATAGAAAAACAAAAGTAGCCATAGCAAGCACATAATCAAACAAGGTTTTGGGAAATTGTACCACTCTCCCTCTTCCGACCCAACGCGATTTCAACAAACACCCCTACAATCTCCCAAACATCTTCTGTGCCATCGCCTTCCTCCTCTCGTTCACCGCCTTCTTCGCGGCCTGATTCCGCGCAGCCAGGTTCTTCACGCTGGGATCATCGGGAATCAGCTTCATCACCGCCTCCAAATCCTTGCTGCACCTCTCCACATCCTTGAGCTTGTCATAGCAGAACGCTCTCCGATAGAGCGCCTTGGTGTTCTGCGGATCGCTCTTCAGCACCGTCGTGCAGTAATCCTCCGCCTTCTTCCACGCCTCCAGCTTGATAAAGCACTGCGCCAAGTTCAGCCGCAGCGACTTCTCCATCTCCGCGACCGTCTGCTTCTGCTCGGGCGAGAGATTGAAGAACTTGCTGCAGTGTCCCAACGCGCGCATCTACGCCTCAACCGCCTCCTTTGCAAGCACATAGCGCTGCACCGCCATCTCGTAGTTCTTCTCCTTGAACAGCTCCGTGCCCTCCTTCTTATTCGCCTCCGCTCGCGACATCCGCGCGCTGTACGGCAGCTTCACGTCATCCGACTGGCTCTGCAGCTCGCGCTTCTTGCTCTCCTCCTCCAGCTCGCGCTCGATCTTCAGCCGATCCTGCTCCTTCGCCTCGTAGAACGCGCCGAACCGCTCTTTCAGGGTCGCTTCCAACTGGTTCCGATGCTCTCGCAGCTCCTCCAGCGACGCCGATTCCCCGGCGTTCCACAGCCAGTCGTCCTCCGCGTTCAGCAGCGCGTTCACTTCCTCCTCCTTCAGATAGCTCGCGAATTTCCCGCTCAACTCGCGTCGAGTCTGGTCGATCAGCTCTTCCAGCGCGTTGCGCGCTTCGCCCAGAGCGACACGCGCTTCGTCGCGAGCTCGCAGCTCCATTTCGACCTCCCGCATCTGCTTCATTGCTTCGAGGTCAGCGGGAGTCGAGGGAAGAGAAGGAACGTCCATGGTCCAATCGGCGCGTGCGGAGTCGGCAATGCCGAGCAACGCGCAGCCCTTCGCGATGCAGGACGCGCTGTCCACCGTGAACTGCAGGTTCTTGCCGATTTCCTCGCTCACGATCTGCTGCATGAACGGGATTCGACTGCCTCCGCCGATCATTTCGATGGCGTCGATGGGACCGGGGTAGATCGAGCGCAGTTCCTGCACCAGAGAGCGGAACCGGGCGATCTGATCCGCCACCAACCCTTCCATTTCCGCTCGCGTCATGGAGAGCTGAGAGTCCTCGTCCTCCATTAAGCCGTACACCGTCAGAGCGGCTTTGCCCGCGGCGCTGAGCATTTCCTTGAGGCGACGGCAACCGTCCATGAGGCGGATGGACTGCTTGGAGCCGGGAAGGATGGACACCTTGTTCGCGAGTTTCTGAACGAAGTGGGTGTAGAGAGCGTTGTCGATGTCCTTCGCTCCGAACTGACGACTGACGCTGCCCAGGATTTTGCTGCTCTTGGAAGTGAATTCGACCACGTAGAGGTCGGTGAAGCAGCTGCCCTGGTCGACGAAGAGAACATGATAGCTGCTTTCCGGAGACTGCGAGAAATGATCCGAGTTATTCAATCGGAAACAATAACTAGGAGGAATAAACTCTACCAATAGAAAAAACATACTTGTACGCCTGAGCGGCATTTGTGGGAACGACACGCACGTTCTTGAAGCCTGCCAATTCAGCAGCATCCAGAACAGCACGCACACTTTCCTGAGGGATCTCATTCGGAACAGCGATGACAGTATTTTCGACATGCTTGGGATACTGCTCTGACACGAATCTGTAAATATAATGGAACAGCATCGAGATCGTGTGCGTCAGTGTCACCTCCTTCACATTTGAGTCGTTTGTTACATCCAACACAAGAGAGTTGTGCTCTCCCTCTCGAACCGAGAAGCAAAGGTCGGGGTAACGCTCTTTCAACTCATTGACCTTGTTTGTATTCGCCAATATCAGCGGAAAATGGGAATACACGTTTTGCGGACAAGAGGTCACTGTGGCAGCCGCTTCTTCACCATAAGAACGCGCGTTATCATATATTTTGACTACTCCAGGCGTCGTTTCATTTGACATATAGTTTCTGACAAGTTGAGCAGAAAAAGGAGCATCTGCAGAAGACACCGCGACAGCGATTTCTGATGTTCCAAAATCGATACCACACGCCAAAGTCACAGGGGGGGTCTCCTTCACAGTATTTTCGTCTGCACTCATATTTTCTTTTCTGATTTGGAACAATCGAAATTCGGAGGAATGGAAATTTGGAATTCCAGTAGTTGGGACTATTCCCGCTCTGCTAAAATGCAGAAATAACCGTTGGCTCGCAATATCTCCTATAGTTGATTTCTCTACAATCAGGCAAAATGTCGAGTGGTTACGGTTCTCACGGAACGGAAGGAAGATGCTACAAGTTTTGGATGAACTTTGAGAGTTGTATGGTAAGCCTGGTTCCCGTTTGTTGATGGGAGTAGATGGAGACGGACAATCCCTACAAGTGCGATCTCCTGAAGGAAGACTACATTGAGTGCCTCCACCACCGCAAAGAAGTTTGTTTCGGGGAAAGTGGCTGAGTTCTTGTAGAAAGATCGTTCGAATATGGTAGAAGTGGAAACACAGAGACAGGCGAAGATCCAAGCGAAAAAGGAGAAAGAAGAGTTCAAAGCTGAGGCTTCTCGAAAACACTAAAGCAATAGAACTATTTTTATGACAGTATAATTTGTACTTTGCTTTGTTCAAAAAGGATCATGGATTGAACGCTCGAATGGCTCCTCTTGTGGAAAATGGAATACAGATAGGGACCAATCGTCCAAATTCAAGGGTCTTCAGAGAGAGTGGGGTTCGTATTTTTATGTGGACTGACTGACAAACAAACAAACGATCCTGGTTTCACTAGATTTCACTTGAAGGTCTATCGGTTCGAGGGGTGTTAGGGTCGTACCAACATCCTCTCTTATTGCTTAGGCTCGTATTCCCCCATCGATTCGGATGTTGCAGCCGTTAATCATAGGGTTTTCGATAATTTGCTACACTTCATGCGGTGACTAGGGTTTACCTCGATGAGCTGTGCATATTCCTCGGGCTTTCCTAATCGTTGCGGAAAGGGAGTGAGTTTGCTCAGTATATTTACAGTGTCTTCGTAGGCTTGAATGAGGGGAATTTCGAACAGCCCCGGCTCCACACCTACACAGCGAATCCCATATCGCCCGAGGCCTCTTGCCAGGGGAAGTGTCATGCCTGCTATGGCAGCCATGGCTGTGGAATAGGCTACTTGAGCGCCTGACCCGTTGACTGCAGAAATACTATTGATAACAGGAATGTCGATCACGGAAAACCTTGATGTGTTGATAATGACGCCACGTTCCTCGCTCATCAATTTGGCATTGGAGAGCATGGATTGGGATACGAGTCGAACCATGTTGAAATATCCAATCACATTTTTGTTGAGGACATTGACAAAAAGGTCCAAAGAATGGGTTCTTTTGGATTTACTGACCATCTATCTATTACAAATCCTATTGGGCAATACTGGTTCGTCCATAATACATTGCTCACAGTTCACAAGGACATGGGGACCGGATCCATAGGTTTCCTTGATCGTATCGAGTACAAATTGAATCTACTAGTGAATTCCATCCCATACGTGTACATTTTCCGAAGACAGAGCATCTAATCCAAAGTACTTTACATTTCCCTTTGTTGCAAAGTCACTAATATAGTCATCACTCGGCATTTGCTGTAGAAAGGCAGAGTCACAGCACGCAACAATGTACCCCTTTGACAAGAGATGAGATGCGGTGGCCTTGCCAAATCCCATCGCCGCTCCAGTAACAAGAGCAATTCTCTGCATGGTATTCGTGGAATAAAATGACTTTCTTCGCGGGATTGTCAAGAACAAACAATGACAAGCACGAACTACTCAACTTTGCTCCTTCTTTTATCTCTCGCCCCTTCTTTCATTCTTCACACTCACATCCGTCGGTTGGTATTTGACGCTCTCACCACATTGTCCTTCTGCATCTGCGACCCAAAGACCGAAATAACCTTCTGCGCCTCGCTGAACTCTCCGTTTCCGCTTCCGCTTCCTTTTCCGTTTCCGTTAGCTCCGTCGCTCACTCGACTCGTCTTCTCCTTCTCGCTCACCGCTCCCTTCATTGTTCGTTTTCCCTTCCCATAAAACACCCTTCCTCATCACCAACCATCGTCAAGTCGTTTTTCCTTGTCTGCGTCTCTGTGTCCAGCACAATGCGTCCGCCACGATCCGGCATCGCGCCAATGTGCTTACTCCGGAAACTCGCCTTAAAATATCGCGTTCCTGAACTCACTTTAAAGACGCGGCTTAGCAACTAGCGATTTTACAGTAATATAAACAGATGGATACGCTCCGTCGAGACTGGAAAACGTCCTCCACTCCGAAATGGTGAGTGATATCGATTTCGTTTCGAAGCGACTCGATCAGAGAAGTATCCAGCTCGAAAGCTTGGTTCCAGAGAAGGCTTTGAATGGTGACGTCCAATCGCTGGAGAGGGAGAAATGAGTCAAATAATGTACTTGGATCATCATAATCTTTTTATCGTGATACAGAGAATTACAGAATTCTCCATACTTCGCAAGCTTTTGAACTTGTTCCGGGGAATACGCGGAACGATCCAGCAGATAGGGGTTTCTCTGCTCCACGTATTGATACACCGATTGCAGATTTGACTCAAGAGAGGAAGAGGGGTTGTAGGAACCTGCTTCATTGCAGAGCGTTTCCACCTTCTCGTTGAGCACACTGATGTTTTTGTTAGGGGAGATGAGGCTGTGCTTTGCATGGCATCTTCGATAGTAGAGCACACGATTCATCTGCGAAAAGAGTCCAATCTCATCGATACCTGCAACTCATCGATCAAAAAGTTTATTGCTAGCAGCCAGTTTTTAGTGTCATCTTTTCCAGTGAACAAATAACTACATCTTCAAACAACATGAACGAATACCCTCTCTGGAATGCAAATACGAGAAAGTCATCCAGACCATAACGAATGCTCATCGCCTTTCCTTCAGAGAGAGTGATTTCCATGGATTGAATCTACAAACAAAGCAGTAAAGCATTTCTACGTCAGTCATTAATTGAATTACCAACGGTCCAACGACAGGATCATCCTTCAAGGGGAAAACGGGAAGAACGGCGTCTGAGAGATTATCAATGGGATAATCGAGATCATCTAATTTGTTTATGCAGTCTTCCCAAATATAATTGTACTCCATCAGCAAAAAAGTGAATGATAACAAACATCAAAATAGAATGGATACATTGTGGGATGCAAAATGATGAGTTGATTTTCCGCTAAATCGAAGTCAATTCTCTATAACAAGATTCCGAAGGAAAAAGGCGATTTATCTGCAATTCCAATTTTCGAAGCTACTTTGCGAATTATCCCAAATCTAAACTCAAGTGAATAGTCAAAATGTCGGCACCTGACCGTTTGTACATGGTTCGAAGTCAGTTCTATATTGGGAACTATGAGGTGGGGAGTTGTGTAAGAAACTTACGAGTTAGACGTGCATCCAGGAGGCAAATCGTCTGAATTTTAATGAAGAAGGACTTGACCTGGAAAAAAAGTACTTCGTACTCCGTTCCTTGATTTGTCTTGGAAAGACGCAGGAGGTTCTGGACGAAATTAGCAGAAGCTCCACGAAGACTGCAGAGCTTTCTGCGATCCAGATCTTGGCTCAGTTCTTCGCTTCTCCTGAAAACCGTTCATCTGCAGTGCAGGCGATTTCTCAACTTCTCAACGAGGAGCTGTGCAATACGCCTCTCGTCCGTATCATTGCGTGCACCATCTACAACAACGTGAATGATTACGAGCATGCCTATCTGGTCGTAAAGAATGCGGACAACATCGAGGAGCTCTCCGTGCTGGTGTACACGTTGGTGCGTATGAACCGCGTGGACAAGGCAGCTGCCGTGTACAATCAGATGTGCAAGATCGATGAGGATCACGTTCTGACGCAGCTCGCGAAAACCTGGATGAACAGCAACGGAGTAGGGGCGAAGCGAGCGGCTTACACGTAGGACGAGGAGAAAATGAAGGAAAGCACGTACATCTATCGCGAGATCATGGACAAGCTGAACGAAAGTCCGATGCTGGTTAGCAATTACCTGATGAGCATGTTCCGAAGCCAGAGCGGCAGTGCATTGGATCTGGAGAAGGCGAACAAATGCTATGAAGGCTTGTTGGAGGAGTATAACAAGGTATGAGTCATGGTGGAGGTTTAGGGTAGGGCGGACGAAACGATTTTATTTTACGCAATTTGGTGGTGATCGCAAGCATTTTACACAAGAGCGATGAAGAGGTGGACAAATATCTTGGCGAGCTGGAAGCTCTGAACCCCGAAGACTCGATGGTGACGACTGCCAAGAATCTTGTGAGCCGTGTGCAGCAGTTAGAGAAGGAGTATTTGTAAGATTATGGTTTGAGACGTTTGTTTAAAACCGCGGGGAAACCACACTCAATGAAACGTTCATAATTGCGTACCGCACGAATGTATCTGTAACGCAGAACCCAATCCGCTCATTTTGTAGGATACTCCTGATAGTCTCGATTTTGTACGGTATCCTGCTATTTGTAGCAAGCGAATTCCAGAGAACACTTTTCTCCGCTTTTACAACTATAGCACTGTGTTCCCTGTTAGAGTCTCTATTTAGAAAGTTGAAAAGGTTCAACTATGGTGCTGCCATTATCGCCATTATTGGAACTCTGGCTAAAATTGTCTGGACTATCTTGTTGAACTCCATCGAAGAACTGGTAGGTGAAAGGGCTGGAGTTTGACAGGTAGAGAAACATTAATCTTGGTATTTCCCCGGTTGCTGAGGGTGAGTCATACGTTCCTAGCCTGATTATGGATATTGTGGTCCTTGTTGTGTCAATTGTTCTGATCATTGTGGCGGCAGCTACGAAATACTTAGTGGGCTCTCCCTTCTCCGCTTTAGCTGTAGACCGATGAAACGGAGTCATCTCCTCTTCGCTGCCACATTGTGCTTACCCTTGTATTCTCAGTGCTGGCGTGCCTTGTGGATATAAACCTGTACCACATCGCCCTGGTGCTTGGCTTCACCTTTCTCTTTAGTAAATGGACCCTTACCAATTCGGCTACGAACTGCTACCTCTCCATGCTAGGAAGAGACGTGTACTCCATGTTCTATTATCTGGACTTTCTCATTTGGGAAACCTCTCCCTTCTGGTCCGGCTACGTTCCCTTCTTGAACTACGTCCGTCCTGCCAACCCCTCCACGCATCTCCTCTCCAAAATCCTGCTTCTCATCGCCTTCTCGCTTCTCCAGATGATTCCGGAGGGCCCTGCTCCCGAGAAGCCTCTCTCCGCCGAGGTGAAAGCGCGTTGGCGGACGAACTTGGAGGGGAATCTGCGTCTGATCCGCATTTTGTATCGCTTCATCGATGGGACTGAGGGATAGCCTTTACCACTACGTGAACTCTCCGGTCGGCATTTTCGTGCAGAACGCGCTGATCATCTTCTGGATTTTCCTGTATCCCAGTGTGGTGACGATTCTGCTTCTGGCGTGCTCGACGCTCAACATGCTCTTCGTGAAGGCTCACCAAATCGAGAACGAGGTGCTCATCTCGCCTCGCCAAGGGACGCAGAAGCTGCTCAACGTGTATCCGTGAGTGAGAGGAGTCAAGCAAAGCTATGTGCAGCTGATCGGTCTCTATTACTACGCCGCGTCGTCGGGTCTCTCGTCGTATCTTAAGCAAAATCCCACACTTTACTATCTTCTTCTGGGAGGACTTACCGATTTCGAAGGCGTGAATTGGTTCATCTGGGTGTTTATCTTTTACATGGGGTGGTGCGGAATCGTATTTCGCTTTGGGGGAGCGTGATGGGTAGATGAGTCGCGATTTGGATGCGAAGAAGGTCTGTTATCCCGCCTATTTGAAGGTGCGGTCTCCTGCCAAAGCGTATCGCTATACGCGTGTCGTTGTGCTGATCGCCTGCGTCCTGACCTGCATTATCTCTCCCGATTTAACGCTGGGAATCCTCCTCATCGTCTTCTTCTTCGCCAATTACTGCAATCTCTGGATGATCCAGGTGATCTACTCGGCGATTGTCAGTGCGCTGAAGATCGTCTTTAGTCTTTGCTTCACTGTTGCGTTGCGATGGAGCTCTCAGGACGTAGACGGACACTGACTACTCTTGGTTCCCTCTGTTCGGATTGAAGGGAGGCCGCGACCCTTCGATGATCCAGCCCGTCAATGTGGCCAACTTCTACTCGCTGGTGAATGGAATCATCATGGCGCTCGCGGGCTTCAACTATCTGGCGATTTGCTACGAGAAGCATATCAACGCCGTGTAGGTGGCCTCCAACTAGCCTCATTCTCTAGGGCTCCGCAAAAGAAGGAGCATTCGCACCAGCGTTTTTATGTAGTGTGAATGGGGAGAGAGTGACGCGTAGAAGAATTCCGTGTGGATCCTGTATTTCCTCTACTTCCTGACGATTGTGGCGGCCATTCCGTCGTACATGACCGCCATTTCCCTGTTCCTCCTGTGTCTGATCGTGGTGGTGCACATCGGACAGAAGGAAAGCTTCGCTCTTTGGTGGGTGGTGATCATCGTGGAAGCCATTCTCTTCGTGTATAGCTATCTGAACATGTTCGAGTCGATCGCTCCATGGCTGCATTGGGGTATTTTGAATAACGTGACGGACCTGGAGTTGGGTCTGTTCTACTCGAAGGATATCGTGCAGTCGGTCTCGAAGGGCGAAGTGTTTTTCTACTTGCTCCATTTCTTCGTTCGCATCTTTATCGCAGTCAGTCGAATCACCTATCTACAGAAGCATCGACGGGCCGAAGAACAAGAGAAGGAGGAGAAGAAGGAAGAAGAAGAGAAACTGAGCGACTATTATCGTTTTTCGACCGTTCTGAAGTTGTTCCTTTACAACCACTTCCCGAAAGTGCTGCTTGGATTCGTCGTGCTGATCAGCTACGTGGAGGAGGACTCGATGTCCTACATCCTCTTCACCATCTTCCTGCTGAGCTTGTTTTGCTGCATCAAGAGAACGCCGCGATGGTCCGGCATCTACATGTATTACACAGTTCCCGCGGCCGTTTTCGTGGTGTGTCGTTATTGTGCTCAGTTCTCTTGGAACGATTTCTCGAAGGACAACGAGGAGCAGTATTACTCATGGCTCTACTTCACGTACCCTATTGCGAGTCTTTTCTTTACCTTCTAGGATTGCTGGAATGATCAAGTACGTCCCCACGGACAGCTACCCGGAGGAGTATCTCAGCATCAACAACCCCGAATTCTGGCGGTACGCCAAGGGCGTGTTCCGCGCCATCGTGTACTACTTCTTGGTGATTGTGATCGGCGCGTGCTCGCGCATGGTCAGCAAGATGGGCACGCGCCTGGTGAAGAAGCTGGAGATTCTCGAGAGCAAGCAGGAGGAGGACAGGCGCGAGTGCAAGCTGCTGGTGGAGGATCGGTTTGGCGAGGTGTATCGCCTCTCCACGGTGCTGATGCGCGGAATGTACCTGCGACTCAAGGACGAGGCGAACGAGTCGCTCGACGAATACACGCAGGAGCAGCAGCGATTGCTCGACGAGGAGCTGGAGATCCGGCAGGCGATCGTGTCCGGCGCGATCGATAGCGATGAGGAGTTGACTCCCGAGGAGGAAGAGGGGTTGAAGAAGATGGAGACGACGACAACTCGACGCGCGGCCACGGCGACCAAACAGCCGTTCGTGTTCCGCATTTTCAAGTCCTACGTGGAGAGTCACAAGATTCCGACGCCGCATATTTTGTGGCTGCGAATCAAGAAGAATCTGCTGCTGCTGCACGCCCAGCTGATCCAGTTCATCGATGCGCATCTCCTGGATATTATTCGATTGATCAATATCGGAATGATGACAATCGCTTGTAGGAGGAGTGAAGGGATGGAGCTGAGGACTAGGCGGAACGGATAGTTTCGATAGCTTGCTGAATATCTTCTTGATCTTCCCGATGACCTGCAATCTCAAGTCCTACCACGCCGCTCCGGTGGTCGCTGGCATCCTCGCCGTGCTTCTCTTCTTCGAGTACGCGCTGTATCTCTTCCCGGACAACATCAAACTCGCCGAGCTGCTGCACATGGACAATTTTGAGAGTCAGGCTCGCAACTATCTGATGATTGCCAATATCTCCTCTGTCTATATGATTCCCAACACGGTCACCATGGTCTGCTGCGTCGTTCAGTATCAGCTCAGCAAGGAAACCAAGCCTGAAACGCCGCGAGAAATCGATGAGGCGGCTCCTGCGGATGCTACCCCAGCTCTCCCAGCTGCGGATGCTTCGAGTCCTTCGAGTCCTTCCAGCTCTTCCAGCTCTTCGAGGGCGTCGAGTCCGAGACAGGGCCCGAAGGAAGTGGAAATGGGAGCACTCTCCAGAGCGCCAAGACTTCGCTTACCGCTGGCAGAGAGCCCGGAGGAAGAGAAGGCGGGCGACGGCAAGCGCCGAACAGCGCTGGAGATTCTGCTGGAGTGGATGACGATCGAGCTGCACGACATCATGCTGATCGTGATCTTCCTCGCCTCCGTGATGAACACCAACCTCTTCAGTCTCGTGTATCTCACGTTCTCGCTGTGGTTCCTCTTCAAACCCTCGGTGATCAAGCAGCGGAACAACAAGGCGGCCAAGTTCATCAAGTGGTACGCGTTCATTCATCTGGCCATCATCGTCATCTATCAAATCCCCTGGTTCCCCGAGCCCTCTGCTTGCGAACTCTCCCTCGACTGTCCCAACTGGCACCGATTGCTCGGTCTCAACAAGATGGTGTATCAGCACTACGACGGCAACCCGCGCTGCTCGCCCGATCCGACGCTCACTGGATCGGAGTCGCTCTGTCCGCACCCGTATCAGTTCGATGAAGGTATTCTCAGCATTGTGATCATCAACATCATCGTGAACATCGGCGTATTCTCAACGGCTTCATCCCTTATCTCTAGTATCTCGTGCAGTCGTCGTCGTATTATGACATGGTTTCGCGACGCGATAACAAAAAGGCGCTGCAGTCCGTTCTGAATCGAAACAATCTCATCAACACCTGGAAGCAGCGTCTGGACCGTCGTCAGCGCGAGGTGAAAACGATCACGTCGCTCCTCTACAACCAGCTCTGCATCATCCTCAACAAGGTTCTCTTCGTGGACAAGCAGCTCTACGCCGCGAGTAGGTTTCAGAAGCCAGTCAGCATCACCGCATAGAGGACAAGAAATTCTCTCTGCCTCCCACCATCCTGGGAGTGGATGTCACCTCGCCGTACTCTGCAGCGCTGTCCTTCCGAATCCACGAGAAGACGTGGCCTCTCGAGGAGACGATCAAGGGATTCGTTGTGGGCGTGATCGAAGAGCGAACGGACGACGTGCCCGATATGAATCACATCGAGTTGGAGGTGTTCTTCCCCAACGAAGACATCATCCACGACCACGAAGTCACGGTCAATGTGACGCAGCTGAAGCCCTGCACGTCCTACAAGTTCACGCTCTGCTGTCTGTTCTCGCAAGGCCGAACCACGTCGACCACCACGGAAGGGAGCTACACGACGCCTCCCACGAAGGCCGTGGACACGTACTTGTGGTCGGTGATCCGCGCGAAGATCGATCACTTCGAGTATAACAACATGCAGGAGTTGTCGCGCATGGAAGGATTCAATCGGGAGCAGCGGCAGATCGGTCTGGACGAGCTGACGGAGCTCACGTCGAGAAAGGGCGCGGGAGACGAAGGCCTTCCTCAGCCTCCGCGCCGAATTCATTACGAGCCTGTGACGAACTCGCAGATGAAGGAATTGGACACGTTCGATATGATCATCAACACGCAGACGCGCGAAATGCGACTTCGGAAGAAGGAGAAGGACGAGGCTCGTTATGATTTGTGCCGTGTCGTGAATGCTCGGTATTTCCCGAATGAGGAAGACGCCGATCGCGACTATCTTCGACTGATTGTAGGATCGAGGGGAGAATGGTGAGCGGTAGGTGCAATGGGATACGCTGAAGCTGGACTATGTGTATATTTTCCGAGCGGAGGAGCGAGAGAAGAGCTTCAACGTGCATCAGCTGATCGAGTGGTTCAATTTGGTGCTGCCGCATCGCGTGCTTATGAATACGCAGGAGGTGCAGGAGCGCTTCGATGAGTTGGACAAGCACGCTACGATGCGCGTGTTGAAGATGTTTAAGAGCCCGGAATCGAAGTTCCCGAAGAAGTGGAAGACGTACCGAAACCTGGAGAAAGTGTTCACGGTGCTGCTTCTGCTCTACCTGATTCTCCGAGACGATGTAGTCAGCATCTGCATCACGTTGTTCTATCTCTGCTACGCGGCTCTCTTCTGCATCCACGTTCCGTATTCCTTCTATAACATCGTTTCCTGGATCCTGTACTGCGTTCGTTGCACCATTCGATGAATAGAACGGCCGTCATTATCATTCGCTTCATTCTCCAAACCTCCCTCTTCTCGCAATACCTCGTCGACGGCTCGTGGAGACTCAGCGGCATGGTTCCTTTTATCCCCTTCTTTACTCATTGCTAGACAAACGGCCAGTCGCCGTACGACAGCTTCAACCCCACGCCCTTCCAGATTCTCCACATTCTTGGCTTCTACAAGACGGGCAAGGAGTACAGCCCGCCCGCGATGTCCTCGCTGATCTGGGACCTGCTCTTCCTGCTGCTGTTCAATCTCTGCAAGAGCTACCAGCGCTCGTTCTGTCTGCAGTTGAAGTCTGCCGACGATGAGCTGCTGGAAGAAGCGATGAACCACTCGATGGAGCAGAAAGCCGAGAAGCAGAGGACTGTGGTCGTGGACTCTACGATGCCCGTCCAAGAGTTGGCTCTTGGTTTAGTTGGCTCCTAATGCGTAGTTTGATTCATAAAGAAACCGATCCACATGTGTTGCGATTCCGTCGATATCCTCCTTGGTTGAAACGCCTTCTCTTGAAGATCTTCCCGGATATGTACAACTACGCGGATCCCGAGGCAGCGACGCATCCGTTCAAGTTCGGTCGCGATTACTACACGTCGATCCTCCTCACGCAGATGGTCCTCGCGCTCTACGTGTTCTTCTTCTACAGCAGCATGACCGAAACGAACGTGCTCTTCTCCTTGAGCGGCCTGATGGATAGTACGCGTTCGCGAACTCCGTGTCTTCGGGCACGATCCAAACCGGAACGGTGATCTGGATCTGCTTAATCGTGGTCGTGATCGTGCTGGAGCGAATCATGAACGTGAAGCGCATGCTGTTCGTGAAGTGCTGCACGCACATCGTGTTCACGATCGCCATCCACATCTACTGCTTCATCTACGTGCCCGTGCACACGCAGACGCACTTCCTCCACAACGCCTATCTCGTCTTCTTCTATCTGATCTGTCTGGTGTATCTCATCTTCTCGGTGCTGCAGATTCGTCAAGGGTAGTCGCGTTTTGGCTTTGTGATCGTAGCTACCCCACGAAGGATCAATACATCCAGAAAGTGGTCAAGATGGACTACTCAATGAAGCCGTATATGATTAACATGGTGTATCGTATGATCCCCTTCCTCTACGAACTCAACTGCTTGATTGACTGGGCCGTCACCGAAACGTCCTGCGATATCTGGAACTACATGCGCGTCGAAGAGATCCGAAACACCATGTTCATCGGAAAATACAAGGTCGGATCGATTCCTTATCTTCATTTCTAGTCGCTTTCGACGCAGAAGGATTCGTTGAAAAACAAGGGAGAAGCGCGAGGCCGCACGGAGAAGATCATCTGGGGCTTCAGCATGATTTTCCTGATCGTGCTGCTGCTCCTGCTTCCGCTGATGCTTTTCTCGTCCGACTCCTCCGCACTGGTCTCGAACCCCGTGAAGTTCGCCTCGATGGACGTGAATCTGGCGGTCATGGGCGAGCCGCTCAGTCTCTATTCCTTCTCGCGCAGCGCGGACATCGTCGACGCGAACCGAACGGAGTACTACCGCTGGCAAAACATGTTCAAAGGTTCGATCGCTGCGCGTGGATTCATTTGTAGTCGACGGCAAGACGGTTCTGCTGCCCAAATGGACCACCGAATCGCAGATCATCAACATCCCCTCCGTGGTATTTCGATTCTTTCGCTCTCTAAACCGCAGTCGAACCATCCGTGGGCCGTTCTCGAGGAGTACACCAATCGCGTCATCGACATCGTCCGCAAGGATTGCTCCAGCGTGCAGCTCGATCTCCAAGTCATGTTCGACCGCGATCTTCCCAGCGTACTCCCTCGTTCTCTCTCTCTCATCGCGCAGGAAGCGCAGACCGTGACGCAGAAGATCACCAAGACGCTGAACCAGACGCAATGCGACACGCTGATCCGAATGCTGGACCTCTCTTCCATCGTGGACCCCTCCAAAGAGCCGCTTTCGATCGTCTTCGAGCATCTGTACCGCCCATTCCTCTCCCTTTTTGAACCCCAGCTATCCTCGCATCTACTTCCTCAACAGCGCCAATGAGCCGGTGAGCTACGACACCGACGAGTCCCAGTTCAACAGCCTGGAGATCGAGCTGAAGGCGAGCCAGAGCCCGCTGTTCGGCTATCAGTACCACTGGGAGGTCCGCAGCGACACGCCGGACACGTCTTCCTTCCAAAACGGCGTGCTTTTCTGGGTCATCAACGAGACCCAGCTGTCTCGTATCTGCTTCCGAGAGAGGCTGAACGGTAGAACTGCTGGCGTCGAGCATCTCCTCGCTCGGCTCTGCGTCGATCACCGGCCTGTACGTCATCGTGTTGATCACAGTGGGCACTTATTTCCGTGGGTTCCTCGTTCCTGACGTGGCGACGATCGCGTATGTGACCATGCCCGATCCGCTGCCCGTGCTGGAGCTGATCTGCGGTCTGTACATCACTCGAATCGATCAGTATAAGTAGTGGAGTGGAGGAGGCGAGGTGAGGCGTAGGGGGCATTTGAAGGACGAGAACAAGATTTGTGATATGATCATTACGATCATCCGCAATAACGCGATGTTGGTGCGGCTCACAGAGGTGCAGCCGCTGTATGGAGTGCTGCAGATGAAGGACGAGCTGGATACGACGAATGATGTGTGGTCGAGCGAGTCGGGAAATGACACCTCGGTGCTGCCTCTGATTTCTTCGGTGCTTCAGAATATGCGAACTATTTAAGATTTATAAATGGAGAATGTGTTTTGAATGGTTTGCTTTTGTTTGAAACATTTTTGTGCACTTTTTTTCTGTGGTGAGGACCGAATTGTTTTGAAATGTCCGATTATCGCATCATTATTACCAGTAAGGCACATGAGGGGGAGCGGTGATGTGAAGACCTTCCTTTTTCTTTTGATGAGGATGCTCTGTATAACCAGTTTTCTTCCTGTGGAGAAATTACAGATACGAAGGTTTTCGTTCGATTTCGTTGGTTACCTTGCAGATTGTTTATGATCGTAATACTGGCAGACCACGAGGCTTTGGTTTCGTTTCCTTCTCAACAGAGGACGGTTTGAACAAGGCAATGGAGCAGAACGGATCTGTATGAATTGGATGTTGTTTGTTTTGTAGCTTATTAATGGTCGCGAGATTCGTGTGGAGGTAGCGAAAGGTTCTTTGGGTAAGAATTCCGAAAATGTTCGTCAGAACCGCAATTACAATGATGAGAACAAGGTGTTTGTGTCCTGTAGTTTCTGTGCGTTTTTCTTATGTCTAGCTCTTTCCTGGAACACGACGGATGAGATGCTCCGCGACGCCTTTTCTCAGTGTGGCAAAATCGAGCATTACAAGGTAATGGCGTGGTTTTTGCTTAATTTTCAGATTCTGACCGATCGCCAGACGGGCCGAAGCCGTGGAATGGGCATCGTGAAGTTTAGCACAAGAGAGGAGATGAACAATGCGATCTCGACGATGAACGGTTCCGTAAGAAATGGCGAGGAAATCGAGAGTGTAGACGTTGGATGGACGGCAGATAGCGGTACGCGAGTTCCTGGGCGAACGAGGATCCACAGGAGCGCCGTCGAATCCGAAGGAAAGCGAAGAGAAGAAAGAAGCGAAGCCGAATCACAGCATTGTGTTTGATGAAGAAGAGAAAGAAGAAAAGAAGGAAGAGAAAGAAGAGGAAGAGGAAGAGGAAGAGAAGGAGGAAGAGGAAGAAGAGAAGAAGAAGGACAAAAAGGACAAAAAAGAAAAGAAAGATAAGAAGGAGAAGAAGGAGAAGAAAGAAAAGAAGGATAAAAAGGATAAAAAGGATAAAAAGGATAAAAAGGACAAAAAGGAAAAGAAAGACAAAAAGGAGAAGAAGGACAAAAAGGAGAAGAAGGACAAAAAGGAAAAGAAAGACAAGAAAGACTAATTCGAATCCCCATCATTTCCCTTTTTTGTTTCATTCATTCACTGTTCTCTCTTTGCTTTCTAACAAACATTTCCATTCAATCACTCCTTCGCTTCCGTCTCCGCCTCCGACGACAATCCTTCCACCAGCGACAATCCAAAGATCGACATGATATTGAGATTCTCTCGCAGGAACTGTCCTTTCGACAGGAAAACTACCTCACAATCCGCATTCAACCCAACCTTCCCGACTGATTCCGCGCATCATATCGATGTGCAGCTGCTCGAACACCTACAACATTCAACCTCGAATTCATTCCCACATTGCGCGTATGCTGAATGGTCAGCTCTTCGAGCATCTCCGGCTCCACAGAAGGATCCATTTTCAGGACGAAATAGATGCATTTCTGGACCTCTTCGGTCGATAGCACGCCTAATTGACAGGAAACAGAAAGAATACCGTCGTTATTGAGATCGCAGCTATCGAAAATGTACATCAGGTGATTCTTTTCGGTGCTCTACAACAAAGAAGAAAAGAAAAGCGACGCGAAGAGCGTAAGCGAAAGTGTGGACAAAGTCACGAATACTGACATATCCATCCTGATCGTAATCCCACACGCGGAACATGTTATTCACAATCTAAGTGACAATAAGAAGAGGATGTCAAACAGCATCGTCAGTAATGTCCAACTGCTTGAATACATCCTTAAAATCTTCAAGAGTTAGAGCTTTCATTCTACATATACAAAGTTTAATACAAAAAATACGACAATCCTTTCGTTTTCACAACTCGAGCACGTTGATAGAAAACATAGAATCTAGATCAATATCTATTCAAAATACTACACAGAGCGGATCTCATTAAACTTGAAGTTATTATACAAAGGATCTTCCGAAATCAGCGTTTGAATGGTTATCTGATCATCCACCAGATCATCCGACTCTTCTAATGCATCAGGCTTCTTCGTTTCGTTATTCGACTGTTCCTAGGCGAATTACAAAACTATGGAAATATAGATACGCTATTCTCTTCCTCCATACTCTTTATTTCTTCCTTATCACTCTCATCAATAATCCATTTATAAAAGCGATAGAGACTATCTAGATTGTCAAAACCAACTCATACAATAAAAACAGCCTAAAACAATGGTAGATACAATAGGTAAGAACTTCGATTTCATAAAATAGGCAGCGCACAAAAAATGAATGGAGAAAAAGGGTAAACTAAAAAGGACATTCAAGGATTAATAGTCTATTCCTGAGATAATGTGAGTAAGGGAATATAGAGCGCAGAGAAAGCGAAAACTGGTCATAATTTTGCAAGGGGATTATTTAACAGAATTATTGTATAGTATTGGATTTAATATTATGAATAAAGACTTTGCTTGTGGATTAGACTCCAAAGAATGGAACGCTATATATTTGTTGAATATGGAACAAAAATGTGAATTGAAAAAGCAATTCAATATCGAATATCGGAATCACTTGATTACTCCACAATAAATGATACAAAGAATAACTGTTACTTTGTGACAAGATTGACAAATTCAGCAGAAACGTCTACTATTAATAGAAAAAGAGTAGCACTACTAGTAATCACTTTGGACTGGACTCTATCAAAAGAATTGGTGAGATTCAGGTTTGTGAGATTAGCGATGTCTATGAAGCTCAATATGCAATAAATTCAACTACTTTCTAGTGTGACCGAGCGAGGATAAAAGAAACAATATCCATCAGAATTGATCAGGGATGTTAGTTTGGGAAGATCTACATTCGTATTGACGATATACTTGTTTTTACTTCGCATTATCAAAGAGCATGATAAATCAAATCGACTTCCAGAAAGTGTACTTCGACCAAGTTGAATGGATTGTAATGATGGAAGATCTATTTTACATACTTCACTCAAACTCATTCAATACTCTCCATTATTGTTGATAGAGAATAGCAGAAAGAGTATCTTCCTAAGGTAATGAACTGAAGACTTGGAAGATCTGCATAATGATGCCAAATAACACAAATACTATGGATTTCAAATGACGCATCTCGAAAATTAAAAGAATCATTATGAACATCACCAATTTGAATGGATTGTAATTGTGGTAGATTCTTCAATTCAAAGGCTCCAGCAAAATCACTGAAACTATATCTGTCTATTTCAATGGATTCCAATGATTCACAATTCAATATGTGGAATGATTTCGATTCATCTCCAGTATAATAATACTTTTGAGTAAATGAGTCGAATCCGATTTTCAAAGTTTTCAATCGATTCAATCCATCGATTTGGAATGTTTTCACTGATCTAAAACTATCATTGCCGATTTCGATTGATTCCAAATTATACAACAGTGAAACATCCCAATCAACCAATACACAATTGTCACTCAGTTTCAAATGTTTCATTCCGATATTCATTGGTTTGCTTCCATCTCCTTCATAAATATCACATTCAATTCCATAATACCATTCGCATTCTTTTACAAACTCACCTTTACGACCATACACTTTTCCAATTCCAAATCGATTATCATCACACCAATATCCTTCATATTCTATCAAACCATTATCATGATAACTCGTTCCATATCCAAATCGTTTCCAATTGATCATTATGCCCTTGTACACCAAGAATCCATCATCGTCATACATTTCACCATATCCAAATGGAATTCCAATTTTACCTTCTTTTTCTTTTTCTGTCAATATCAATCCTTCAAATCGACTTCCATGATCCAAATCCACTATTCCTTCTTCTACTACTGTGGATTGTTCTTCATTATACGAAATAGCACCAATTTGATGATTTCCAATCACTTTCAACACTTTCTGCTCATTCACCAGAAATCCTTGATTCATGAATACTCCATTATTGAATTGCAGTACTACACACTGTCTATTACTCAAAATGAGTGAAATCCAGCCATTTGGTTTCCATTCTTTACCCAAGCATCCCTGTACATTTTGAATAATGGAACTATCAATTTGATAGTTGTTAATAGCAGAATTAACAAAATCTACAGAATTTTGCATCAAAATAAGAAAGAATAGTAATGCCCTCTGAGAGCATTGTATCCCTACATTATCGTCTTTATTTTACAATGATAGGATTAGTACATAACGGCTGTGATATAATCCTAAATAGATGTCCATAAACATACTTTCATTTCGCTCCTAGGGTATTTCCCTTTTTATATCTATTTCTTGCTTTTTCTAAGAATATCTTTGTTATAATCGTATTTAAAAAGAGCAAATCTATTTTAGTCTCAATACAAGTAATACTCTCTCTGTTGTATGTGGTTCTATTTATAGGATATAATCTAGCATTTAATTTAGACTTATTATAAAAATGACATAATTAACTACTGCAAATTGTACCAAATGTACATGGCACATGCACTTTTATACAATATTTTTAATATATATATACGATTTAGAATGTAAATTTATCTCAAAATAGGGTTCTGAGTCAGTTTGACTAAAAATGTTGTAGCATGTAAATTATCAAGCAATTTGAATTTAAATCTATAAGTCACACACAATCAAAAATGTAATGGCAAATACTATAATAGAAAAGTGTGATTTTGCGACATCACACAAGCAAACCGACTCAAGTCCCAATAATTCCGCAGAGCTGATACTGAAATACAAAGGAAGTTTGTGATATTCCAAAAATCATGTGTCAAACAAAACTTTACTAAGACTAACATACTAACCATTATTTTTTTATTATGGTCAACAATTTTGATTGTATTCATATAGATAAGCCATATTATATAGATTCGTCAAAACAACCCAGAGAATCAAGGTATTTACTCAACGACTACATTACCTCTCAAAAGAAGAAGATTTCTATTAATGGAGTCGATTATGAAGTCACTCTATATCAAGGAGATCATTCCAATGAATATTTGTTGAGTGAAATGAAAAATGGGAAAGTTGAAGGTCGTTGCCAATTATTCAATCGTGGAATCTTGATTCTTGCATGGATGATGAAAAATGGTAAACGAATCGGTAGAGTAACAGAATATAAGAATGGTAAAGCATTACAAAAAGAAAACTGGGATTCAATCGTTGGAAATGATGGAGATTGCAGAATAATCGAAAATAGTAAAGAAGGATTGATCATGACAATTCGAAGTAAGCGTAAAGGTGAAAATGATGATAATGATATGGTGATATATCGAGGTGGATTTGATGAAGAAATGAATCGAGATGGTTATGGAATCGAATATGATATGGAAAATGATGGTAAAGAGAAGATTGAAGGATATTGGTCAAAAGACAAATTGATTCGAATGATTCGTGAATTCGATGCTGAAAATAACCAAATGATCGAATATGCTGAAAACAAAAGTGAGAATGGAAATGATGAAATATTGAATCGAATTCCAATCTATATAGGAGGATATAGTATCGAAAATGGTAAATATGTACGAAATGGATTGGGATATTTGATTGATGAAGCCAGTGGAACAGCAATTCGTGAAAGTGAATGGGAACATGGTATAGAGAAGAAAGGTGGAATTGACTTGTATGAAGGTTGGTATGTGGAAGGAATGAGTGAAAGTATTCGAAGTGTATTAAAGAATGAAAAACCATGTGAAATGAAAACTGAACCAATTGTAAGTGTTCATTCCAAACGAATCGAAATCCACAATAGTTCTGAATTGAATGAAATGGATTTGAAAGTGACGGAATTGGTGATATGTTCGAATTGCTGTAACGATTTGAATGCATTGGATCTGAATCGATTCGAATGGTTGGAATCAATCGAAATTGGGGATGAATGTTTTGGATCAGTACAAACATTCAAAATCGATGGATTGAATCGATTGAAAACTATCAAAATCGGTAACAATTCATTTACTCAGAAAAAGAATGATTGGGCAAATGATGAATCGAAATCATTCCACATATTGAATTGTGAATCATTAGAATCAATTCAAATTGGTGAATGGAGTTTCAGTGATTTTGGAGGAAACTTTGAATTGAAGAATCTACCACAATTAAAATCCATCCAGATTGGTAAGGAATGTGGTGATTCATACAATTTCTATTGTAGTTCATTTGTGCTTCGAGGTATTGAACTGATATTGAATATTTGAATGCATAGATCTTCCAAATCTACAATCCATTACATTAGGTAATTATGCATTTTGTTTTTCTGAATCAACAAGAATTGAAAGTATTGAATGAATTTGAATGAATGATTGATGTAGATCTTCCATCATTACAATCCATTCAACTCGGTGATGAAGCACTTAAAGGAAGAAGTGTTGATGTTAGTTCATTGACACTTCGAAGTAATAATGAATTGATTGGTTATGATTTGCTTTGTAGATCTTCCAAATCTTAGATCACTTACTTCTAAATGGGCTAGTTTCCGTTATCCTCGTATAGTGACATTGGCATGTATTTCTGAATATTGAATATTGATAGTATTTAGTTATTCCAATTCTTCAAAATGTCAAACTACCTATTTCATTCGAGAAAGTTCTATCGAAATCAATTTCATGTATTGTGTTGATTACTTTGATATCATACCTAGTTGTTTCTAGTAATCTAGCTGATCTTGTCCACTAAATGCATATTGATATAAGCTCCAAGATCGATATGGAATGGTAGAAACCAAATAATGCGTGCAAATCTGTTGATTGTTTGTTTGTATACTCTTGTTTACTTAATTAAGCGGTGACAAAACATGAAATAGCAAATAAATATCTGATCGAATCAATCGATATTCAATGACATTATTGGGCAATGGTATTCAATATATAAACACTAATTGAATTATTAGACAATTGTTGCAAATACCCTGTATTGATCATATTAATACATAGTTTTCTTTCTATTCACACTATTATCATCTATTGAATCAAATGAATTGAAACTATTCCTGATATTAAAAACCAATGATGGCAAGTTGTCCCATTATTCATATACTTCAGTGATGTTTATAATTTCGTTTGTCATTACAATTAATCCAATATCCAATTCCTTATTCACTAAATCACGATAGTCCTGTATTTATCGTTTACATAATCACATTAATTGTATATAGCCTGCATACAGATGATAATTGATTATTAGCATTCAATATATAAGTACCCTTGAATGATATGGTTGTTCAATCCTTTCTAAGTTTCGTATACTACTAAGATACAATTTTCTGGTCACCTATTGTTTTTTCACCTATAATGGATAATATGGCATACAGTTTTCTGTCATTGTTTTGCTATCTATGCAATTGTTATTGTCTCGTGATTTCAAATAGCCTAAATTTGATTGTATAGCTCCGTTTTAAGTACTTTAGTAATAATACTCAGAATATAACCTTTAAATTAGTCGAAATAGCCTAATTTGCACAATTACCTCATTATTGACTTTCTAACAAGATAATTGTGCTTGATAAACAATATACAATCTATTTTCCAATAGACAATATTTAATCCACATGGTTTTACATCACTAACTCAACTTTGCTTATTCTATTATTTAGCAAATACTCCTCATAAAAATGACCCCTCTATTTCTTGTAGTGCTTTTTTTGCCAATAGCCAATACAGTATGGAATGGCTTGAATCTGACCATGGCTCATTTTTTGGTACCTCACTTAAATATTTCTTTCCATACTCATTTTGTCTCCCGTTAACTATTGCTCTGCACATTATTTTTGGTCTGCAAGTTTTGTTTTTATGCATTATCATTTGCTTTTTTTATCTATCTGCCTTCTGTTTGCCATTTTCAGTAAAATAAAAGTGGAAAAGTCGCTTTTTGATAGAATGGTTTTTTCACCTCAGGAAAATGCTTGGATTGTTCTGAATATACAAGGAAAAGATTCGCTCACTGATACAGAACCACTTTCCTCCATCTATAGCATTCGCCGTTTTTTCTCCTTAAATCAAACATTCTGTAACTTCTGCTATTTAGACATTAATTCTAGATCATGTAGCGAGCGATTCACCAAAAGCTGGTTCCTATTTGTATACTCCGTAATTTTGTAGATGATTTAAGTGATAAGCGCACTCAGAGAAAAGATTCAACACCTTCTAATCATCTCTCTTCTTCACCATTGTTAACTTTCCAAATTGTATGATTATTTTAGGAGTTCACGCACCCATCGGAGAGTAAAAGTTCGCAAAGCATCAGGTATCCATAGATATGGATACAATTCGACTCATTCTTATCTGCGTCGAGATCTACGTAGAGTTTCACAGTATTCGGAGAAACAACTATCCTACAATGAGGCTATGAATGATGAAGCTTTTACTACCAATTTTAGAAGTAATGTGTCTGTCTTCAAGTCATATCGCAAAATGCTTACGAAACTCTGGATACCGAACATAAAAGGGAAACGTAGCCTTTTTTCTGTGAATATTTCCTACAATCCTCTTCCTGATAATTACCTTGGGATCGTATTCACGACGGGAGATATCGTGCTTGTTTCACATTCGCTGTTATCTAGATGGTTTCGAACAAACTGCGCTTTACTTTCAGAGTTTTGTCTCTGTATAAAAAACAATTCAATGTCCGATCGGTTCTGTTCACAAAATCGGAACTCATCAAACAAATAGCCAAATCCTATGGGATTGATGTGCTCCCAGAGCCCGAAACGAATGAATATGGATTGCCTTTCATTAATTCGATGCTCATTACTGCACGCGACACATTCCATTTCCAGCAAATGATTTACATCAACGCGGACATCATCATCAATCCAGGCACTTTTTCGCTTGCTGCCTTTTTTGACAAGTATTTCGAGAATCAAAAAGTAGAAACAGGGAACCAATGCGATGAATGTGTAGTATGTTATGGTCGGAACCGTCATGAACGTGCGAGATCCTCCCTATTGGATGAATACAGACAGCTATGATGTATTTAAGCAGCACTATCAGCAGATTAAAGGTCGCTATCGAGGCGCTGCTGCGATCGTAGAATGAATGAATCGTTCGGTCTGATATGCAGGACGTTTTTGTGTTTCCTTCCACGTTTCCCTTCGAGGAAATGTGGAAAGTGGTCGTGGGTCGGTGGTATGTGGACAGCGCGATTCTCAAGTTTGCTCATACTCATCATTTTGGTGTGGTCGACATTACTTCTATCGGATCCCTTCATCTTAGTTTGGAAGAATCTGTGCATGTCCGATCCCGCGTCACTGGCGATGACTTTTACTGGAACAAGAATCACCTTCCGTTTAAGCCCAATACGGTGGAATGCTATCTCCAGGGGAATTATTTTGTCTTGTGTGTTGTTTGTGCGAACAAACAAGGGAACTAAACAAACTACGCATGGCTTCGTAATTCACATTTCGACTCACCTTCTTCGTGTCGATCAATCGCTTCAACCCTTCAGCCGCCGTTTTCACTGGATGTCGGTACTGTGCGCGATTCTACTCCTCATCCTACCGCCTCCACACTTACAGGCGTTCGTTTCTTCCGCTTCGTCACCTTCTTCCCGCTCTGCTCCCGCTCTCTCCGCTTCTCCTCCTGGCGTTTGAGCCAATCGCCGTTGGAGGCAAGCCAGAGTTCCCGCTTCTTTTTCTGCTCCTCTTCCGAAAGGAACATGTCTTCCACTTCCGGATCGATTGCATTCGCTTCCTCCTCCTTGCCCTCTTCCTTCTGCTCGCCCTCTTTGTTTATATTGTTTGCATTGTTTGCATTGGGAAGACCTCCTTGCAGTTCACTTTCATTCGCCCCTCCATTTTCATTTCCATTTCCATTTCCCATCTCATCACTTCCTTCCTTATTCTTTCCATTTCTCTCCTCCAGTTTCCCCATTTCCTCCAAATTCGAATCGGGCATTCCCTCATTTCCATTCTCTCCGTTCTGCTGCGCGTTCAACGCTGCCAGCACCGACGTCATCTCCATCTCCAACTCCTGATACATCTGCTCCAGATCGTGTTGACGCAGCAAACTGCTCGGCGACACTCGCTTCTGTCTCTGCAAATGCGAGCCAGGCGCGATCGTTCCCGTCTCGATCAGCACCTTCTCCAAATGACTCGTGTCTCCGTTCGAACTTTCCAAAAGAAGCTGGTTCTGCTGGTCTTTGAGTCGGTTTCGCACAAAAGAAGGCGGATGGGCGGACATCATTCCGTCCTCGCCGACCGGCTCGCCCTTCTCATTCACCGCGAAATCGTTCGTCTGATCCGCGAGGTAGTTGAACTGATCGATCGTCAGCGAGCCTACCATTGCATGCCTCTCCCATTCCCACTCGAAGGCGTCGATTCGAACTCCGCGAGGCGGATTCGCAGCGTTTCCTCGCTCACTTTGACGATCGAGAGAATGTCTTTTTTCGTTCCTACGCGTCACGTGGATCGCTATCGCGCACGGCGGAATCCGTGGATGCGAGCTGCTAAGAGGAGCGCGGCGGCGACGATTCCGAGCGGTCGGCGGCCCAGGACGATCCAGTCTCGCTGCATTCGCTTGGTGATGCGAAGCGCGGTGAGACAGACGGCGGAGAGCTGGTCGCCGAACTCCATTTGGGAGGCAAAACGATTGATGTACAGCGATGGATCGATTGGTTTCATTTTGAGACTATCAATCAAAGCGAAGAACCGATCGATTACCCTAACATGTTGTTCATTTTCATATAGACGGAACCGAGACTCCACCTAGAAGTAAATAAAATAAGGGGAGGAATCTTACACATCGGTTTGAAGGAGATCCGCAAAATCGATGAGCATGGTGGGGATTTTGTTCATTCTGCAAGCGACGTAGAGGCAAGCGGCACAAACGTGAGTGGCCTTTCTCCCTTGAGTAAAGTTTTTGGCTACAGCTAGGTTGAAAACGTTGCAGGCATTGCTAATTAGATTCTGCAGATTCAGACCAGCTGCAATCTGAGATATCTTCTTTCTTCCGTTCAAAAGAGTGACTTCTCTAGATTCTTTGTACCTACAAATCAGCCATGTATGCTAAATGGACGAATAACGTCCTGAAGAAGAAGCATAGGACGAAGAACCAGTCTCGTTCACTACTTGACCAACGATTCTACGCGTAAGTCCAAAAAAGCTATAGAACGATGCGCTTTCTCCATTTCCATTGAATTCTACATTATTTACAATTTGATTTTCATCGATAACGCAACCGCAATTGGTACAACTATGATAAGAACTTCATATGCTAAAAACATACATCACTTGACCATCCCCTCCTCCTAAGTCAAAAACTTCTTGTTTACAAGCCGGACATATCATTGTATGATTGTTTGTAAAATAGATCCGATTTTTGGAATTCTGAGAGTCGCAAGCACATCCGTATATTTGTTAGATTCATTGAAATATCCACTTCAAAAACATCAAGTGCTCTCCGATTTCGGTATTTAAATCAAATCAAAATCTCATTGTATCCATATTTGTAGAATGTCGGATGAAGAGGAGGTTGCCATAATTACTGATAACGAAAATAAGCCTGAAAATGATAAGAATGTCGAAGAGGAGAAAGTCGAGGAAAATGAAGAGGAAATGGAAGAAGAAGAGGAAGTAGATTCCGAAGAGGAAGTGTATATCAAGGCATCTCGTCATTCCTTTGAATTGGGAAAAGACCACTTTATTTTTGATTTTAAAGATGTGGGTTCGGAAGAGGAAGAGATGGAGGAAGAGGTGGACAATGTGGATGTGGATAGTGAGGAGAATGAGGAGGAGGAAGAGGAAGAAGGTGACGGGGTCGTCGAGGACAATGCAGCGGAAGATAACATGACAGAACAGCAGCAAGTAATACTCATTTTCTATGTCGACAGTAGATGGAAACCGAAAAGGAAGCCCGAGAGGCCGTTCAACAAAATGTATCACGTCGAATGGGCTGGTTCGACATGATCCGGCGTTTAGAAAAGAAAGTAATCAATGGTAGTTTATTGAACTGTGTGTCTCATGGTAGAAAAGCGAATGGCAGAAAACGGAGGTTATGATCTTTCAGATCCCTTTATTGATGATGGCGAACTCGCGAACCAGCGCACAGCTCTGAGTATTCCCGAGCCGCCTCCCTTCCAAGTGATTCGCTACAACCCCGAAGAAGCAATGGACGTTGAGGAAACCGCCGCGCCTGAGCCCAATCCGGACTCAACACGCCGAAGTTTTTTTTAACAACGTGAATCACGCGTAGAGAAAGGAGATCGCGTTCCTCTCACACCGAAACAGAAAGCAATGCTCGCGAACTGGAACCCTAGTGATCGAACGAAAGAGATTCTCGCCGAGCTTCGAGTAGCTTTTGTTCTCTCGCTTCACGCCATCCAGGTCCGAGCGGGCGCGTTGTTTGCCGACAAAGACTGCATCAATACCATGCCGAACGACTTCGACGATCTTCTCTTTGAAGTGTGCTCGTCTCCTCCAATCGATTCTAGGTCGACAAAGAAGCCACTGCCGGCGCGAAGGTCCGTCCCACGGCGTTGGTGCTTTCGCTGACCGAGATCTTCCCCTTCCATCCCCAGACCATCAAGCTTCGGCTTCGTTTGCTGAAGGCTCGCAGCGAGAACATGGAGATCGAAGCGCAGTACGGCCAGAAGAAGAAGGAGTTCCTCGCGTTCGTGGGAATTGAAGCTCGTTGCGACGTAGATTCGGAGCTGGGCGGAGCGGAACGGAAGGAAACCGGTGTGGACTGCGGAGACGCGAGCGAAGATGAGCGAGATTTACCATTTACTGGAGGATCGGATCGAGAAGTTCAATCGGTAGGCGAGCGGACGGCATGTCAGTTAGTCTGATGAAGTTGGAGCGAGTGAGCACGCAGATCGACTTTCCGACCGAATTCGCGGAGCTCTGCGGCACGGTCTCGTCGTTCTTCGATGCCTCGGAGCTTTCGTTCTCGGAGCTGCAGCAAGAATTCGAGTCGGCTGCGCAGGACGAGGAAGGAGAGGCCGACGAGAATGAAGGAGACGAGGAAGACGCGGTGATTACGGAGATCGCTGCAGAGTCTGCTGAATCCAAACCAGCGACAAAACCAGCGACAAAACCAGAAACAACAACAACAACAACAGCAGCAGCAACAACAACAACAAAGTCGGCAGAGTTGAGCACACCAACGAAAACGCCAACGAAAACACCAACGAAAACGCCAACGAAAACACCAGCGAAAACGCCAGTGAAAACACCAGTGAAAACGGGAGAAAAGGCAGCCAGGAAGAGAACGGACTCGATCCACGCTGCAGAGAATGGAAATGGAAATGGTGCTGGGAATGCGGGTGGAGAGATGAAGGGATTGGGACATCGGTCCGCGTCCAAGCATGAGAATCGAAGTGGAGACGCGAGGGAGTTTGATGATGTAGGAAATCCGATCGAGGGGATTCAGCTGTGGAGAGAAGGAGTGGAGATTGTTGGAATTGAAGGAATGAAATGAGGTGTAGAGCCAACAGAAAGGAAAGAAATTCGATGATGTTGTATTTCGGGAGGAAGATTTTAGAGTTCTTGTTGATTAATTGTTGTTTGTTTGAATCTCATGATTTGTTACATAATTTAATTTTTAGCAAGACAATGTTTGAATGATGTTAACAATAACATAAATGTTAAAATTATGTTATTTTTCGTTATAATGGGATGTTATTGTTTGTTATTAATTGAGATCCATTGTCTTTTCATGTTTGCATTTGTTAAATTGTATTCTGATGAACCTCTTTATAAAGCAAAACAAATCAAAAATAGTGTACAAAACTCACATATAAACAAGTTTTTCTATGGAACAGTATAATATTTTATATCCATGAAATGCCACATCCCAATAACAACTGATGCTTATGGACCAAACTTTTTAAACATCAATCCCCTAAAACCTTCCAGAGATTCGTCAATTAGACCAATATTGAAAATATCTAGATCACATAAAATGACACGCTCTTCGTAGGGTACTAGGAAAGAAATTATCCACTACACATAAAAGAACACATATTCAACACACTTCTTTGTCCTCAGTTCGGGCAATGAACTGATCACTTGATAAAAAAATAATTAGGAATGATGTTATCCTATTTATCTCTGATACGGAAGAAAATAGCAGTTTTTCCAATTCAACCGATTCTAGACAATTATGTGAACAAATAGGACATACTGATTGAATCATTGTATGGAGTACCTGATAAAACGAAAATCAAAGAAACAGCCTGGGAAAGATTGTAACTCGATAAATTACTGTAGTGACAAATCTCAAAAGCGATATTTAACGCTTCCAAAACAGTTTTTACTTTTGAGACAACGTAATCGTCCACACCGATCTGGTTTCCATATACAATACATACCTTCCTCCCGTTATGTTCTTTCTCAAGTTTATCCACATACCTTGTGAACATCATAATTTAATTATACAATGAAGCTTTTTGTGGGAATACTGTTGCTTTTACTTACTCTCTGCCTGGCTGATGATTCGTTATTCGAACCAGGGACTCCAGAGAATCCTAAGGAAGATCTCCCATACAATGATGACGTGATGGTGAAAACGCTCGTACGTTTGCTTTCCCAAATCGAGTATAGTATATGCCTGAAGACTGTTCCGACATGGCTATGGATGGTGATTCTTTGGGAGTACACTACACTGTTTCCCATTTCTTGTGTCTTGAAACATAGGGGTATTTGTACAGAGATGGAAAGAAATTCGATTCATCTCTTGATCGTCACCGTATTTTCCCTGTGACACTGGGAGCAGGTCGAGTCATAAAGGGATGGGAGAAAGGACTTTGGGGAATGTGTGTTGAGTACTTGTGTTGCATTTCTTTGAGAGTAGGGAAAAGAGAAGACTTGTGATTCCTGCTGGATTGGCGTACGGAAACCGCGGAGCAGGAGATCTCATTCCTCCAGGTGCTACCTTAATCTTTGATGTGGAGCTGATTGGAATCCGGGGCAAGGGCAAATACGCCGACAAGTGGAATGTTTGTTAGAAGGAAACACTGCATTTCAATAGTATATGGTTCTGCGAGGGAATCTTCGCTTTCGACAGAATAGCCACAATCTTTTCGACCATCGAATTTCGCGCCTTCTCCACACCTTCATCGGGCAGCTTCTTCAAAATCGGCAGCATCCAATCCGGCACTTCCGTCGAATTCACCAGCTTCAGCACATCATCGGCGCCCTCCTCTTCCAGCAGCGACATCCGGCTCTGGAGCATCTCCTTGCTCAGCACAAGCTGCTTCGTGCCCTTATCTCGATTCATATTCGACGAGTTCATCCGCTTCATGAGCATTCGGTCCTCCATCGACTTCGGTTCGAACTACGCTCGGCATTTCCCACTCCTCCCTACGCCATACTGGCAGTACCGATGCAGACTCCCCAGCAGACCCTGCAGCTTCCGGTTCTGCGGGTTCACCTCCGCGTAGCGTCGCTCGATCTGGCTTTCTTCGTTGAGCGACGTCGGCGTCGCAAAAAACCGCGATTGCAGCTGCAGCAATCGCTCCCAGAGCGCGGGCGCGTTGGCCTCTCCGACCGCCTCGATGGCCTGGCGGAGGATAATGCGCGCGTTAGCGACGTGGCCGAGCTCGAGGAGGAGGTCGACCATGTCCATGACGTAGGTTTGGTCGATGGGCTCGCGCGAGAAGAGCAGGAAGCCGAAGCGCAGAATCGCCAGAGCGGACTCGGGCTGATGATTCACGTCCTTTTCGAGGCGAGCTGTGCGTGAGAGAGCGATGCACTGGCCTGCCCGCGGCGATGTACAGCGAAGGAGCCTTGCAGGAGAGGCGAGCGCGCTCGAACACGTCGCGCGCCGCTTGGATTCCGAAGTGGCGACGCGTGAACTGCTGGTACATGATCCACGGAACCGCGGTTTTGCAGTCTTTGACGAGGCGTCGATACTCCGACTCGGCTTTGCCGAGCTCGCCGATGGCCTCGAAGAACTCGCAGATCCGGATGCGAAGCAGAAGGCAGGTGGGCATAGCGGCGATGGCCTGCTCCATGAGGTCCAGCGCGCTGGCCTTCGCCACGCCGTAGGCGAATTCGATGCAGTAAAGCCACATATCGGGGCTGTACTGGCAGCAGCCGAGGCAGCAATGCAGACAGCGATCCATCCACGCCGCGAACGCAGAAGCCTCCAGTTGCATCGGGTTCGCGCGCTCGAAGTCGAGAAAGGCCATCCACGCCTGGACCTGCTCGTAGTCCTCGCTGTCGAGCTTGTGCATCGCGAGATTGTCCGTGCGAATGCGGCTCCACAGCGCGCAGCGACGCTCCGCACTACGCGTCATTCGCCTTTCAACGCGCAAAACACCGAGGACGCCAGGCTGAACCGCGCAAAGAACGGGGCCAGCGTTTCCTTGAGACGCTCTTGGCATTGCTGCGGGTCGGCGAGCTGGTCGGTGAGCAGCGCGCTCTCCATTTTCGAGAATTCGTCCCAGAACGACTTCACCGACGCCGTCGGAATCGCGATCACGCGGTGGTAAAACGAGCGCCACACATCGGGAGTGCGCTGAGCGATCGGCTTGCTGTTGAGGAACGCTTCGTAGGCGCGCCAGAGCTTGTCGGAGTCGGGGAAAAAGCCGACGGCGTCGAGAGCCGACTCGAAAACGGAGTCGATTTCGGAAGGAAGCGCGTCGGGGGTCGGGTTCCAGCGCTTGTCTTGGTGCTTGAGCTCGTAGAAGTGGCAGGAATAGAGATAGATGTCCACGTTGAGGCTCTTTGACATGTAGGTCGAGAGAAGCTTGCATTCATGAGTGTCTTTGCGAGTACCTTTTCAACGTTCTCGGGATGGTCGTTGTTCCTCTCCAATTCACAGTATAAACGCAGGAAGTAGCTGCTGGTAGGGAAATTCGTCATAATCTCGTCGAAAATCATCTTCGCTTCTTTGTAGCTTGTTTCGGTGAGACTATTCGCGAGACTTTTCCACGCTTGTTTGTCGAATTGATTTGTTCCCATTGCTTTCAGCGATTTGGTAATCTACGCTCGAATCCCGATTATTCATTCACATCTAAGTTTGTCTGACGCTTTTCAGAGCGCTTCGATGTGTCAATTTTTGGTTCTGTCGTATCTAGTCCATTATTCACAAAACCAGCAGATCGTACTTGATTGTGTAATCTCAATTTTATCTGTAAGCAAATCATTTATGCCAAACTTTGTACCCTGCGTTTTGACCACACTTCCTCAAAACCTACCACCAACGAGGTATCAATCATATCATCACAAAGATCATCCGAATCTGACATGGTTTCCCCTCAATTGATCTAAAAATAATTGAAACTGTTCGTTTGTGGGATCCCATCTGCTTCACCATGTGGTAGAACAAACACAAAAATGGACTCGGAAGCGATAAAGACACGTAAACGTGGAACCCCAGTTCTCTAGTATATGCAGCTTAAAGATGGAAAACTTCAATGGCCCCTAGTACATCATTCCACTTGATAATTGAATCTCTACAGAGTAGTCACTATAACAAAGCTGCGTTATTTCTCCATCCAGATCATATCTACAGTTTGTGGCGAGCAAAACGGGATCAGAGAATTCGTTCACATATCCCAAAACCTCATATCGTTTCAGCGCAGATCGTCTGTCTTCCGTAACAAACTTGCTCACATGGTCAACACTAAAAACGTATGGATTTCGTGGTTGTGGAATTCGGACTGAAAAAACAGGATCTACGGAATCCATAGGATAGCAATATCCCTTTTCTGAAGGAGGCTACTGATAAAGCGGTGAAATGGCAAACATTAATGGCAAGGTTCGGATCAACTTTTGCTTGTGATTTCGAAAGAGAAGAGGACGATGATGACGATAACGAAATGAAAGAAAAGCTAGGCGGCTTTGTAGTCCACCTGAAATTGACTTGGAGGGAAATGTTGCTACTTGGGTCCAGTTAAAACTTGACCTCCATTTTTTTCATATGCATAATCGATTCGATCTGTTCCATCAATCAGTACGCGTGACCGAATGGAAGCAATACTGGATTCGATGCTATGGAACAGAGTTTCAGCTTTTTCAAGTTGAGAACGAAAAGAATTGATTTGTTGCTCGTATTTGGAAAACTGGGACTGCATTTCTCGAAAGTTCGACTTTATTAGATCGTATTCAGCCAGGAGAGAAGCTTCGTCCGATGCGATTTGGCGCTGAATCGAGTCCATGCGCATCTTCGCATCTACAAACGCCGAATCGTACACACGGTCAAACAGATCATTTAGAGAAGACTCCGATATGGAGTTGGCGAGCTTCTCCACAACAGTAGTCATAACCTTAGAATCTCGCTTCAATTGGGCAATCTATCATATTAATATTCCCCATACTACGTTTAAATACTTGGCGATTCTGCGAATGAACTATAAAGAAGAACTACATCGTGAGGTGGAATCAAAATAGAATACAAATAAAAAGCAAATTGAAAACAACGTAGCAAACACCATCACTCTCCATTGTAACCACCGCTTCGTAAAAGTGAGCTAGATGAGACAAGAGAATACAATTCTACCAAATATTCTTCATCTACAAGAGACAGTCTCTCCGGTATGATAGTATCAGCGAGTTGGTCGTTTGGTTGCACGCTTCTCAGATTCTCCGTATGAATCCAATCAGAATCAGAGTCTGTCTCCTGGATATTCATGTTTTGCACTCTAAAACACTACACCAGAAATCGTTTGAATTTGAAACGATTTGGAAATGGAGAGTCAGAGGCCCTATAAGGCAGGAAGTTCTCCTGGGAAACTGCAGCGGTTGGGAAGAAAGCGCGATCCTCGGTCTGATTCTGAAGAAGAGCAGGAAAATGACCCTACCTCTCCTTCAGGTGGTATGGGTAATAAAAGGGGTACAATTGGGATAGTTTGATGAGGAATGTAGAGAAGTTGGACATTACAGATCTAGATATAGCTTATATGGCAATTTTTGAAGAGGGAAATCATGAATATATGAAAGAACGAGAAAACACGGATTCCGAGCGAATCCCTATTCCTCAACGACTTTATACATCATTTTTGGAATCTGTAGAGTCGGATGTGATGGAATATGTATGGTTTGCGAAGGGGGTATTGTGTAGTCAAATCACATTCGTCTCTACCGTCAATTAAAGCAAGAGCAATCAAAATTAAAGAAGAGAATCGCTGAAGAACGAGAAGAAGCCGTAAGGGTACTACTCTGCTACTGATAGTCTGTTAATGGTATAGTTAAAGCAGGAACGAGGGAAACTACAAGCCGAATTAGTGGTTCAGCGAGAGAAGAATGAAGAATTGCGCAAAGTATCTTGAGAAATAAGGGTGATGATGAGAGTAGAAGCGTGATGTACTGGAGAAAGCGGAAGACGTGAAGAAGCGAGTGAAGCAGATGATTTCCAGGAATGAAGTCACATGGGCGGTTCCCGATGTGCCGCTGTTGTTACATGGCAACTCGGCAGAGCTTTTGGACGCAATTAATAAATCAGTTGAAAAGAAAATCGAAAAATTAAAAGAAGAACAGAAGTGGACTGTTTGTTGAAAGATAGAATTGGAAGATAACTTGTTTTGACAGAATCTTCATGCCTCTCATTCCTTTTTTCTTATATCAAAATCTGTACTTTCGGTGTATATTATTGGGTGTTTTAATCTGTTTTTGTCAAGGCGCGAGTGAATTCTTCACCTGTTTATCTGATGGAAAAGAAATCCCCTCCAGATGGTTAAATGATAGATATTGTGACTGTGAAGACTGTAGCGATGAGAGTGAGACACATGTTGGAAACTACGGCCACTTTGAATGCGCAAATGAGTTCAATATATATGGGTAGTGTTTTCTAGTATATCTAATACAGAGAAAAGCGTCAACTAGGGAATATGTTTGTGGAAGACGGTATTTGTGATTGTTGCGACTGCTCGTATTTAGTGGATCGGATGTTTAATCGATTAGTGATGAAGGAAGAAACGAGCCGAGTCTCTGTGCTGAGATTAACCAGAAGACTCTGAATTCGCTTCAAGAGCAACTAGACAGACAAATCAATGGCATGAAGGCTATGGAGAACAGCACAAAGACCAAAGCACTTTTGAAACAACTCAAGAAGACCATCACATCGCTGAACCGAGAGTCGAAAGCATTAGTGGCATCCTATCACAAGCACGGAGGATTAACACAGAACAAAATGAAACGCTACCAGGACTTACAGCATTTCCGAGCGATTCTAGAAGGCGTGGAAGGCTTGATAAAGGAGAAAAACAAGCAGGCGTTGTTAAACATGTTCGGAGAACACCTTGAATTTCTGCCTCTTCTGTTTCACTGCCTCTACTCCTCCCCATTTGGTTGCCTATTTTTGAAACTATGTCACCGTAGGCGAGCAATCGATGAAGCGAGGAACGTCCAACTATTTCGATAAGACCTACTCGATCGAGTTCTGTCCTTTCCGAACCATCACGCAGCTCACGAATCAAACGAACACATGGAGGAAGCGAAACGACCAGTAGATCGATGCATTGTCGTTTTACGTAGCGTTCGACTGGGAGGATCGAAGGAAGAAGCCGCGAAGATCCGAGTTCCGAACGATGATTCGTGGGAATACACGCTGTTGGGGTCTCAGAATGCGTGGATCGAGCAGATTTCTGTTCCGAAACACCTCGAGAAGTTTCGAGAGAAGGGATCTCATCGCGTTCAGGTGTATCGTGGCGAAGACGTGTGTATCAACGGCAGCTCGCGCACTACGGTGGTCATTTATGAGTGTGGAGATCACGAGGAGATCGTGCAGTTCCGCGTAGAACAATTCCAATTGGAAGGCTCATGGGTAGGAGAACGGAATGTGCAACTACGAGATGCTTGTTCGCATCCCCGCAGCTTGTTCGCAGACCCAAATCGATCAACTGCAAGCTGCGATCCGCTCCATTGTTTCTTTCTCCTCCTCCTCTTTCACTGTTTGTTCAACAAACAAGGCAGTTGTAGACACGGGCGCCAAAGATGGTCGTTCCAACGCGGATGTTCGTGCTTCCCATCTTCACCGCGGTCTCCCAATCTCCAGACATACCCATGCTCAGCTCCAGAGAGCCAAGCTCGGGGTGCTTCTTCAAGAGATCGGCACGCAGATTGTTCAACTGCTCGAAATAGGGTTCAGGAGGCGCGTCCAGCTTCCCGACCGTCATAAGTCCCATCAGATGCAGCTTCGGGCAGTTGCTCAAAATGAACTCTGCCAGCGGAAGGCACTCTTCAGGGAGGCAACCACTCTTTCTAGATGTGAGACAAACGAAAAGGGCGCACGTCTCCTCGCCACTCGTGTGGACTTCAACGAAGACGTTCAGAGGGTCGGCGCGTTCAGCAAGAAGGCAGGCGGAATTAAGTTTCTCAGCCAGCTTGATGCTGTCCACGCTCTCGATTACCCAGAGGTTGGGGATCTTGCGAATCAATTGATTACACTTGCCACTTTGCAGGTGGCCGATAAGGTGCCAGCGAATATCCTTCGGAAGAGCTTCGGCCTTGTCCAACAACTCCTGGACATAGTTTTCGCCAAAGTCACGATGACCATAGTCGTACAACTCCTGAATCGCTTCAGCAGGCTTCTTCTTACTGACAGCCACGATTCTTGGCTACTCTTCATACCAACATCCAAAGAACATACTGCTGTCTTATTGAATTGCTGCGAGACCTCAGCAACGCGCTTTGCAAGCGCTACAAATCGAGTTACAACAGTTTCGGACATTTTAGGATCAAAAGAGAAAAACAATAAGTGAAAAGGGAAACATAGAAACAAGTAGAAAAAAGGAAAAAGAAAAAGAGAAGCGCCCACCGGGGGGCTCGAACCCCCGACCACCAGGTTAAGAGCCTGGCGCTCTACCGACTGAGCTAGACGGGCTTGTATGGGGTAAAAATATGTGTCTAACAAAGATTGCTTAGTGTGGGAGTTGATTAACTGTTGTAAGAAAACTGGTTGTCTCGTCTGATTACGGTATCGTTGAATAGAGAATCGACAGTGTCCGAATCGAGCGTGTCTTTATGACGTAAAATGGGCGTCACAACGTTTCCACTGGCAGTGAAGAGTGTTTGGAGATCAACAGGCACTTTGGATTCCTCCACAGGCGCTAGCTGAATGGAAATACCCAGAGTGAACGCACCGCCCCCTCGAATCTGAACAAACTTCTCGTTACAAGGAACAAACACTTCATGTGGCTCGACGACATTGTCCTGCGCATTGATTCCCAACTCCCCCGAGTCGTTCGACCCCCAGGCATATGCTTGCCCAGTGATCGAACTGTAAGCGATGCAATGCAGCATTCCACATGTGATATCTGTGATCATCTTATCGGAAAGCGACTCGACGCAGACAGGTCGCTACACTGGAAGCCATGGCTGTCCTTACAGTGGGAATATCTGGGTGTTGTGGGTCTGGACCCCATTGGTAGACTTGCCCAGACACGGTCAGGAGGAGGGCAAAGCGAGTGCCGGCAGCGATCCGTTTGATTTCCTCTGGAAAAGGGATCAAATGGGGAACAGAGAAGGTGGCTCGATTTTGCATGTACACGTCCTCGTCGACTTCGAGCATTCCCGAAACAAAGAGCTCGTTGTGATCACTGACAAAGAGCGAGAAGGTCTCTCCACAAGCGATCTGAACGATCCGGTAGTCAGCGAGTCTTTGGATAGGCACCGGAACGAACTAGATGTGATTTTGAGTCAATGCAATCAATACATAATCGATTCCCACATCGAGTCCTAGCTGGCCATAGAACCCATTTCCGCACGCATATACGATTCCAGTGGAGCCTAAAAAGAGGGAATGGTTTTGTCCGCAGCTGACGGACTGGATATCGACTCCCTTCAGCTTTGCGATTTGGAGTGGTTGTGATGACGACAACACATTGAGCCCTTGTCCCAGCTGTCCATACATGCCTCCTCCCCAGCTGTAAACGCTTCCATTGCTGCAGATGCAGACATTATGGAATCCTCCACATGCAATGGAGGCTACAGGCAGATTCTGGAAAGTTGGGATTCGCTGTGGGTCGCTGTCTTCGACGTCGCTACCGAAGCCGAGCTGGCCATATGAATTGGATCCCCAAGCGATGATTTCTCCGTTGTCGACGAGACAGAGAGAGTGCGATGTTCCAGCCGCTATCTGGATGGGGAAACAGCAGGGACTAGACAGCATCGCGAGCTTCGAAGGAACAGCGATGAAGGGTTGGGTGCGAGCGTGTCCGAGCTGCATTTTCATATTGTTTCCCCATGTGTATAGCGAAAACTACGTGGAAGGATCGAATGGAAAGAGATACAACAAAGGCTTCGGAGTGAGAAACTTCGGAGTGCGAGAAATCGGAGCGACTTTGCGTGAGAGAGGAAGGTAGGGGATTTAGCAGAGAGTTGTGCTTACTACCGCTTGTGCTGGAGCTGATGCTAGAAAAGTCCATTGTGCGGGGAATAATGCGAGGCTCGCGATTTGTCTCAGCTGCGTTGATGCACATTGTGATGTCGAGAGGAGCAGGGCGATGGATTTGCCTTTCAAAATAGGAAGTGGGCATTGATGTTGGCGCATGTTGTTGTTGCTGTTGTTGTGGTGGTTGTTGTTGTTGCTGAAATTGTTCCTGTTGTGGTTGTAATTGTGGTTGTGGCTGTTCTTTTTGTAGGAATTGCCTGTTGTATTGGAGCTGAAGCTCACGTAGTTGTTGGTGATAAGAAGATGACTCGAGTTGCCGTGATTGTTGATGCCATGATTGACTTTTTGTATCTAGATGATATTGCGAACGTGACTGTGATTGTGGCTCTGGTTGTAGTTGTAGCTGTGGTTGTGGCTGCGGTTGTGGCTGTGGTTGTGGCTGTGGCTGTGGTTGTGACTGTGACTGTGGTTGTGACTGTGACTGTTGTTCTGAAGGAACATTGAACAGATTAATACCTCGAGCAGAGGCATTCTTTAACTCGACAAACCACTTCAGCGTATGTTCTGAAGAAGGAAAACGAAACTCATACTAGAAGTCAAACACTACTCCATAAATCACTTCTCGATGTGTTTGAATGCTTAATACCGTGTTACTCTTACGTGATATCTTCGCATACGACATGTCGATCACATTGAGGGGTAGATTCTGGTCTCCCTGCTTGCGAGAAATAGGATATCGCAGAACCAGCAATCGACAACCTACTAACACTAGATATCGCTGTGCCCACAGCCTCTTTCCTTGCTTATCGGCACTTCCCTCCATATATCTACGTCTCATCAATCGAGAGTTCTCTACAATCGATAATACCAATCAGTGACAGAAAAATCTTGGAAAAGCAGAATACCTAGGCGTGATGCACGATGGCTACAGATACGATTTAATACAGATACAAGTAGACAGCACATGCGAGCATTGATCGCGCTGAATGATTGGGGAAGATATGTACTAAGCTGAAAAACACGTAAAAAACCACACTTTTTATAATAGATTGTCATAAGATTAGGGTCGAATACGTTTTGCGTAAATGAAATAATCTGACTGAGCGGTACAGATTGAATCTACACTGATAACCCTGTTAAATATTATACGGGAACTCCCTTTCCCGAGACACGAAATGTGAGACGATCATTTACCGTGAGTGTAATCTAAATAATACAATGCTGTGTAATCAGTACATCAGTCACTCCGTCTGGCGATACTACCCCAAAAGAAACAAAATTATTAGTGTCCGTACTTGTTAACATCATTATGTTTCCAAAAATTTGGATCTCTAGATACTAACTTAGGGTTGCAGTCACGTGACAACTGATTTAATGTGATTTAGGGCTGTAACAAATCCCATAATATCACATATAGAAATAAAGCGCGATTCCATTTGTTTCAGGTTGATAACACAATGATCAAACTAGAAAAAGGAGTTAGGGTCAATATTCGGAATTCCAAAAATCAAAGACTTGTCAGAAAGGAGGCAAAATGTCCTTTTCACTTAATAATCGGGCAACTGAACTGCTAAAAGAATTGAAAAGGAGCGAATGGATCCCAAAATTCAATGTTTGAACGTTGCTACCTGTTGAGTTTTTAGGATGAGGCAATGAATCACTTATTTGATGACATCGATGATTCTATGCGAGAAATTATACAAATCTATGATGGAATGGAAACTCTAGAGTCACTTCCTCTGGAAGAAGGAAGTGACGAAGCTGCATCGTACTTTCATTGGATCGCTACTACGTTTTAGAAAGAAAGAAGAGGAATTAATTGGATATAGTGCTATTTTAAATTTAAATCATGGAGCTCTCTATTATTCCAAACGCTGCATGCTCGCTTATCTGTACTTTTTCGTTTCGTGTATTTTTATATAGAAAAGAACGATTAGACCGAATTCGCCAAAAGCGATGGGCTAAAGGAAATGTATTAACGGAGCAAGAGCAAAGTTTAATGAGTAAGGAGGAAGTCAACTACTTCCAACAGTATGATTCTCTACTGAGCAGCTATATGCAACACACAGGTTTCGATCTCTCTGCTGTTGTTTTTATTTGTGCTCTGCTCATTTAGAATATATATCCTCCTCGTAGTCTCTTTGTAGAAGTCACTGCGACCTGCGATTATGGGGAAATTGTCACGACTTCGGGAACAATCAACATATCCTGTTCTATTCTCTATGCTTCGAGCTAGACCCTTAATAACAGCTTGAGAAAAACAGTCGTCACTATCTGCGTCTGTCAGACATTGAGTATTTGGTTCGACAGGGCGTGCTGGTGGTTCGTAAAACGAAATAGTTGTTTGTGTTGTTTGTTCCAGAAATCGAAGCTATTTTTGTCAATTCATTTGATTTTAACCCTTCGTATGTCTCAGAACCGAGAGAAGAAAAAGATTGCACTGAAGACAGTGTACGCGCACGTCATTCGTGCGAAACTGTATGGTGTGCTAACAGTGAATGCGCTGGAAGGGATTATGAATGAGATTGACATTATGCTTTCTCACGATTATCAATGTAATTTTTGAAAGAAAGGCGCTATTATCATAGTTCCTATCGACGTGTTTTCTCCTCGTTTCAGACGCTTCCAAAATGGAGAGCTGAAGCCTACCAGCTATGGAGATCATCTGGACCGTGCTGCCAAGAGTCTTTGCAAAGATATTCACGCAACAGTGAGTATAGAGCTATTCAATACACAGGCAATCAAAGTACGATCGAAATAACTATTGTGGTAATTCATAGAAAGTGATAACATCGATCATTCGAAATGTGCATGGAAGCGAGAGAGACGAGATGATTGAATGGCTCAGTCAGCCTAACGACGTGATTCTTAAGTCGCCACGCTATGAGAGTTTAATCAACGACACCTGTCTGTACTACTACAAGGCATCAACAAGCAACATAAATGAAGACACACTGGCGTTCGTTCGCCGCTCAGCCAACGAGTTGATGCGAAATAAAGCTTCGAAAGATGCGCTTATCAAGAAACTGCGCCAGCAAGGACAAGTCAGCGTAGAGAATCCACAACTGGGAGAGGACATGCAGAATTCGATTCATTTGAATGAGATCGTGACTCGCAACTCTTATGTTGGTGATGTGAGTACGGTGGATCCTTCGCAGCTTGGCTATATTATTCCCACCGGTGTGCAATAATTGGAATTGTTTTTTTAATACATATGACTATCAAAGAGGTCAGAATCACTGAACGCTCATTTCTCAATAGAAGGCTGTTTGGACTCTCCGATTGCTATTTTAATGTATCATTCGAGTGGAGCGTGTGATGTTGTAGAGAAAACCATGTCCGATTTACTCGGTAAGTTTATGAGCTTTCTAGAGCTAAAGAATGTTGGATTTGTGTGATTTTGTTGAGGAGATAGGGCGATGCTCCTTCATATATGGAACGATTTGATGATTTGCTTGGCAAGGACCAAAGACGCTTAATAATAAATATTGATGAGATCCGTGTGTTCGACAGTGAATTAGCGAATGCGTATACTCTACTTGTTGCGCGTACTGTATAGAATATTGAATGACCCAATTCAAACTCTGAGTATGATGGAAAAGGAAATCAATCGAGTATCCTCTCGTCCATCCAGTGCTTTATTTCCTAGCTTGCTCGAAATCGCAGCACCAAGTTTTCCTCTTCTGCCATCGACGCTCCTTTCCATATCGGCCTCACGGGCTCTGTGGGTGCTCACCTGGTGAGTCCTCGTCAGCTCCACACCGAGCTGTTCACGAAGCTGGTTTGCGTCGAAGGCATTGTGACCAAGACCTCTCTGGTGCGTCCCAAAGTTTCTCTCTCTTTTCTTTTCGTTTTATTTTACTTAGATTCTCCGCAGTATCCACTACTGCCCTGAAGGCCGTATCAAATACTACTACAAGGACTACGTGGACATGCTCTCCGCTACCGACAACATCGCTCCTACCAGCAGCGTGATTCCTCTCACCAACAACGAGCGTTCGCTTCCACGTTTCCCCTTTCATGCGCAGAACAAACGCTCGAGTTTGAATTCGGCTACTCCAAATACGTCAATTTCCAGACCATCACCATCCAGGAAATGCCCGAGCGCGCTCCCTTCGGCCAGGTTTCCCCGTTTCTCCCTTTTCACGTCTAGGTTTCCCCGTTTCTCCGTGTTGAGGTGTAGTTGCCCCGGTCAATCGACGTGGCGCTGAGCTACGATTTGGTGGACCGTCTGAAGCCGGGCGACCGCGTGCGCGTAGGAGCGAGGATTGCGTTGGATGCAGGTGTTCGGCGTGTACAAGCCCATCGCTCCCACGGCGTCCTCGCTGTCGGGGAGCTTCCGGTCGATCGTGGACGCGAACAACGTGCAGCTGCTGAGCGGGTCGATCGACGCGTACAACTTCACGGCGTCGGACATCGGCCTGCTGCGCAAGTTCTCGCGCAACCCCGCGCTGTTCGACATCCTCGCGGGCTCCATCGCGCCGTCCATCCGCGGGCTGGAGCCGGTGAAGCGTGCTCTGCTGCTGCAGATGCTGGGCGGCAAAGAGCAGTCGCTGGCGAACGGCATCCACCTCCGAGGCGACATCAACATCCTCTTGGTGGGCGATCCTTCCTGCGGAAAGTCGCAGTTGCTGCGGTTTGTGCTCAACACCGTGCCGCTGGCTATCAACACGACCGGACGCGGCAGCTCGGGCGTGGGCCTCACTGCGGCCGTGGTGAAGGATCAAGAGACGGGCGAGCGCCGGCTGGAGGCGGGAGCGATGGTGCTGGCGGACGGCGGCGTGGTGTGCATCGACGAGTTCGATAAGATGAGCGAGACGGATCGCGTAGCGATCCATGAAGTGAGCGAATTCGATGGAATCGAGGGTAGGTGATGGAGCAGCAGACCGTCACGATCGCGAAGGCGGGCATTCATTGCTCGCTCAATGCGCGCTGCAGCGTGCTGGCGGCCGCCAATCCCGTCTATGGGCAGTACGATACCAGCAAGCGGCCGCAGGAAAACGTGGGCCTGCCCGACTCGCTGCTGTCGCGATTCGATCTGCTGTTTATCGTGCGCGACGAAATGGACGCGCAGGTCGATCGGTCGATCGCCAGCCACGTGCTGCAGATGCACCGATACGTGCGGCCTGGGCGTGAAAACGTGCCCGAAACGGGGCAGGGCGATGCGGAAGAGGAGGAGGAGCACGTCCCCGACCTCAAGGAGCAGTACGTGAAGAACTTCCGAGGCTCGTCGTCGAGCGAGTTGCCGGTGCTGACGACGGATTTCTTCCGCGCGTACGTGCGATTCGCGCGCACACGCGACCCAGTAGCGATGGAGGAAGGGGTTGAGCGCAGATTTTGACGGACGACGCGATCAAACTGCTGGTGGATAGCTACACGGAGCTGAGGCAGAAGGCGGACAACAAGACGCTGCCGGTGACGGCGCGAATGCTGGAGACGCTGATCCGATTGAGCACGGCGCACGCGAAGATGCGATTGAGCCAGAAAGTGGAGCGGAAGGACTGCGAGGAGGCGCTGCGGCTGGTGGAGTTCGCGCTGTTTAACGACGCGGAGGTGATAAAGAAGAAGCCGCGGAAGAAGCAGACAGAGGATAAGGAAGTGGTGTGTAGGCGAGGAGAGAAGAGATGAAGGATAGTTAGCGATGAAGAGCAGGGCGAGAGCGAAGCCAAGAAAGTGGAGACGAATGAGAATGAGAATGAGAATGGAAATGAGAATGAGAATGAGGGTAGAATGGAGGAAGAAAACGTGGAGGATGAGGTGGAAGTGAGCGATGAGAAATTCGGAGCGTTCCGAAGCGCGTTGAGCAAACTTTACATCTCGCGTAGAGTCGATTCGATGACTCTGCAGGAGATTCTGGGTAGAAGTGAAGGGAGGCATTGAGGGTAGAAATCGCACCGTCGTTGCAGTTGGGAGAGAAGGAAGTAAAGAAATGTCTGGAGAAGATGATCGACAACAACCAGATCATGGAAAGCGAGGGAGCGTACTATCGCATCTAATCTATCATAGAATGGGAGTTTGTTTGTTTTTAAAGTTTGTTTTTAAAGTGTGTTGGGAAAGAAACAACGCAAGGCAGATATTCTTCTAACCACGTCGGCGCGATTACTTCGCCTTGTCCAGAATGATTCCATCGTACGTCTTCTTGAACCACTCCATGGCCTCCTCGCGAGTCACCTTGTGAGAATAGCCAATGCGGCTGCGCTGAGCCTTACGCTTGCTCACACGGCCACCAGGACGAGCCAGCTGCACGTAGAAATCCATACCGAAGATACCGGTGTTGGGATCGTACTTGATACCCAGATCAATGTGCTCCTGAATACCAAAACCGAAGTTTCCGGAGTCGGAGAAGTTTCTCTTCACCAGCTCGTACTCCTTCACCTTCAGACCACGCTCAAGGATCTCCAGAGCCTTCTCACCACGAATGGTGGCGTGCACAGAGATCTTCTCGTTACGACGGATGGAGAAGGAACGAATGGTGAAACGGGCTAGAATGTAAGCACCTCCCACTCAAATCTCCCTACCCTTTCCGTAAATGGGCTCCTGACCAGAAATCTGCTGGAGGACACGAGCGGCCTTGGAGACAGCATCTCCAGATTCACCAACGCAAATGTTGATGACGAGCTTCTCAACTCGGATGTTACGCATGACGTTCGATTTATCGCTCTAAAAAGGCATGAGCACAGGCAAAAGAAAACAAATTGCGTACCATGATTTAGGTGAGAGTATTTGCCTTCAAATATGAGGGAAAGGAATTGTCCACGAACGAATCGTTTATATAGGTTATTTTAGATATTCTATATTCTGCCGTGCCTAACAGTTTTGGACTGATTTCAAGCAAAATAAAATTTATCTCGATGTCGTTCAGCGGTAGAACGGATAAAAATGCATATCGGAGAGTATCTGTGATTATTAACATAGGAATACTGTTACGTAATCGAACAATTTCCCATGCATGATCTCTTATCACTGATAATTATCCACCACTTAAAACACACATTCGCATTTCGGTTGTTGATTTTGAAAAAACCGCGATTATACACACTCATTGTTCCACAGTCATTTCTTCATTTCGAGTCGATCGTAGGTTCTTTGCACATTATCTTGTTAACCTTGCCCACACTCGAACATTGCACTTACCAAATCTTGTAGATAATGCAGAACGACGATATTTTTGAGCAAGTCCTTTGTCGTATTCGTAGATGCTACGTTTACAAGATTCCCCCACGAAATACGGGTATGGGATACCGTGCTGCTGGTTGGACGAACCAGATTTGGATGGGCTCTCTGACTGTCGTTCTCAGAGGCAAGAGCTGCTTCGTGGAGCTCATTGACGACAACAAGAAGGTGTTTGCTTCTACGATGATTCGTGATGATGGTCCTTCTGTATGATTTCGGCTAGTGGCACGACTCTGTAGGTGATCGAGCCCGTGCTGGATTCTTCTCGTTACTTCGTGATGAGAATCGAGAAGGATCGCAAGAAGGCTTACATTGGTGTCGGTTTCCAGGAGCGTTCGGAGGCTCTGGACTTCAAAATTGCTCTGCAGGAGTACAAGAAGTACCTGGATGAGCCCGAGTACGAGGATGACAGTGAGGAGCAGGACTACTCTCTGCAGGAGGGAGAGACGCTTCACGTGGAAGTGTCCATCAAGAACAAGAAGGTATTTTGACGTTTGTTCCGCTTCTAAATCCCAGAGACACAACAAACGCAAGGTCGAAGACGCCATTGATGTTGATGAGAACGGCACCTTGGCTCCTCCTCCAGAGACTGGACGTAGATTTACTCTCCCTGTTTCATGTAGGTCGTCGCAGAGCGCGTGGTAGCCGCAGAAAGGCTGCGGAGGAAGAGGAAGACATGATGGCTGCAGCTCCTGCGGCGGCCCCGAGAGCGGCCCCGATGGCTCCGATGGCCCCAATGGCTCCGATGGCTGCTCCGGCTTCGACTGATTTTGAGTGGGATCGTGTACGGATGGTATGAGGTGTAGTTTCTTCAATTTCTAAGGAAGTGTTTCTTTGTAGTGTTGTTTGTTCGAAAAAGAGAGAGTGAGGATTGGGAGGGTATTGTGTTCCTCGCGTAAGAGTGCTTTTAATTGGAGAGAATGAAAGTTGGAGATGAGTTACGGGCATTCAATGTAAAAATAGGACGATTCTTCGATAGAACGTTATGCTTGTTCTCTAGGACCAGTTATATATTTGTACTTTATCAAATGTCTGGGCGGACTAGTGTATCTTCAATACCTCAGAAGTTTTCAGTGACTCTCCCTAACACGGAAGATGCGTCTACTAATTCCGTTGGGCACATGTATTTTTGATGACTCCTAGGGAGCGATTCATCGTCATCCTCTTGCTGTTGATCACTTAGAAAAGTCGTACAGTCCCGAAGTAAACACTCTCCTGGATAACTTTTTGTTTGCATTTCAAATAGTGGGATAACCGAGCAGACATGCCTACAACCTAGACCCCCAAGCCAATTTTGTGGGATGGAGACCCATAGTCGATGGAGTAGCTCAACCCTACACATTTTTAAAGTACGTATTCTGACCTATCTGCTCAGACGCAGTTACGAGGAGTCTAAGAAGCGTATTGAGGCCTACAGCCGTGCTATTGCCAAGTATGATTTCCTCTCTCAGACCGGTGGCTATGAGAAGCGAGCGGACGGTTCCCCGGTATGTTTACCACGTATTCTGCTCATTATTCAGATCCAAACCATGGGGCATTTCATGAAGAACTCGATGCCTCTGCTTCTCTCCCAATTCGCTGTCTGGCGTCTCAACGGCACCGTCGTGCCTCTCTACGACACGTTAGGCATCGAAGCCATCACGTAATGATTTCCCCTCTCTCCTCCCCTCAGCCACGTTTGCTGCGAAGCCGAGCTCAAGACCGTTCTCTGCAGCCCGGCCTCCGCCGCCCTCCTCCTCCGCAGCATCCCCGACAGTCCCAACCAATTCTCCACGCTCCGCTCCCTCATTATCGTACCCATTCCCGCGGTTTTCGACCCAGGCCGATGGCCCGATCACTGCGGAGCTGCAATCGCTCGCGGCGTCCTGCTCGATCTCTCTGTTCTCGTTCGAGGAGCTTCTATCAGAAGGCGCGTCGCTTCCGGACCCTCCGATCCCCGCGGTGAGCGGTTCGGACGTGTGCATGATCTGCTACACGTCGGGAACGACGGGTGCGCCGAAGGGCGCGCTGATCACGCACGCGAATCTGGTGTCTGTGGGCGCGGTGTGCAAAGCGTACATCGACGAGATGAGCCATTTCGGGCGGAACGACTACTACATTTCGTACCTGCCGATGGCGCACGTGTTCGAGCATTTCATGCAGACCGCCTGCATCGCCGACGGCATGGGCATCGGGTTCTCCTCGGGCGACACGCGGCACATCGTCGACGATTTCAAGGCGCTGCGGCCCTCCGTGTTCGCGTCCGTCCCGCGGGTTTTGGAGCGACTCATCGGGAAGGTGAAGGAGGCGGTGGCGGAGAAGAACGTGTTCGTCCGCTCGCTCTTCCACATGGCGTTCAGCGCGAAGAAATCGCGCATTCTGCAGAGTAACACCAACCAGTGTCCGCTGTGGGACTCCCTCGTTTTTAAGCCCGTGCTCGCGCAGATCGGGCTCGACAATGTCCGCGCCATGGTCACTGGCTCCGCTCCCATCACCGCCGAGAACCTTCTCTTCCTCCGCGTTCTCTTCCTGTACTTTTTCTTTCTTTCTTTCTCGCGCGCTCACCGCGTAGAACGAACGTCCTGCAGGGACTGGGCGCCACGGAGACGAGCGGCGGCGCGTGCGTGTCGCTGCCCACCGACTTCAACACGTTCGACCACTGCGGCAGTCCGATCCGCTGCATGGAGGCCAAGCTGGTGTCGGTCCCGGAGATGGGCTATTTGGTGACGGACACGGTGCACGGCCGCGTGGTGGACAGCAGCGGCGCGGTGCAGGCGGAGGGAATCCCCTGCGAGGGCCGCGGCGAGGCGTGCTTCCGCGGCCTGAACGTGATCAAGGGGTACTACCGACGGCCCGAGATCAACGCGGTGACGTTCGACGCGGAGGGCTGGTACCACAGCGGCGACATCGCGATCTGGAACCAGTACGGCGGCCTGCAGATCGTGGACCGGAAGAAGGACATCTTCAAGCTCTCGCAGGGCGAGTACATCTCTCCGGATAAAGTGACCGGCGTGTATCTGGGCTGTCCGCTCGTGGGGAATCTCTACGTGTACGGAGACAGCTATCAGTCGTATCTGGTGGCCGTGGTGGTGCCCAGCGAGGAGCATCTGCGCGCGGCGCTGAGGGAGCGCGGGATGGGCGAGCTGGAGGGACGGAGCTTCGCGGAGCTGTGCAGCGAGCCCGCGGTGAAGGCGGTGGTGTTCGAGGAGATGGGGAAGGTCGCGGACGCGTCGAAGCTGTGCGGGTTTGAGAAGGTGAAGAACATCTTTTTGGACTGTGAGCACTGGACCATCGAGAATGGAATGCTCACGCCCACGATGAAGCTGAAGCGGCTGGCGTCTCGCACCAAGTATAAGGAGGTGATTGAGGCTTTGTACAAGGAAGGGGTGTATAATCCGAAGGCGAAGTGGATTGTTTGTTGGAGAAAGGTTGGGAGAGGAATGGAGAGGGTGAGAGGGTAGTTATCTATGAGTATTCGATTGATGGAGTCGAAAAAAGAAAGGGCAGATTCACCCAATCGTTTACAGAGCGTTTGCAATAATAGGTATTTGTGAATAGGAATGAAAGCAGTGATGATATTGTTGGATCGATTAATTGCAAATAACGCGTTAAGAAGCAAAAGAATAATGATATGAATGAGGGTGATCCATTCCTTAATGATCCTGAATTTTAGATATGTATTCTAATTGCACACTACATGTTGGCTACCTGGATCCTATTTTTGTCTATTGAGATTTATAGTTATTTTTTATGGTATATAACATGCATAATAAAGAGACAATGTTTTCAGGTATCTAGAGAGGGAATTCTGGGATGGGTAAATGTTCACACATGCACTGTCGATGAACTGAACGATAAGATTGAGCACAACCAAAATATAATCCAAGATGCTTGGAGATCTGTATCTTTTGCGAGGAGGATATTAGCAAAAAATAGCTCAATTTCGAAAATGCATAGCAAGATTTCAAGCAGACATGCGAGCCAGCGAATGAATGCAACGATTTATTTTCGTCCGAGTTGTAATTAGCAGTATGCAATTATCTCTATGACGATTATGATGATGCGCTGAACATTCGAATCGAGCTCTTGAAGGATAGGTCAAAGATGTCTTCGTACCCCACTTGGATGAATTGTTACGCCAAATACCTTCTTGCAGTGCTCAGTATAGATCCCAAAGAAATATGCGTAGAAACAACGAAAATGATCTTGAAGAAGTTCCCTCGAAGCTTGGATATCATTTTTGTTTTCGTTACTGTCGAATATCTATTTTTTGATCCCAAGGACTTCTTATTCCTCATCGATATGGTGATCGAATACATTGTTGAGTGAGGAAATTGGAGGAAATGGAACAGTCGGACCCATTTCCTCGTGTTGTTTCCTGTTTGGTTCTGTGATAACGAGATGGGATTGAGACCCTATTCGAAAAGGTGAGGATTGTCCAGTGAATTGATTTGTTGGGTTATCCCAGAATTCGAGAAGACGTTAAAGCTCCATCCAGTACACTTGGTGGTAAATACAATCAGAGGAATGAAGTGTTAGCGAAGTCATTATGAACCAAAGCTTTTTATGATGGCGGCGAATTGGTAAAAGCGACCAAGTTATGTGATGAATGCATCGAACAATCAACAGATTTTCGTATGCTTATCAGTCAAAGGCGACGGGAATGCGTAATCTTGATCGTATTTATTTCTGGTCGAATCGCTGGTGTCGAAGTATATTAAAGCAACCCCTATTTCATTAGATGGCACATATTAGTACCATGAACTTCACTAAAAACGTTTGCTCCTAACGATATCCATTTGTATCAAGAAACTATAAACGTTAACTTTTTTCGGAAGACGGAATAGTGTTATCTATGAACGGAATATCACACTATTGAAACAGATTTCAAAGTCATTAGTCTTCTTCCATTCAGTGAACCTCCCCCTATTGATCTATACCAATGTTTGAGTCAAACAAAGCACAACGCATTCTATAGATTTCAATAAACAAATTAAAAGCCGAAGATTCTCTTTCCAAGGAAATCCACCAAGATAGGATCATCATTAGGTCTCCAATTGTAGGGAGTACCATCGGGATGGATCGGAACAACACTCTCTTCGACTTCCTTGGGAACACCGTGAGGATATACCACCTAGACATCACTGGCTTTAAGAAGCAATCTCACATTCAATGGAGGAGGAGCATTACGCATGTACGTAGCTCCACCGGGATACCAGGACTCTAAACGTAAGCAAACACAACAATCAAAATGACTTACGAACATACGGATCGGGGTGTGCCATACTCTCATACTCCTTGAGTCCAGCTTCCAAAAGAGCTTTTGCCTCCCTACCTATTAGCAAACACCATCTACTAATCTACGGAGAGTTAGGATCTAAACTTGCATTATCGCGGAATCGCTTTCTCAGCTCTGTTGCTTTTTCCATGAAAATATCGCGATCTGTGCTCCACGACATCAAACACTTCAGGCTGTGCTTATAGAGGCGACACACCTGCTGCTGATGAGTAAGGACCTCCTTCTTAATATAGGGAGCAACGGCAGACAAGAAATGGCTGTTCATATCTGTTTTTATACCGAAAATGGAGAAAGAATAGGTTCCAGAGAATCCCGTAAAATCTATTAAAAACCGCGGTTTCATGGAGAAAGCCTTTCTATTGATATTTCAAATAATAATATATGCAACAGTTGTGTAGCAATTACGCTGTAATAGACTATACATATATGTGAAGTGAGTAGTCAGTGGTTTCTTGAATAACTTACATAATTTGTATATATATCAGCAGCAATATGAATATATGGCTTGTACAAAGTGATTGAGTATGGGAGAAAATTGCTGATAGAAATGTGTATAATAGCTCCGAAATAGTAGGGAAGAATGGCGCTAACCGAATGTTCCATAATTATTATTGTCATAGAATTACAAAAAGATAATATTTCTATCATGATAATAGGCATGAGGTTGGTTGTGGAAAATACCTAAATAACACGAATGAGTAATAGGGAGAACAAAATTGACAAAGAATCGGAAAGAACGACAAAGAGGGAACGGAAAAGCATACCAGGAATATGTATGGAATAGGGTAAGCGAATATCATGAAACACCCTAATCTGTTTAACGATTAAAGGAATATGCACCACTGTTTTTAGAACAACTTGACAATTCAAGAATAACACAAATCCTTAATAATATATTTTGCAATATATGGATGTATACATATTAAAGCATCGATACGTCAGCACACATAGGAATGAACGGATAACAACGCACATTGTTTTCTTTTGGATTTCTATTTTGAAATACACTTCTACTCATGCAATGTTGTATTACATTCCATTTCGTTAAAGTCGACATCACTAACTCTAAGGTACAGCAAAACCAGTTCATATCAATCATCCGATTGTATCAAAACCAAATGGTATTAAAATATTTCTTAGAAAACAATAAATGTGAGATAACGATCATAATAATACACATCAAGCTTATTATATCCATAAAAAGGAGGAATGATAGGATTGGAATAATACTCATAAAATGTGTTATTAAGCGGTTATTGTGATTTTCAACGAAAAAACGAACACCCTATTTGATTAAGTACTTACAATAGTTAATGATTGTGATAATGAAAAATCGGCTTTAGAGAGATAGGTAATTTAATGTACAAATATAAAATGCAGTAGAAAACAAATGAGTTTAAAACAAAACTGCAATTAATCAACATGCTCCCAATCATTAGATGATTAATCAGTGAATCAAGTCGATCTCAAAGAATTACTCTTTGATTGGGACAAGATCAGCTAGAATAGAAGAAACATCTATGAATCAAATGCAATCAATCAAACTATACTCGAAATTGATTTCGTTTGAACAAATTCAAATGACTTAGGTAGATTGACAGTTTGAAGAGTTGGAATATCTATATTTTATTTACGCTTTTATATTCTTATTACTCTCTAAAGTCACTACACGAGGCAGTTTGAAACTGGTCCATTTCGCATTGATAGATGTCAGATTTGGAAGATCTATAAAGTAAATCATTTCGAATCAATTCATTATTACTTCGCATTGTCAAGGAACATGATTCATCACCTTCTGTTCCTCGAAGTGCATAACAACCAAGATCAATGGATTGTAATGATGGAAGATCTACATCAATCATTTCATTCAAATTCATTCAATACTTTCGATTATTGTTGATGTAGAAATATCAAATGTCCATTCGCCTAATGTAATGGATTGTAGCTTTGGAAGATCTAATCATTCAAAAATACAATACTTTAGCAATACCTCGAATCACAAATGAACTATTGTAGAAATTGTATGATACATTTTCAGCATCACCAATTTTTATAGATAGTAATTGTGGTAGATTCTTCAATTCAAAGGCTCCAGCAAAATCACTGAAACTATATTCACCTATTTGAATCGATTCCAATGATTCACAATTCAATATATGGAATGATTTCGATTTATCATCCCCAGCACTATTCTTATTCTGAGTAAATGAATTCTGACCTATTTTGATAGTTTTCAATCGATTCAATCCATCGATTTTGAATGTTTTCACTGATTCAAAACCATCATTCCCGATTTCGATTGATTCCAAATTATACAACAATGAAACATCCCAATCAACCAATACACAATTGTCACTTAGTTTCAAATGTTTCGTTCCGATATTCAGTGGTTTGCTGCCATCGCCTTCATATTTTTCATCAGTATCACATTCAATTCCATTACACCATTCACATTCTTTTACAAACTCGCCTTTTCGATCATACACTTTTCCACTTCCAAATCGCTTATCATCACACCAATATCCTTCATATTCAATACATCCATTATTATGATAACTCGTTCCATATCCAAATCGTTTCCAATTGATCATTATGCTTTTGTACACCAAGAATCCATCATCATCATACATTTCACCATATCCAAATGGAATTCCAATTTTACCTTCTTTTTCTTTTTCTGTTAATACCAATCCTTCAAATCGACTTCCATGATCCAAGTCAACAACTCCTTTTTCTACTATGGATTGTTCTTCATTATACGAAATATCACCAATTTGATGATTTCCAATCACTTTCAACACTTTCTGCTCATTGAGGACAAATGCATGATTCAGGAATACTCCATTATTGAACTGCAATACTACACATTCTCTGGTACTCAAAATGAGTGAAATCCAACCATTTGGTTTCATTTCTTTACCCAAACATCCCTGCACATTTTGAATCATAGAACTATCAATATGATAGTTAGTAATAGCAGAATTAACAAAATCAACAATGCTTTGCATCGAAAATTAAAAAAAATAAGGAAAAAGAATAATATATAGCAATACTTTGTTTTTTTATTTAATTTGATTCTTTTCTTCTATTATTATCACAACCCAGATTGGTTTAGCTGTAATTGTTTCAATCCTTAATGTAATCGATATGAAGAAAGAAAATAAGGTTGAAATAAAGCAAGAACTGAAGTGATTATGCTTGTTTCAAAGGTAAACTCAGAAATGTGCTACACAGGACGAATCACTAGATTGTGAATGATTGAATTGAAATTATCGAGGGAATGAACGGGATTGAGCTGGTTGATCTCATACCATATTTATTTGCTTTTAAGGATGGATGCTTGTTTCTCTCAAAGTGAATGGAATCATTGTCTTGTTATGATTTGTGTGTATTAAGTGGGAACCTATTCATTTGAATGGAAATGGTATTGTAAACATTGTATTTCTTTAGGAGATCATAAACAGAATGAATCATTCCATGCTTTTCGATGGTATAAAGAACAATTTGTTCTGTATAGAACAGTCACAGTAAGTATAGTATGATTATACGTATTATTGCTCATTTTTTGCATAATGCATGCGTTTCTTAAGTTGTATCGTATTTGTTTTGTTAGGCAGAAAAGTTCTGTTAATCCATTATCAAACGATCTGTGCAGAGTAACAACAACCCTCTCTCTTCTCGTCTACCACATATTCTCTCGCTTGTTCCCTTTCGCTCTCAAGTATTTCAATAAACAAATCAACAAAATTGACATTACTCTCGACTATTCATACCCCGAAAGCGAGTTCAGGGTAATCTGCATCAGTTTCTACATTCCACACCCTTCTCATCCCCTACCTGAATCTCATTTCTCTTCTTCATCCCATTTTTCCGCTGAATCAACTTCAGTTTCCTCGCATACTCCGCATTCACCTTCTCCTGCATCTTTTTCATCTCGCTGGAGCATCGCTCCATCACCTTCGCCGACGAGGCTTCCCCGTCCAAACTTCGCTTCAGCGTTTCCAGCTGGTTTCGCAGACTCTGCAGCTGCGTGGTCCGCTCATTCATCGACTTCTGCACTTCGCCCATCATCACATCGATCCGCTTCATCTCAGCTTCCAGCTGTGCCTGCAGCTTCGCTGCTGTCTGTTCTCGCCGCGCCAGAATCCCCTCCAGCTGCGCCTCCCACGCCTTCACGATCTTCTGCGCGCCTTCTCGCACGCTGTTGGCGCGCTGCCGTCGATTCTGCTGCACGAGCCGCTTCTTCTCCTTCTTCTGCTGCAGCAGGAGGGCTGAGGATGACTCTGAAGAGCGAGGCTTACTCGTGAGGGCTTGCTGCACTGCGAGAAGCCCGGGGTCGTCCGAGTCCGAGTCGCTGATCGCTGAAGCGGGCGACGACGCGGCGGAATCCGAAGCTCGGCGAGGCAGGCGAGGCGTGGACAGCAGCGACTTGACCTGGCCGAGCAGCTGAGAGGCCGCGCAGTCGACGTCGGTGGAGGCCTCGTCGTCGGTGGAAGCCTCGTCGTCGGTGGAGGACGGCGCGTCGTCGAGGATGGGCTGGAGAGGCTTCTGGAGAGCGGAGGAGGCGGAGGCGGAAAGGCGCGTCTTCTTGCGACCGGCGGTCTGCGGGACGGCGGGACGCTTGGAGGAGGAGCGGTGGGAGAGCGAGGGCTGCGGAGTGGGAGGAGAGAGCGGCTCGGTTGGAGGGGGAGCGGAGAGGGAGGAGGACTGGGCGAGGGGCGGAGATGCGTTGGACGATGGGGAGGAAGCGGGGCGATTGGATGACGGAGGAGCGGCTTGTGTCGCAGAAGAGTCCTTCTCTGATTTAGCAGCAGGGAGGCGCTCTGGTTCATTCTCGTCCTTTCTCTTTGAATTCGCAGTTGGCCTCTCCGCTGGCTTCTCAGCGAGTTTTTCCGTTGGTTTCTCCGTTGACTTCTCCGTTTGTTTCTCCGTTTGTTTCTCCGTTTGTTTCTCCGTTTGCTTCTCTGTCGGTTTGCCAGCTTTGCTTCTCTCGGATTTGTCCTCCTGGTTTTCCTCGGCTTTGGGAGCTGCCTTGGATGCCTTGGCGGCTTCCTTTCGGTTTGTCGGTTCTGCGGTCGGTTTGGTCGCTTCGGTTCTCCATCGCCGTCTCCCTTCGCTACTCTTCTTTTCGGTGTTCTCCTTCCCTTTGGACGGCGCTTTTGGCTTCGCTGCCGCTTTTGACGTCGCTTTTCCCTTTGTATTGGCTTTGGCATTGGCTTTGGGCTTCGGTTTGGGCTTGTCTTTCTCTTCCGAATCGCTGTCTTCGCTCGATGAATCGACGGCCGAAGCGCCAACCGGCTTCGAAAACTGCGAGAGGAAAGCGAGGCCTCCACGTCGGCTCAGGCCTGCAAGCTGCGATCGAATTCTCTGCGATTCACCACCCTCTTTTTCCACTTTCGATGCTGCTTTGGATGGTCCCTTCGACTCCGCTTTCGTGATTGTTTTGGCAGTTGTTTTGGCAGTTGTTTTGGCAGTCTCTTTGTTCCTTTGTGGCGTTTCGATTTTCGTTTTTGTTTCCTTTGTTGTTTCTCCCTTCGTTTCATTCGCAGACTGCTTTGCTTCCTTCTCTTCCGTCAATTTGGATTCAATCCTTTCCTCCTCCATCTTCTCTTCTTCTTCTTCCATCTTCTCTTCTTCTTCTTCTTCTTTCTTCTCGCTGTCCTCATGGATCGGTTCCTTCGCTTTGCTGGGCGTCGTGTGGAGCGAAGCCAGCGTATCGAACGCCACCGATTGCGGCGTGGATTCCCCGCTATCCTTCACTCTCCTCTTCATTCCTACCTCGGAAACAGTCGATCCGACTCTTGCGTCGCGGGCACTTCCATGATCGCTGGCAGCGGAATCGCGATGGACGTTCGGGACAGCGTAGCTGGCTTCGATTCCTTTTCTTTTTCCTTTTCTTCTTCGTTCTCCGATTGCTGCGCGTTCGCGATCTTTTCTTCAATCTTCAGTTCTTCCTTCTCTTCGCTTCCTTCCTTTCTCTCTTTCTCCTTCTCTTTCTCCACCTCCATCTTCTCCGCTGTTTCCACGTTTCCACGTTTCGCAATCCGCTGATCCCCCATGGCCACCACGGACGATTTGCACCCCGCCGTCTGGCTGAGCGACGGCTCTCCGCGTCCCCTCGGCGCGGTCACCATCGTGGTCACGCCGTTCGCGCTAGCGGTCACTTGCTGCAGCTTGCAGGGCAGCTGAGCGGCTCGCTGGTGCAGCCAGTCGCGGAGAGAAGAGAAGGAGTCGGCGTTCGAGAGCGCGGCACGCAGGCAGAGAACGTCGCTGTCGGCGGTCAGATAGGGGAGAAGAACGTCGCTGTCGGTGCTGGGCGTCGGAGTGAATCGAATTCGGATCGAAAAGGCGCGGTCGATGAGGTCGATGGATCGAATCGACGCCCAGCTGGAATGAAACGGAGGGCAGCAGGCCTACCGAATACTCAGCAGCTGTAGCTCAGGGGCTTCTTCCTCGGAGAGCTTCACTTCGATGTAGAAAGAGACGGTTTCCTTCCCGAGATCCAGCCTATGAGTCAAAAAAGGATCGTGAGAGCGACCAAGAGACGGAGCCGAGCGAGTTCTCGGCTTTGGAGGTGACGACGAAGAGCTGCGAGAGAGGCAGGCTTTTGACTTGAGTGTTGTTTTGCTGGTTGTAGTGATTCAGAGCGTCTCTGGCATCGAGAATGAATTGGGACTGGTTCACAGCGTTGATCTGATTGATAGGAGAGTGGTGGGAGTACATCGAGAGGAAAGTGCTGCGTTATCGAAGAGAGGATGGCCATGTTCTCGGCGGAGCGAGCCATTTGGAAGAGACGGAAGAGAATCTCGAAGGAGGTGCACTGCGTGGGAAAGTCTGAAGGATTATGGAGACCTGGGATTTTGGTTACCTCCACATTGTAAGGATTGCGAGGAAAGAGTCACGAGATCGTCGTTTTGGATGCTGAACACTTTGAGAATGGTTTTGGGATTGCCAGAGAAGAGAGCGATGATGGTAAAGCAGAGCTGACGTTTGATTTCTACTATTGCCTTGACTCAAAAGGAATCGAGAAAGGTACATTTGGGTAGTGAGTGAGATCGTGCAGTAATAGGGGCAGGAAGGTCTCTTGCAAACTATTCAGAATGCTAGACCATTGCTCGGGAGAGGACTGATCGCTGGGAACATCACACTACAACACTCAACACCATATCATTCTAGATACGATCAAGGCGAGAAGAGCTAAGAACTCCGGGAATCGATTTTCGACATCGGCCTGGAGAGGTATGAGCACACTGGAGAGGCATTGGTAGACATCTCTCACAGCGTTAATAATTCCATTCTTTACAAGCACATCGACGTTGTCTTCAACATCCCACAATTGAGAGAGAGTCTGCATCAAAAGATACGGCATGTCGTGGAGAGCCCACTCTTCCTTTCGTACATCGTCCTTCATGATGGTCACAAAATGATTGAATTGAGAAATGAGCGTGTTGCCTGATGCAACAGAAATGGCAGGAATGGAGTCTCCCCATTCGTCAAGCAAAGTTTGTAAACGATGGCAGATTCTCTCTGCCTTCGAAGCACTGCCGTTTTCAACAGAATTTGACATTACGCTGCAGTGTTAAATTTGAACTGATTTTAGATTACGCGGCAGCATGGAAATACGAAGAAGTGTGAGGGAAAAATGATGATAGGCGCACCACTTTTTCCACCAATCAAATTCCTCCATGCTTTATTCAAACAAACAAACCGTAGAATCACATTAAATCAGCTCGCCAACCTCACCATAATCCTATTCCTCACCTCCTGCATCATTCCTCCTACTCCACGCGAGAATAGCGACAATGGATAATAGTCAACCTGTACCTGCTTTCCATTGAACGTCAGCAGTCTCAACTGCTTCGCAGCCTGTGCAGCTTCAATAACCGACGAGTACTGCACGAACGCGAACCCAAGTCCCGGAATCTCCTTCTCTCCGCTCTACCGTCCAATCTCCTCTCCATTTCTACATGAATCCTCGGCACGTGCATATTCAGCACCGTTCCCAGCTTCTCGCAGCCTTCTCTCAAATCCTCCAGTAATGCCTCGTAATCCTCGTCTTCCTCCAAATCTTCCAGCGAAATAATATTACTCATCCGCAGCACAGGCGAAGGATCTACGTCTCACCGCCCTCTCACCCCTACTGGAAATCGTATTGACGCGCTGCGGGAATCCGGGCCATTTGGGATCAGGTTTTTCCACTTTTATAACAATATCGTTAAAGATCGGCAAGTCCTGCAGCCCCTCCATCGCAATCTCGTAGTTCAGCGTGTCTCGATACCTTCTCTCGACCCTCCCCGGCACTCCCTACTCCGCCACGGCATCGCCCAGAAACCGGCAATTCTTATCTTTCAGCATGTAGATCTTCTTCAGCCCGCCGAACGGCTCGCAGAACGTGTGAATCTCCGCCTCCTCCAATTCCCGCGGGATGTTATGCATCAGCACGCACTTCTCGATATCGTACCCGGTCTTCTCTACGCCTCGCTCCTCTCTCCTCCTCGCTACCTCCATCCTTCAGCGAGGAAATCGTCGGTTTGTCCGCGTCGTTCTCGGGGTCCGGTTCCTTGTACGTCTCCAGCAGCTTCCGGCCCACCCGTACGATCTCTTCGTACTCCTTCTCCGCGTAGCTGCCCGTGCAGATCTGCAGCAACAAGTTCGGGTCCAGCTTCGGAGGAGGCGTGTCCGGACCCGTGTAATTGTCGGGGCGATTCACATGCATTACCTATGCTATCGGGGAAACGGGGAATTGTACGTGGTTAAACACGGTGAGACCGTCTAGGGCCAAGCCGTTCGTTGCTTCTAAGGGAGAGCGCATTTCGGCGATGGCTGTCTGGCCGTTGGCTTCCATGCCCACGCCAGAACACGGGTTGCCCGGGCCTGTTGTGAGTTTTAAGCTTTTCATTAGAATGTTGATCGAGTTCTGAGGGATTAGGAAGAGGAATGAAGGGGACGCAAATTTCATCGGGAGTGATCGTGGCGGGAACACCCGTAATGGCCAGTGATGTGACACCCGTAGACATTGCGCTCATAGAGTCTGCGATTGTCATCATGGCAGCTCCTAAACCCTATGTGATTACAATGCATAGAAAAGGAACATACGGTAGCTCCGGTCTTATCTCCAGGATTGATTCCAGTCACAGTGGGATCTTTCATCGTCTGGCGAATAAGCTCATTCAGCGCTAAACATTTCATTGACATGCCCTTGACAATTACTTTCCTTTAAAGTATTTCCAGGAGCGCGTGGTTCTGAGGAAGAACGCGAACTACACCCACATTAGCATTGCTTATTACATCATTGCACAGGCAAAACAAAGTCCACAAATAAAACACACTCCTACCTTGAGCGGGAACGACGACGTCTTGATCGCTCGTGGCTGCGTGAACGATCCCTTCTTCGACTTCGAGTACTGGAGTGGTGACCCATAAAGCGGAAATAGTTTTTCTCTGAAAAACAATGCGAGAATCACGGGACTGAGCGCAAAATCGCGACCTCCTCCTTTTTGCCAACTCAAACAGAAACAATTCGATCCATAGTTAAGGAAGATGCTGGGTAAGGTAAGGAGAGAAGCTCAGAAAAGGGTAATTCTCTAGTTGTTTCAGAGTACCTTGCTCCGACCAAACATGTTGAGCAACGTGATACGGTCTACGTCTCCGTTCCTCAATACGCAGTTTCGTTTATTCAGTAAAACATATGGTAGCATCGTTTGTGTTTTTGACGATAGTAGATCCTAACGCAGTAAAGGATGCTCCTCGGCCTGTTCGAAGTGATTTCAAATATTCTGAACCATATCTCTACCATATTCCTGAAGAAATGCTGGATGAGTATCCTGAGTCATACAAACTCGCCTTTGGAATCAGCACGCTCTCTCAGGCTGATCTCAACCGCGTACATGTTATCGAAATCACTCATTCCAGGTGAAAAAGCAGGAAATCATCGCCAAGTTCCAGAGAAAGGCGTATGACACTGGTTCCTCGGAGGTTCAGAGTATTCCGTCGGTGTGAGCTGGTTATTTTGTAGTTGCTCTTCTCACCGAGCGCATTCGTCGTTTGACGGAGCATTTGTGGTACCATCACAAGGTCGGATTGCCGTGTATTGATAACTCGTAGGATTTCAGTGCGAAGCGACGCATGTACTCGTTGGTGGGCAAGAGAAGTGCGTCCTGAGGCTGTGTGTGACGTGTAGAGAAGATGATGAAGTATCTGCGCGAGAACAACTTCGAGCGCTACGTCTACACGATCCGCGAGCTGAAGATGAACGATATCGGCCCCAAGCTGCCGCTGCCGAACTACAAGCAATCGAAGGGCATGTCCGAATTGAAGCTGCGCTTCCGTAACGAGAATCTCTATCCTCCGAATCCTTTCTATCAGGACGGAAGACCCGAGTAAGTCTGGAGGCACAGGGTGCGGAGCATTGCTGGTTGTTGGATCGTTGCTCGATGGATTGGCCGACGGAATGAATGATTGAATGATTGATTGAATGAATGATTGGTGGGTTGTTTGTTGGAGGAAACAAGGGAAGGAAAAAAGGGCTTAATCACTGGAGCTGCTGCTGGAGCTGCTGCTGGAGCTGCTGGAGCTGCTGGAAGAGGAAACGTGCTTCTTGGGCGACTTCTTGGGCGATTTCTTCGCGGGCTTCTCGTCCTCCGACTCCGAGGAAGAGGAGGAAGAAGAGGAGGAGGAGGAAGTGGAGCTCACGGTCTTCTTAGGCGATTTCTTGGCGGGTTTTTCGTCCTCCGATTCAGAAGAAGAGGAGGAGGAGGAAGAGGAAGTGGAGCTCACTTCCTTCTTGGGCGATTTCTTAGCAGGCTTCTCATCCTCCGATTCAGAAGAAGAAGAGGAGGAGGAGGAAGTAGAGCTCACGGTCTTCTTCGGAGACTTCTTGGCGGGCTTTTCGTCCTCCGACTCAGAAGAAGAAGAGCTCGAAGTGGAGCTCACTTCCTTCTTAGGCGACTTCTTCGCAGGCTTCTCGTCCTCCGAAGACGATTCCGATTCCGATTCAGAGGAAGAAGAAGAACTCGAAGTGGAGCTCACTTCCTTCTTCGCAGCCTTCTTCTTGGGCTTCTCTTCCTCGGAAGACGATTCCGATTCCGAGCTGGACTCGCTCTCGCTCTCGCTCGACGAGCTTTCCTTCTTCGCAGCCTTCTTGCTCTTCTTCTTGGGCTTCTCCTCCGACTCCGAGCTGGACTCGCTCTCGCTCGACGAGCTGCTCGACGCCTTCTTGCTCTTCTTGCTCTTCTTCTTGGGCTTCTCGCTGTCCGAAGACGACGATTCCGACTCCGACTCCGACTCCGAAGAAGAAGACCCGCTGGACTTCTTCTCCGCATCGCTCATGATTTCGCGTCCGAAGATCACATCGAAGGGTCGCACGACGTTGCCCAGCATCTCGATGACCGCGTCGTACTCCATCGTGGTCACATCCACGCCGTTGATCGCAATGATGTAGTCGTGCGGCTTGATCAGTCCGCTCTTCTCGGCCTGCAGGCGGCTGTTGCGCGGTCCGTGGTTGAACCGCTTCACCTTGCACACGGCGGGCTCCGTCGGGTAGGACTGGTAGAGATCCAGACCGATCGGTCCGTCCATGAACTCCACCTCGATCTCCGTGAGCTCCTTGCTCAGATCGCGATTCACCACGTGGCCGTCCTTGTCCACGCGCTCCTTCGCCTTCGTGATCGCCGACGTGTCCACCATCTGCGTCAGCGTCGGCCAGTACTGCACCGCCAGGTTGTTCACCGGCTCCAGCAGCTGGTTGCTCTTCTCCTACCCGTCACTTCCCTTCCTCACCGCGTACGATAATCATCTTGGACACCTGGGACTCGATGCGGCTGCAGATCATGCCGTTGAACATCTTCAGCACCGTGTTCACCACGCCCGCCATGCTGTTGTGCTTCACCACCAGCTCCAGATCGGGCAGCTTCAGATACGGGTGCTGGATCTCCAGCTGCGGCTTGTCGTCCACCACGCGGAGCTTGAACGCCACGCCGAACATGGCCTAACCATCGTGAACAATGGAGCCGAGCCTACCTCGCGCGTGCTGCAGTCCAGCGTGAAGTCGCCCTTGTACTTGGGGAAGTTCCGCTTGTCGATCTTGCACTTGATCTTCTTGATCTTCAGCTTGAGGTTGCGCACGCCCACGCGCAGCTTGGCGCCGTCGAGCTTGCCGCGGTTCAGGATGAATCGCACCATCACTACGCGTGAAGCACCCGGTCAACGCCCACCGTCCGAAGACTTCAGCTTGAATCCCGAGAGATCGATGTTGCTGATCTTGTACTTGGTCTCGCCGTACTTGCCCTTCAGCACGGGCACTTCGATCGAGGGAATGTACTGCACGTCACCGCTGCGCTCCGCCGCCGCCTACCTTCAGCAGGAAGTCCAGCACCGCGGTCTTCACCTTCTCGATCATCTCATCGCGCTGCTTGTCGTCCGCCATGATCGCCTGACCCTTCTTCAGCGCGCCCTCGATGCCTCCCTCCTCCTTGATCTTCTTCATGTACTCCAGACCCTTGCCCAGCATCTTCTTGCCCGTGTCGTCCTCCTGCACCTTCTCCAGCACCTTCATGCCCATCTCCGCGATCTTCGCGCGGTTCTCCACCACCGTGTCGATCAGAGCCGACGATCGCTCCACCATGGCGTTCTACGCATCACCACTCCACGCCCACTCCTCTACCTCTTCGTGCTTGTGGTGATGATGCTTGCCCTTCTTGCCCTTCTTCTCCTTCTCCTTCTTCTCCTTCGACGCCTTCTGCGCCTGCTCGATTCCCTTCTCCACGAACTCCTTGCCCTTCTCCGTCAGCTCCTCGCCCTTCTCGTTCCACGTCGATTTCATCTTCGACACGGCGCTGCTCACCATCTCCGAGGACGTGAACTCCGAAAGCAGGCTCTTCGAGATGTCCAGCATTTCCTTCGCCTCCTCGCTCTTCATCAGATCACCCATCACCTTCTTTCCCTCTTCCATAAGCTACGAATCACAGACAAATCCTGCATTGCACACCTTTTGGGTCTGCTTATCGTTCTTGACAGTCTCGAACGCATCCTTGCCCTTCTTCGACAGCTCGCTCTCCTTCAGCTCCTCCAAACGAGCCTTCATCTGCTCTTGCATCTCAGGATTATCCGTAATCTGCTTCACCGTTTTGCCTAGACGTAATCCTGAGCATCTCTACAGCGTACGCAGCTCGGCGTTCTCTTTCAGAAGCTCAGCTCCCTTCTGGAGGAGAGTATTTGCAAACTCCTTGCTTTCTTCAACCAAACCATATTTCTCAAGAACTCCAGCTCCCTGGGCGATCCACGCCTCTCTTTTGTCTTCAGGAAGTTTACTAAGGATTTGTGCGCGAAGATCCTCCGTTTTCTTCTTAAGCCACTCAGTCGTGTGCTCTCCATCAGAGCTAGTCGTATCTAAAAAAGATTACCCAAATCAAACAACAATCTACCACTTCCAGTAGCATCGCGATCTTTAGCTTCTTTCAGCTCGGCAGCCGCGTTCTCAAACTCTCTCTTTAAGCTTTCGATTTCCGTATTTTCAGCCATTATAGATAACCCAGCAAAACGGGAGAAATGTAATGATTATCGAAAAACACTGGAACATAATCCTAATTATGTCCCCTTATTGATCACAATTTGGGTCCCATAATAATACGAGCTGTACGATTTCAGGGGGAGAGTAGAGGAAAAACTCAAAAAAGGTGCACTGCAAAATTGTTTTTCGAACAAGAAAAGAAACTTAGGAACCAACAAGCAATAATTATTAGAATGACGACTACTACCACAATGAGCATTAAAACCGGAACGTTCCCATCTTGAATCTCCTCTTCCTCATGTCCTTTTTCCGCTTTAGACTTTTCCTCTTTTAGCAGGATTATTCTCTGAAAAGCAGTGCAAAGGTCACAGTTCTTCCCAGGAATCGTCCGGTTACACAACGGACAAACGTGATTGACCCATTTTCCTTCTATGCAGTCATTTATGATCTCGAAACATTCGACTAATGCGACTTCTGCTCTGTTTGCGCCGGTTTCTTCATTGAGTGTATCATGCAGAGTATTAATCTCTCCCAGAAGCATTTCGTTGGTCTTCCGCAGCTGTACGAGTTCGTACGCTTCAGAAGAGCCGCTCATCTTTCGACCTCCATCGTCGCTCTCCAGTTTGGTTACTTTTGCTTTCAGCGCGTCTCTTTCCTTCGAAAGTGTCATGACACTTCGCTCTAAGGACTGGACTTTCTTAGATGTATCTGTTGTATCGTTAATTCTGTGATTGAGTAGGACTACTTCTTGCTGATGTTGTGTTAGCAGCCTCTGAATAGTCGATTTCAATGTTTTATTTTCCTTTTTAATCTCCTCCTCCTGCTCTTCAAGGATTCGTAAACCCTTGATTTGCTGATACAAGTCTTTGAGTACCAAACTGTTTTCATTGATTTGTTCTTCGTATTGTCTCTTTTGTTCTTCCGCGTCTCTCTTGGCAACTTGAAATAGATGGCGCAAATTTTCCACCTCCATTTCGGCTTGCATCTCTACATATTCTTCATCAACATCACTGTCATATTCGTCACTAAGATATAAGTCATCCGAATCACTCGCTGCATCGTTACAGCACTCCTTTTCCAAAAGCTTGATTTCCTTTTGCTGTAATCTCCTTGCCAACTCTAGCTTCTCCTGTTCGAGCATTATCACCTTGTTTTTCAGGTTTTGGATTTCGTCATCAACAAGTGAGGGAGAACTCATAGCAGAAGACCTATATACGTAACAGAAAGGAATCAGAAGATACAAGGACACAAAATAGAATGTATGTGAAAAAAACAATGAACTAAAATTACCACAAACAAAAACCGTCATCAAACTTCAGCTTCCTGAATAAAATAATTATCATTACTATTTCGTAACATCGATTCACCTAGTTCGCTATTGAAATGGCTTCCCTCCCGATCATCGGCCTCCGCTTTGAATAACAACAGCGATCGGAAACAAGTCAAGTAATACAAGCTATAAGCCACAGTCGCGAACAGATTCAGCACATTCAACGAAGACACGAGGATAAGAATATCGAACGAGAAAATGAGCGCCTGTGTGAAGAAAACCGAATTCCAGTTCAATCCAGGATATATCCAAAATGGAGTCACACGAATGAGGGTCTGGATAGAGACAATAAGAGCCTTCCCAGGTCGTGTTCTTTCCTAGAAGATCGTTGGGCGAAACAAGTCCACAGCAGTGATATGTGTTCTAGGGAATAGAGGGAACGAAGAAGAGGACGCATACAGATGAACTGATCCAGTCTTCTTGCTTAATGATACGCATGAGGTTGTTCTCCACCTCGTAGACTGTGTTGTTCCAGGTGGGGTTTTCCTATGTGTTTGGAGAGCGGTAAAATTACTTGGATAATAATTAGGCCTTGGAATACAGAACATAAAACTGCCAACTCAACAACAAGTGCAATGATGGTTGCCAAAAGAAAGAAACAATACTAAGAATTCATGAGACAGAGAGTATGCACAATAAATATGATGGTAATATGGACGTGCGCTTTGTAGATAATACAGTATAAGCAACAAATGCAAATCAGAATAGCACAGATAAGGGGACTATCCACTCAATTCAATAGTGCATCGTATACATTCTCTGAGACAAAAACATGGAGGAAAACAACTCTTTACAAATTCGCTAAATTTGATGCGATATTTATTATACTATACTCCGCTCTGGAAGAATGGCAAAATCCAAATGATCAAACACGACAGAAGAATGGAAATTGCATTTAATCCTCCGAGAATATGGATTTTTGTTTTCCCTAAAGGTGACAAGCTCATCGGGCCAGTTACAATTCTTTGCGTAGTCCATTAATAATAATGTTAGAAAGATTGTGGTAATGGATTCAAGCAATGAAATATTCATAGATTTGTAGTTTTCTATTCATTGCTCTATTGATGTATTTGTTTTCTTCAGTAACCAATTCTATGTGTGTCCCCTTATTTTGTGTGTATATTATCCGTATTAGAGCATCTCTCAATGTGAAATTGGTAGAACCGCGGTTTTTACCTGTATATGAATGGTTCCCACATATTTTAGTACCAAATCGAGGAGAGGAAAATCATGACTGTGGGATTGTTATTCTAGTCGTCAGTAATGCGTAGGACTTCAACAGTATGACACCTGAAGACAAAAACGTGGAGATGTGGAGAATCAAGAAGCTGATTAAGACGTTGGAAAACGCAAAGGGGTACACTTAGCTTCTCTCCGATTAATAACTTAGAAACGGAACTTCTATGATTTCGCTGATTATTCGTCCTGGAGATCAGGTTCGCGGCGATTTGGATTTCTTGACGTGCGTAGATTGCCAACTCTGTGAACATGCTTAACACTGAATATGGAACAGCTTCGAATATTAAATCTCGTGTAAATCGTCTCTCTGTCCTGAGTGCCATTACCTCGACCCAGCAAAAGCTGAAGCTGTTCGTTTTTGATGTGTGTTGTAATGTCCTAGTTTCACTCGTGTGCCTCCCAACGGTTTGGTCGTGTACTGTGGTACCTGCATCAACGACGATGGCAAAGAAAAGAAGATGTCGTACGCGTTCGAGCCCTTCCGTCCCATCAACACCTCCCTCTACCTGTGCGACAACAAATTCCACACCGAGGCGCTGGCTGAGCTGCTCCAGGACGACTCGACGTTCGGCTTCGTGGTGATGGACGGTTCGGGCTGCCTGTTCGGCACGGTGTCCGGCGGTTCGCGCAACGTCCTGCACCGCTTCACGGTGGATCTGCCGAAGAAGCACGGCCGTGGAGGCCAGTCGGCGCTGCGATTCGCGCGTCTGCGTCTGGAGAAGCGGCACAACTACGTGCGGAAGGTGTGCGAGCTGTGCGTGCAGTTCTTCGTGGAGAACGAGAAGGTGAACATGGCGGGCATCGTGCTGGCCGGTTCCGCCGAGCTGAAAGACGAGCTGTACACGTCGGGTAGGAGAGAGAGAGAGGGCTGAGCGGCAGACATGCTGGATCCGCGCATCAAGAACGCGGTGGTGAAGGTGGTGGACGTGTCGTACGGCGGGGATAACGGGTTCAACCAGGCGATCGAGCTGTCTGCGGACACGCTGGCGAACGTGAAGTTCGTGCAAGAGAAGAAGCTGATCTCGCAGTACTTCGACGAGCTGGCGAAGGACAGCGGGAAGTACTGCTACGGCGTGAAGGACACGCTGAAGTGCCTGGAGATGGGCGCGGTGGAGACGCTGATCGTCTGGGAGAACCTCGCGGTGAACCGCGTGGTGGTGAAGAACTCGGCCGGCCAGCTGAACACGCTGTACCTCACCGAGGAGCAGTGCACGGACGGCGCGTTCTTCAAGGACCCCATGACGGGTCTGGACATGGAGACGGTGGAGAAGGATCTGTTCCTGGAGTGGCTCGCGGAGAACTACAAGAGCTTTGGAACCACGCTGGAGATTATCACGAACAAGTCGCAGGAGGGAGCGCAGTTCGTGCGCGGGTTCGGAGGCATTGGAGGTATTCTGCGTTGGAAGCTGGAGCTGGAGACGATGGGAGATGATGATGATGATTTCATGTAACTTCGGGTGTTTTTTGCGGTGTGTTTGTTAATACAAAGTACCGAATTGGAATTGGAATTGGAATGGAAATGGGGAGGATTCGATTCGATTCGATTCGATTCGATTCGATTCGATTCGATTGGGTTGGATCAGGTTGGATCAGGTTGGATCAGGTTGCATCAGGTTAAACTAGAACGACAACAGGAATAGTAAAAAAGAGAAATGGTTTGTTAGAACAAAATGCCAAAATGGTTTGAAAACAGGAAAGGGAAAATGGAATAGATTATGCAGGATTAATAGTTGCGACCTATGAGCCAGACAGGAGTTCGATAGTAGTCTTCGTTGGGAGGGGACTTGCGTGGAGGCAGGTTTTTCACAGACACTTCGTTGGAAGCCATCTCGCGGCTTCGAGAACGACTAAGATACTCAGAACTGGGGTAATAGGAGTCGAGAGAGAGCGAAGAAATGGAGCCACTCATCGATGTATTCTTCGATCTAAAATAGATGGGAACCCATTCTGTCGCTACGAGCAAGGCAGTCTCTCTTGCCGGAAGTAGGGAGGGAGCAGTTCAAAATTGACGCCATCAATGAACAAACGGAATACACGATGGGAAAACACAGACATCATTCCCTTGCGCCTAGGTGTGACCCATCACCTAATGTAATCTACTGGAGCACCTGAATATGAATGACATGCTGTAAATAGGAGGTGTAGTAATCGAGCGTGATAGAGTACAGGTTATTTCCTACATGAAATGGTGGGAGTTAGGCTGGTTCGTACGATAGATCACTTCGCGTGTTGATTTTGTAGTCACTTGAGAGTATACATGGACTCCATCTCGCACTAGGAGTCTCAAATTCTTTATAACTCTCACAAATCTCCTTTTTCCCTGACACAGATGAGTCGTATACGGTGAAAGAAACTTTCTCCTTTGGATATCCCATAAAGGCTACTACCCATTGACATCTAGCTAATAATCTTAAAATAAAAATACGAGGCTTTGGTCTCTGCGATGCATTTTCCAACGTATTCGACTTCATTGAATACCTGACGAACTACATGGTGACAACACATCCACTGGATCACTTTCATTTAAAGCAGACTGCCTATTCATGATATGAAAAAAGAAAAAATGATCCCGCAAACAGTATATCACAGCCACGAAGCAGTTCTTTTTCTTCTTTTTTCGATCCATCTTAGCCTATTTCTATGTGTATGGAGTGATCAAAAATGGCAGATATTACCCTTTACATCAACTTGAATAGGCTTCATGCTTCATAACTCATCATAAACTAGTTGGTTCCACAATTCTCACTTTTTTGTTTAGGTAAGTATGACTTTCTTTGCTTTGTTGCTGGGACGTTAATCTGCAAGTGTGAAAGTCACTTGTATGATATCTACACCAGCATAGAAGATTGCTGAACCTCAAAGCTGCCGAGAGCTTTCTCTGCGGTGGTTGTGTCAGCGGGACATTTTATATCTAACCGTACTATAGGCTTTTCTTTGTTTGTTGTAAATCTTAAGTTCAACTTTAGCCATGTCCGCCAGGCCTAAGGCACTGCTGATTACCGTGGGAACAACAGGCTTTGACAGTCTTATCAAAGTGGCATGTTCTAAAGCCTTTGTGGAGACGGTAGCCTCTCTACAGTTTTCTATAGTGTACATGCAGTATGGATCATCTGCAAAGGAATACGATGATGAGTATTATGGGAAATACAATGTTTTAACCGACTTCCGTTTTCACGTCCTAGATACGGATAGTTGCTTTTGACTACTGCGATTCTTTAGCGGGATACATAAAGAATGTGGACCTAGTGGTAGGTCATGCAGGTATAAGCTGATCTTTCTATTGTTTTGTTAAGGTGCTGGAACGATTCTCGATTCGCTACGGGCAAAGCGGAGTCTAGTCGTTGTTGTAAATGAAAGCCTGATGGGAAACCATCAACAGGAGATTGCGGCTGCCATGGCAGAGAAGAATTACTTGCTCAAAGCAACTCCCGAAACGTTATGTTCCATACTGAAACAACTTCCTGAAACTGTGTTTACCCCGTATTGTGTGGAAGAAAATGCCTTATGTAGTTATCCCGATGCTCAGCCTCAGCTGTTTTCTTCCTTTTTAGACAAAGAAATGAATTTTGATTCTATTGTTTGTTTTAGAGGTTAGGAAAAATAACAGAGCGTCATTTTTCAGTTTAACTCTAACGTGAGAAGTGGCTCTGTTATTTATAAAAAGAAATACCATCGCAATAATCTGATATCGAAAAACTATATAATACAACATGATAATAGGCGACATAATCTCTATCGCGTTCGCGACCATTATTGTTATAGATAATGTTAGCACTTTATCTATAAGAATTGTTGGAATAGTTATTATTCGTAATATCTAGGCAAAAGCAATATCACATTTATATTGGTCTTCAACTCCAGAAATTCGTCATTTTGATCAGGAATATCCAAAGAAAAATTATATTGATGATACAGCTGTCCTTACGGGAGATGTTAAGTTAGCCATAAAATCTTCTGTTTGGCATGGATCTACTATTCATGGTAATCTATATTTGTCTTATGAACCTTTAGCTGATGGATATAAGGTTAAAGTCAAGCCTTATTCCCAAATTTGTAGCAATGTTACAATCCATGCTAGTGGAAATCCCTTTTTACTTCCAACAGTAATTGGGAGAAGAAGTGTTATTAAGGAAGGCTGTCTCCTTGAGGACTGTGTTATCGATCCACTCTGTTATATTGGTACAGGCTCAATAATTGGCAAAGGCTGTCACATTTGCAGCGGTTCAATGATCACCCCGGGATCTATACTCTTGCCTAATGTATTGGTACCAAAGGGAGAAATATGGGGTGGTATTCCAGCATGCAAAATTAGGGATGTAACCGAAGAAGACCGCATAAGAGTAACAAGAGAATGGCGGGAGCTAGCCGAACAATCTAAATCTTTTATCAAAGATAATCGAGCCTTAGCTAAAAGAATTAAATCTTCAAATTCTTCAGATTCTTCAGATGTTTTAGATACTTTGGAATTAATTTATTGCTATAATGCTGATAAGTGGTTCCCTCCTGCACCAGCAGACAGTGCCAGTAACTTTGACGGTGACGGTGGCGGCGGTGACTGTGGCGGTGACTAGGTTCAAAATGGAAGTGTATTTTTGTTTACTGTGATGTACATATTATAATCATAACAAGTAGTATAGGAATGGCGCAAATATCGCGCGAAACCATTTTTCTATCATTTCCTACCTGGCTGCCTTTTTGACCATTGCTGCCCATTGCCTACCTCGAGTACCACGATGCAAAAAGCGCGAAAACCTTTTCGACCATTGTCTGCCAATGTGGTAATTGTCTGCCCTTTATACACTATTTGATAAATAAACAAAGTAAAAACGACTTTTTTTTACATGTTCTTCAATCGGTAATGCGCGAATGCTAGTGTATGCACGTTGTCGTCCAAGATCCATCGCTTGTTGTCCGTGCAAGTCATGAGTGTCTTGGTCTGCTCCTTCGTGCTGATATCGAAGGTCTGGTTGTTGATGCGTTTGAAGCTGCCTTCGATCACTGCAAGTAGTAGGGAAATGGCGCATAAAGCGCGAAAACCTTTTCGGCCATTTTCTGCCAATGTGGTAATTGTCTGCCCTTTATATAATGGTAAAGAGAGAAACACCATGCACTACTCCATGCTTATTCAAGGCTCACCTACCAACGGCTCATTCACCTGGATCAACCCCTACAAGTACAAGAATCCTTATATCACTTCCATGACTGTCCTGTTTCGACCCAAGGATGCCCAGGCTATGTTCAACAACGTTGACACGACGAACATTGTCACGAATTCGAATGACGAGAAGGTAACAATCCCTGCTGGTTATTACACGATCAGTGAGATCATTGCCTTGCTCAATATGATGACCGATACTACATTTTCCATATCGACGAATGCCTCGTCGTTCGGTTGTATCTGGATTCAGTCCCCACACACCATTGACTTCACAGATGCACCTGACATTCGTGAGATCCTCGGCTTCGATGGACGAACGGTCATTCTACCTGCTTCGTTCAGTGGATCGAACGTGATTGATATCACGCGAAATCGACAAGTGATTCAGGTCTACTCGACGATCGTGCGATCATCGGACCTGAAGATTGCCAACCAGAACAACAACCTGCTCACCACGATGATCATTGACGATCCAACGGCTGACTACGTGCGAACTGTGGAAGACGTGTGCATACCAATGATCACTCGGTTTGATCAATTGATGTTCGTGTTCCGCGATATGGATGGCAAGATGATGCGACTGAACGGCGAATTCGAACTCCAGTTGACGATTGAGGACGTGTATGATGAAGTGCCTTCATCGATGGGGGAAGCTTCGCTATCCCCCGGGGGTGACATCGTCACCCCCAACGATTGTCTCTGCAAACCAGTTCAGTATGATCGAAGTGTTCGGTAATACCACGAAGAAGGAAGTGAAGCTGGACAATCCTCTGTCGTTCGACCAGTGCTACATCTCGTCTGTGTCGTTGTATACGGACTTCGTGTTGCACAACGTGCCGACTGACCAAGTGGTGCTAATCAATGCTGGCGCTACGATTCAAGAGATCGCGATACCACGCGGTGTATACGACATCGAAACGATCATTGCAAAGCTGAATGCAAGTGATTCCCTGTTCGAATTGGTGTATAGCGGCGAGAATGCGTTCCATATCACGGTAGATCACTTCTACATGATCGATTTCACGAATGCACCAGAGATCAGATCGATCCTTGGTTTCGAATCGGACATCTTGGTGAAAGGAGTGGATAACCCGAAGCGCTACTACTTGTCGTCCTCATGTAATCACGTGGTTGTTACTGATGGCAGGGAATCGCACATGTTGACATTGCCTGTCGGTTACTACACGTTCTCCGAGTTCATCGAGGCTGTCGGTGCTGAAATGGTGAAAGTGCTTCCACTCACATCCATGACGATCGAGGATGATCATGTTCGCTTCAATGTCCAAGCAGACGGATGGTATTTCGATCGATCCAGTGTTGACACGACGATCAATGGTTTTGGTTGGACTCCATGGTTCAAGCTGTCTCCATCTGTGCAGAACCTGTGCATCGAACGACCAGTGGAAGCTTCGTTCAACCCTGAAAGCGATTCACCACCTGATATGACGAATGATCAAGGTATTGGTGGTCATGCGTATATAGGATCAAACACCTTTATTGCGTATGACTGGAAAATGCGTACGACTGATAATCGGTTCCTGCTAAAGCCTCTCGCGACATACACGATGCGTTTAGCTGATGGTTCAGTACTCGATAGTGGTGAATTCTACATAACGGACGATACGTCTACCCCGATCAAGATGAATACTCTTACAACCACATGTTTTAATGAACTCAATGCTCGATATGCGAGTGCTATGGAACTACCTCCATCTCACCAGAATGCGATTGCGTGGACGGTGAATGACAATAGAGAAAGCATGTCATGGACTGCGAAGGACTATGCACCAGAATTGGAATTGCATATCACATCGGAAAATACAGGTGACTTGGTGTCATCGAATGGTTCTTCGATCGGACCTTGGTATTCCAAGGATAGTATATATCACACGAGAGTGTTTATCGATACGACGAATTTTATACTTGGAATACGTGGATATGGCGAAAGACCTCTCACAATCCAACGAGGTCATTATAGCGCTATTGATATCGTGAATATGATCGCTAATGTGATCAATAAGATATATGTAGATGCGTCTCTCGGAGGGTACTTGGTATATGTCATTGCAGATAATGGTGGTCGAGTACGAATGGGATGTCGAAATGGTACAGAACCACGATTCATATTGTTTTGTGATAATCCATGTTTCAAGATTATACCCGGACCATACGCTGAACCAGGTGGTGTGTATCTGTCTTGTTATTTCGAGTTTTATCGCAATTACTACATCAGGATGCCTGAGTTGACATCACCTTACGAGTTTGCGATGGCGAACATCGATGGACTGAATGTGACGAATATGATCAAAGGTAGTACGTATTCCGATCGTGCTGTGTCGATCGAATTCATACAACCGACACGTGTTACGTATGTGAGGAATGATGAAGTTGTTGTTCCATCATTGGCTACCTTCGTTGACTGGGAACAATCTGAGTCGTACACGGCTAACACGACGATTCTCTTCCCGTACGGAATGATGACACTGGACGATAGTGCTGCTGAGATTGATATCACTTACACGGATGACATTCAGACATTCACGTGGACCATACCATCACGATTGACACAGGCTGACATGATATGGCGCATGAATCAATGTTTTGACTCGGCTGCACTTGACATACGATGGAAAGCTGAGTCAGATGGGTACTACATTCACGCAGACCACGTGTTCTCGTTGAGTGGCAACCTTGGCACGATCATTCCCGCTTCAGGATCGCAATCGCATACATGGCGTATCCCTTTCGACGATGGTGTGTACTATGCCAACTATGGTCCAATGGTTGCCGAGTATCCTGTCGATATCACGAATGGTCTATCGAACATACAGCTGTATTGCAACATCGTGAAAAGCCAACGACTGATACTCATTGCTTGCGAATGTCCCGATGGACAGCTTGTACAAGAATTACTTCTACAAGAATCGCATGTTGGTACCATGTTCTGAATTGCTTGATCGCATCGTGTACGAATTGAAGGATGAAAACGGTGACCCGCTATCGTTCATGGGTAACGTGTATCTGCTAATCGGATTCACCGTTTCAGGAGGAAATAATAAATGAATCTAGTGTTCAACATTGCTCGAACGTACGAACATGAATTCACAAGTAACAATCTCATCAAAAGCGACATGGTAATCGACAGAGTGACTATGAAGGGAGAATCGCCTGGCATATGCCTTGTCCTTGATCGAGTGAACAACATGCAAGAACGACGCACAGTCTCCGTTGGTTGTATTGAACGAGGAGTACACGGAGAATGCGCACATGAACGTCGTGGTACCCAAAAGTCGCAAATGGTCATTCTCGTTGACCGATAAGACCGGTGCAACGATTGCCCTGCCAATGCCGATTACAGTGTGCATTCACTTCCACACAATAAATGAGTCATAATCGTGCACTACCGGTAAGTGTGATTAACCACAATACAGTAATTCCGAAGAACAACGAACGATACCATGAAACGTTCAACACAGTGATCATGCCTCGTGACCTTGTGTACAAGATCACTTCGATTACATGCAAGATCGATACCACTTCTCTCTGGAACATTCGTGCAATAAATGTCGTGAAGGTTCAAATGTTGTCAGGGTTTGAAATGGTGTACAACGTCGGTCCTGGCTACTACTCGATTACCGAGTTATGCCGTGCGATAGCCGATTCCATCCAGGTAGACGATGTTAACCGAGCACACCTGAACAGTGACGTGGCGACCGCTGTTGACCTTAGTGGCGCACCTGATTACACGAGTATCCTCAAGTTGGAAGGTATCGTTGAGGCAGGCATGGTAGCGAGTGAACCCTACGACATCACGAATGGAATGAGTGTGATCCGAGTCTACAGTAGTATCAATGCTCAAACATTCGGTCTGAAGAGTCCACTGATCGATAACCTGATTCATGTATCGATGGGACTGAACAACATGATCACCTGGGACAACCTATCGATCGATGTGATTGAACAATCGAACCTGGACTACATTGATTGGGTGCTGACAGATGCGAATGACCGTCCGATCTCCTTGAATTCGAATGTGTACATCTCATTCACGATATCTTGTTACACCAAAGTAAAGTAGGGGAGACCGTTGGTCTCCCCGGGAGGAACAAAGTTCCTCCCATAGTAAATGGATGAATACGTTGCTACAATTCCAATCATTCGATTCAAACCACACAAAGTGAAATCGAGAAACATGATGGACAAAATGTTGAATCGATATTTCGATAAAGTCGTTGAAAGTGAATTCAATCAACAACGAATGAGGAGCGAACAATGGCGACAGAAGCGAACCTTGTTTGATTCGTACATGAATCTCTCACCTGCTGAACGTCGTCGTGTATCTGTCTCGGACATGCGTGGATATCAAATGCAGCGAATTGATAATGAGAACGTGCTGTTGTACTCATTCGAGGACAACGTGGTCTACAATGCTAAAATTGACAATAAGTTCAACAAGATCATTGTCCAGTCTGTGAATCACAAGTTGTCTGACATGGAGAAACGAGCTATGTTTGATAATCCATTTGGATATGAGCCAGTATCACCCTATCGTATCCGCTACCAGAGATCACAGGTTGACGATGCACAAATCGTGAATATAACTGGTGATGTTGGAACCAGCATCAACGAAATGAAGAATG